AGCTAGTAAGTCGTAGAGCCAGTCAAGTTCCATGTAGTTCACGTGAGCTTTTGACGGTTATACTGTACTGGAGACCCAGTGTAAGAAATCCATACACTGGCTGGGAGTGGGGTCTCTCAGCCTGGCCTGCATCTTTTCGCGGTCTGGAACCCCTCGCTCCTTGCCTGCCTGCTCACTGCCCCTTGTCGCTTGGCTCACTGCTCCTTAGCTCTGCCAGGGAGGCAAGAGAGGCTCCTGCCACCGCTGCTGGGCTCTCCAGCCGTGAGCCTGGCTTCTGGCTGAACAGTACACCCACCACCAAGGGGCAGCTCCTGCGTTGAGCATCTGCCCCCTGATGGTCAGTGCACATCATAGCGACCGGTTATTCTGGTTGTTCTGCCACAATGGCCCCTTAGACTTTTATTATATAGACTAGAGGGCTGGTGCACGAAATCCGTGCATGGGAAGGGGGTGTCCTTCAGCCCAGCCTACACCCTCTCCAATCTGGGACCCCTCGAGGGATATTCAACTGCTTAAATGGGCAGTCAGACATCTCTCTCACAATCCAGGACTGCTGGCTCCCAACCGCTTGCATGCCTGCCTACCTGACTGCCCCTAACCGCTTCTGCCTGCCAGCCTGATCACCTCCTAACTACTCTCCTGCTAGCCTGATCAATGCCTAACTGCTCCCCGCTGCCGGCCTGATTGCCCCTAACTGCCTTTCCCTGCCAGCCATCTTGTGTCCTCATGGGGGTAGCCATATTGTGTGTTGGAGTGACGGTCAATTTGCATATTACTCTTTTACTAGATAGGATGAGTACTAAACATTTTCTTTGTGTAAATCTGCTTTTTAACTCAGGGATTTTATTTCAATCACTTTCATGAAACAAATAAAATGTTTTTTGTCTCATGTTGCTTGAGAGAGAGAGAGTAACTAGAAAGGATGTTAGTCATCACCAAATACCACTTTCATTTCTAGAAACTTGATACCCTACTGTTATCATGTAGTGAATTGTTTGCTATTTCCAAAATTAGTTGTGCAGTGGCATTAGAAAAGAGAACATTGATTTCATTGTTCCCAAAGCAACCTGGCATTGATATTTATTAAGCTTAATTGAACATTTATTGACACAATGCATGAGTGAGGCAAAGAGGCAGTGTGGTAAATTAGAGACAGAATTTCTGTGAGTTGGAGACCAGAATTCAGGATTTTACAATACATCTCAGATTATCAGTTTTCCCATCTGCAGAGTGAGGGATGGCAGATACGTGCATATGTTGCCACACCCTGCTTTCTAACCATGACTGGCATTGCTAATCACTCATGGCATTCTTTTCTTCCGAACCCGAAAACAGCTCCAGACTCCTTCCCAACACAGTGCCCGAAACAATGACTTTTCCAGTTCTAACTCCCAGAAATACACCATCTGGAATTTGGAAGCTGTGCCCAATTCGATATGTACTTTGGTCTTTTCAGGCTCCCTGTTCTCTAGGCATTGCATTTATATCACATAGGACCTGGGGCTCTGATGTGTTCATACCCTACTGTGAGGTCCCCCCCCCCCTTTTCCTCTTCCCCTCCCCCCAGACAGCCCGATCCGGGCCTTCAGGTCTCTTGCGCTTGTCCGTAATGAATGCTTTCTCAGGGAGGTTTCCCTTTTCTTCTTTGCACATTCATACAAGCTCTTGGGTGTGGAATCTAAATTCCTGGCTATCAAAACGTCTTCCTATGTGTGTTGTTGAATGCAAAGAGTTGATAAAGAGAGGGAGTTCATACCTGCTCCCTGACCACTCCCAGCACCTGTCTGAGCGCATTCTGTATTTCATAATTGATTTCCCTCCTTACTCAGGAGAGGAGCCTAAAGTGTTCACCTTCAGTTCTCAAACATGGGCTTGTCTCTGAATCTCCACATTGTACATTTAGGCATTGTTTATTTTATACAAACAATTTATTCGTTTTGTGTGTTCCTTTTATGACCACTGTGTAATCCTACAATTATATATTGTGTAATCATGAGCATGCAAGAAAGTGTTGTATTCAAAATTTTAGATGACATCAGCTACTATTTTCAAGACTTACATCCTAATAAGTATGAATTGAACGCGTCCTTGTATGTCCTCCTTGGTCTTGAAGTCAGTGGGAGGAATGCTGTGGTTGTGAGGTGGGACCAATGTGACCCCTCGGGGTAGCATCTCAGTGGGATCATTTTACACCTTTTACCGCTCAGTGCAACCAGCACAGCTAAAGGCAAAGCCCTAGCCATGAGCTCCTTTGAGACAATGTGTTTTTCTTTTACATGGCAGCTATTATCCAGGGTATGGGATTGTAACTTTTAAGATTCATAAAGAGAGTTTTAAAATAACTTTGCTGAAAGGGAATAAAAGAAAGGAAGGTCATCTTAATTTACCAGTCATGTGTCATAATTTACTGGGAATAATTTTGTAAGGAGAGTAAAAGCAGCACCTAATACCAGATGACTAAGCAGCATAAAGTATGTTGCCATCCCACCGACAGTAGTGAGCATAGCATCCTGGGAAAGGGAGTAAATGGCCACAAGTGTCCCCCTGACACAGACAGCTGTGTCGCCTCCTCTGAGCTGGTCTACATGACATCCTGCGTTCACACCGAATGAACACAGCAACCGAACGTGTATTTAAGAGCTATTGTGAACCTCGGTCTTTTGCACTGATTTTCACAGACAGTATAAAATGTGAATATGATATTGTCAGATGAGCCAATGAGGCAACTCGGATGCTCATGACGAAAGGTCTGGCCACTAGTCAATATTGTACTTTTTTGCAATTGATTCTTTCAAAATCTATAATAGGTGCAAAAGGGACAAACCTAAGTTTCCGTACAGCTTAGTTAGAAATGAAGCCACAGCATGAACTCCTGAATGATAAGGATTGTGTGTTTGTCCTCTAAGCTGGGCTTCACCTCTGGCTAAATAATCCGGGACTTTGGGTGTCTTAATCCCTGAACTTCAATTTGCTGGTCCTTAAAACGGGATAACAGAAGTCCCTGCCTCGGGGAATTGTGAAAATTCAATAATATATGCACATTGCTTAGTACAGACCTTACAGGACTTGTTATAGGGTCCTATTATTATGGTTGCTACTACAACTAATGCTTCCAACATTAAAGGAAAAAAGCTTCACTATAGATCTTGTCTCCATTTTCCATAAAATAGTTCCTATTCTTTTTAAAAATATATATATATATTTTATTGATATTTTACAGAGAGGAAGGGAGAGAGATGGAGAGCTAGAAACGTCGATGAGAGAGAAACATCGACCAGCTGCTCTTGCACACCCCCCACCGGGCATGTGCCCGCAACCAAGGTACCTGCCCTTGACCGGAATCGAACCCGGGACCTTTCAGTCCATAGACTGATGCTCTACCACTGAGCCAAACCGGCTTCGGCAATAGTTCCTATTCTTTAGCATGACTTCTAGAGCCATTATCATCTCATGTGAGCAGCTCAGTTTCCTGTGATGGTTCTTCCTGCCCCCTGAACCAGAACCATTGAACTAACCAGAGCTTTCATATCCCTGCTTTTCTTGTCCCAGAGTCACTTCCACTAGATCACTGTTAAGGACCCTCCCCCAAAAAAATATATATATATATATTTTTTAATATATTTTATTGACTTTGTACAGAGAGGAAGGGAGAGAGATAGAAACATCGATGAGAGTCATCGATCAGCTGCCTCTTGCACATCCCCTACTGGGGATATGCCCTCAACCAAGGTACATGCCCTTGACCGGAATCGAACCCGGGACCCTTCAGTCCCCAAGCCGACACTCTATCCATTGAGCCAAACCGGTCTTGGCCCAAAATATATTTTTATTAATTTCAGAGAGAGAGAAAGAGGGGTAACCATCAATGATGAGAGAATCATTGATCGCTGCCTCCTGCACACCCTCTACTGGGGATCGAACCTGCAACCTGGGCATGCACCCTGACCAGGAATCAAACTGTGACCTCCTGGTTCATAGGTTGACGCTCAACCACTGAGCCACACTGACCTGGCTGTTAAGGACTTTCTAAGTGCCCCTACTTTGAGAAGCCGTTCCAACACTCCTGTGAGGTGCCTTGCCCCTCCCACCTGCACCAGTTGTAACTCATTACCTCGTACCATTACCTACCCAGCAGCTTCGCTAGGTGTGAAGATCAGACGTCATTACTTGTGGGGGGCTGTTTCTCTGTTTTCCGCGACCCGTAACCCATGCGGAAAACGACAGGTTCCTGAGTGGAGGAGCTGAGGGTTAAGAAATTAAAGGAAAAAAAGAGACCAGAGGCAGAAATAGAGACAAGCTGGGACCTGGGTGGGGTCTGTCACTCTGATGGAAGGACAGTCACACCACCACAGTGCATTTACTTATTTCCAAAAGAATAAAGGGAGGTTTCCCTGAGAAGCTTAGAATCAAAGGAGTCTTGGGTGTGCCCAGGTCCTATTCATTCTCTCACTCCCGGGATTTAGCATATCAAGACCTGGGTAAATCAAGGTCCTAATCGTTCCTCATTCCAAGCACGTGGATAAAGATAAGAAATGGGTACTGATAACAGTCTACACGTTTTGGGGAAACATGTTCCCAGGGCGTGGCTCTGCCTACGCCTTGAGTTCAGCTGATGATAATTAAAGGTCATCCGTGTGCATTCCTGGGGACCCTCTACAGTTACTTCATCTCCATATTCTGGTGCTTGACACATCAGTCCAACAAGACTGGTGAGTCCATGGATGAAACGTGAGGAGAAGTACTGTGGATACTAAAAATATCTTTTGGAAGATAATTAATGAACATTTATGTTTATTAAAACCTCATTTGGCTCATAGTAGTGAAGACCAATCACATCAAAAGACATTTTTTATTTACTTCTGGTTCATCTGTAGGACACGTTTAATATGATCCTCTGTGAAAATTGATCTTGCCTTTCTGTTTTTCTTTCGTCCTTCAGGTTCTAATTATAGCCGCCTTTGCCATAACTTTATATTCGGAAAAATACTGGCCAGGAAAAAATGATCAAGTTCTTCCTCATGGTGAATAAACAAGGGCAGACCCGGCTGTCTAAGTACTACGAGCACGTGGACATTCACAAGCGAACCCTTCTGGAAACAGAAGTCATCAAGAGCTGCCTCTCCCGATCCAGCGAACAGGTAAGTTTCCAGCTCTCTCAGCTCTGCCTTCAGCTCAGCAGTGGCCTGTCTGTCATTACCGAGTCTCGGGAAGCATCGTTTTCTTTGAACTACATTCTTTCAACAGCTATTAGGGAAAAGAACCAGTGAAATGAAGGCTGACGCATAGCTCTCCTCACATCCCTTTAAGGAAAATAAAAACAAAGCAAACCAGAAAAAGCCTTGGGTTCATATATGTCTCAACACACCGTGGAAGTGGCACCTCAAACTTGTTCCTGCTGATAGACATATCTTCTTTTTTTGTTCATATGAATTCAGCCCTTGGACCTCATAGGAGTTCTTGTAGCAGCTGGTTTTCTTTAAGCCGAAAGTTGCAGGTCAGATGGCCAGTACAGAGGTAAACACTCAAAGACACATTTTGTGCCAGAGAATGATAATATGATTCTCATGTATGGTGCAGTTTTTCTCTGCTTATTAGTTTTGTGAATTTGCCACCGATATAATACTGGAACTAGTGATTTTAAAACAAATCTGGATTAGACCTGTATTCTTTTATTATATAGATAGGAGAAATGGAAGTTAAAAAAGAAAAGAAACAACAAATCCATTCATTCTGCCAAAATTAAGGTTAAATTAAATCATTAAAATGATTTTAAAATGGGAATTTTTTAAAACTGAGTTTACGTTTACAAAGAACTTTGATTTGATAATTACTTAATTCAGGCCCTAAACTTTGACTCCTTTGGAAATCACTGAACAAACTGAGACAAAGTCAGAAAGCTTGTTTAAAACACCCATTCGTTTTGCCAGTTCTCCATTTCACTGCCCAGATAGAAAGCCTGGCTGTGGGAACCATAAAATATTAAGCTACATCAGAGCTTCAGAAGTTAATGCGTTGGAACTGTTCCCCTTGTCTTCTAAATTGATTTTCCATTTGGAACATTCAAGAGTTTTCTTTGAATTACTCCTCTGCCTGCTGTGGTACACCTGCTTTGCCTCGTTGTCAGAGGAAACAGAAACTATTAAAGAACTATGTTAATAGCCACTTAATTTAAGTAAAGGTAGGCACACTCCAGAAACACTAATGCTTAAATCTTCCTATAATTTTAACTCCATAATTTCCAACACCCCTTTCACTGATAGGTTATTCTTTTTAAATATGTGCTTTTTGAATAAATATACTCTCGGATATTTTGAAGCACTCTAAATTATTTTAATAGGAATCCACTGGTGTTTTGTCAAAATCATCCCCAAAGTAGCACAATCTCAGCTTAGTTTATATTTTATCCTCAAAGTGCTTTGATACTTTATAAATACGTATATTTTTTGTTGATTTCAGAGAGGAAGGGAAAGGAAGAGGGAGAGAGAGATAGAAACATCAATGATGAGGCCTAGCTGTTTTGGCTCAGTGGATAGGGTCCTGGGTTTGATTCCGGTCAAGGGCACATGTGGGCTCGATCCCAGGATCAAGCAGGAGGCAGCCAATCAATAATTCTCATCATTGATGTTTCTCTCTCTTTCCCTCTCCCTTCTCTGAAATCAATAAAAAATATTTTTCAAAAAAGAAGCATTAATGATCAGCTGCCTCCTGCATGCCTCCTACTGGGGATTGAGTCTGCAACCCACACATGTGTCCTGACCCAGGAATTGAACTGTGACCTCCTAATTCATAGGTTGATGCTGAACCACTGAGCCTTCCCAGTTGGGCTTAATACTTTTCTTTAATGTCAGAAACTTATGAGAAGCTTTGAAAATGTTCCTCAGTTCATTCAAATAGATTGTGTTTCCTTGAAAGATCCAACAGAGCACAAATCACCCTGGCTCTACAGTTAGCTAAAGATTGCAGAATGATCCTGCATTTATTATCTTTATCCTAATCTTATTTAATAAAATAATAATATGCAAATTAACCATTACTCTACTATACCCACCAGTCATGCCCACCAGTCAATCAGGAGCGAATATGCAAATAAACCCAATCAAGATGGCTACGACCACAGAGAGCAGGAGGGAGGCTTGGGTTTCCCTGGCAATGGAGGAAGCCAAGCTTTCCGCCTGCCCTTGCCAGCCTAGGCCTCTACTCAAAGCTACAAAGTTTCAATAACAGAAGATACATAAATCCAAACAGAAATGACTGCAACCTCGGAAATAGCAGGAGGCTAGGATTGTTCCCCCTCTCTCCCCCGCATGGTGGAAGCCAAGCTTTCCACACACCCTGGCTGGCGTAGGCCTCTGATTAAGGTTACAAAGTTTTAATTATAGAAGATACATAAATCTCAAAAGAAATGACTGCGGCCATGGAGCAAGCAGGAGGCTTGGCTCCGCTCCAGGCTACAAAGTTTCAATTGTAGAAGGTAAATAAATCCCAGATACCAGGGCCTCTGCTTGGGTCGTGAGGGGGCGTGGCTGGCCTGCAAACCACCACAGGCCTCTCACCCAGGCTGCCCCACACCCCAAGGGAACCCCCACCCTGATCCAGGACACCCTTCAGGGCAAACCAGCTGGCCCCCTCCCATGCACCAGGCCTCTATCCTATCTAATAAAAGAGTAATATGCAGATGGACCATCACTCGAACACACAAGATGGCTGCCCCCATGTGGTCAAAGATCCTACCCCCATGTGGACACAAGATGGCCACCACAAGATGGCCAGCAGGGGAGGGCAGTTGGGAGGGACCCAGACGTGCAGGGGAGGGCAGTTAAGGGTGGCCAGGCCTGCAAGGGAGGGCAGTTAGGGGCAAACAGACTGGCAGGGGAGGGCAGTTGGGTTGGCAGGGGAGTGGTTAGGGGCTGATCAGTCTGGCAGGCAGAAGCAGTTAGGGGCAATCAGGAAGGCAGGCAGGCAAGCAGTTGGGAGCCAGCAATTCTGGGTTTTGAACCCTGGGTTGTGAGAGGGAGCCCAGAAAGGAGAAGACGCGGGCTGGGCTGAGGGACACTCCCTCAACCATGCACGATTTCGTACACCTGGCCTCTAGTTTTCTTTTTCTTTTTATTTCTTACATATGTTTTTATTGATTTTTTACAGAGAGGAAGGGGGAGGGATAGAGAGTCAGAAACATCGAGGAGAGAGAAACATTGATCAGCTGCCTCCTGCACACCCCCACTGGGGATGTGCCCGCAACCAACGTACATGCCCTTGACCGGAATCGAACCTGGGACCTTTCAGTCCACAGGCCGATGCTCTCACCACTGAGCCAAACCGGTTTCAGCCAAGCCTCTAGTTTTTTTTTTTGTTTTTTTTTTTTAATCAATCTTTATTGTTCATATTATTACAAAGGTTCCTCATTTCTTCCTCCCTCCACCAGGTTCCCACCCCACCCTCTGCCCCCTCCCCATCTCCCATTGTCCTCATCCATAGGTGCAGTTTATGTTCAGTCTCTTCCTCCTTCTCTTTCCCCGATAGTAAATCCCTTTTCAGATAGTAAATCAGTTACTTAGCATTTTCTCATATCAATAATACCTCCACATGCCCAATGATACACTTCACACAAAAGACATTTCCCAATAGGTCCACCAGCCTCATCCAGGCCCCACCCAAGGCACTCACAGATCAACACCCCAGCCCTAAACTAACTCAACACATCCAGATCTAAGCCTTCATCACTTGATTCAGCAGACCCTCAAGTTCCCGCAAAAGTTTCCAGCCATGTCTGAGAAGCAGCCGTGGGGCAGGGGCAGGCGAGGAGCGATATCAGGGCTAGGGAAAGCTGTGTGGAGGAGAAATACCCTGAGTTTTTATTGGCCTCTGTTGCTCTGGTTCGTTCCACAACAAGCTGCTTTGGGTCTGGTCACTGCCGCTCCCGACCTAGTTGCTCTGGACTTGGCTGCTGCTGCTCCGGGCCTGGCAGCTCCCAGCCTGGCAGCCGCTGCTCTGGGCCTAGCCGCACCCGACCCGGCTGCTCCCCCGGGCCTTGCCGCTCCCAGCCTGGCAGCCGCTGCTCCGGGCCTGGCCGCACCCGACCCGGCTGCTCTGGGCCTGGCCGCTCCCAGCCTGGCAGCCGCTGCTCCGGGCCCGGCCGCACCTGACCCGCCTGCTCCCCCGGGCCTGGCCGCTCCCAGTCTGGCAGCCGCTGCTCCGGGCCCGGCCGCACCCGACCCGGCTGCTCCCCCGGGCCTGGCCGCTCCCACAGGCCTCTAGTTTTAAATATAAACCTCACCTCCTCCATTTTATAATTTGTCAAGTGGCTTCAATGGAATAAATTCCATGTTCAAAATGTGCAGCTTCAATCTCAGGTGCATCCAGGTAGGCAAGAGCAACAAGCCGTACAGCTGATGCTCAATCACGTTTGGCCAAGCACGCCTGAAGTCCAAGGAAGGGCAGCACGGTGCCTCTGTTAGCTCCCCAGTTCCTTTCCATGCAGTGCCATCCCATTATCCTTTGTACGAGACTATAGGAGAGAGAGAAATGGACAGGGGGTTGTTTTATCCACAAGCCAGTGATAGTAAGCTAGTTATGAATTCATATGAGGTAGTTCTTACAATGAAAGATGTTAGTCTAGCATTTGCCACACAAAAACCATCTTTATCTTTTCTTTATTTTTTAAAATATATTTTTATTGATTTCAGAGAGGAAGGAAGAGGGAGAGAGATTGAAACATCAATGATGAGAGATAATCATTGATTGGCTGCCTCTTGCCTGCCCTCTACTGGGGATCAAGCTCACAACCCGGGCACGTGCCCTGACCATAATCGAACCAGGAACCCTTCCATCCACAGTCTGGCGCTCTCTCCACTGAGCCAAACCAGCTAGGTCTCAAAAGCCACCTTTAAATGGTTTATAGAAGAGTCTACATTGATTCTATGGAGCTAGGAAAAAGAAATAGAGATTTATTTTATTTTTTGGCATCGGTGTCTGCTACATATATTTGGTTCTTCAGTATTGTTAAATAATATAAAGCTAAATCTTTAATTGTTTCCCAAAAGACCTAGGGGAGGTGAAAAGAAGAAAATGTTGTAGTGGATTATTTTCTCATTGCAGACAGTTTAAAATGCTGAGTGTTCAGTAGTGTTGCCTGCTGAGTTTCATAGAGAGCCCGCCAAGGAATAAGGAGCACAGGTGGGAACCCGTGAGAACACGGAGCCTTTGTTCCAAGACCACCTCCTTCCTCCCAGTAGAGATGCTTCCAATGTCTCCTCAATATTGTGAGGAGAGACCCACCAAGACCTAACATTTTAATGTGTATTTCTAAGAATGTGTTGACAGGTACTCAAATCAGAAGCTAAAAACTATGTAAGCCATTCTGAAGAAATCCACTTCCACCAGAGGAATTAATATGTAATTGTGTTTTGTCTAGTGCTCTTTCGTTGAATATAAGGATTTTAAGCTGATCTATCGGCAGTATGCAGCTCTGTTCATCGTGGTTGGAGTCAATGACACCGAGGTAAGAGAGCAGAAGAGCCTATGGAAGTTACATATTAAAACAGTCTGGTTTTTATTCCTCCTTACATTGACATTTTCTTCCCTACTTGCCTCTCTAAGAATTACTTTGGCTCTTTTGCAGGATTTTGGTTTCTATCAGGGCTAGGGAAAGCTGTGTGGAGGAGAAATACCCTGAGTTTTTATTGGATTAGATGAGCAGCTTGTAGAGAAGCACGAAACCACAGAGGGCCTTCCTCAACCCAAAGCAATACTGGTGTCCTGCCCTTGTCCCATGGTGCACACGGGGGCAGTGTAGGCAGTTTAGTGTGATGGCCAATCTATTGTGGCATTAAACATAGGCTGACATATCAGAGGCCCCAGCAAACTGTGAATATGATTCTGTTGTGATTATGTCTCCTGAGATTTAAGTTCACCTTTTCAGAAATGTCAGGCCCAGAACAACAGCACCTGTGGCCATGGACTCTCCAAAAGAGTGATCTAAAATACTTTGAAATCTCAGTGTTTTATCTGCGAACAAAACTTGGAGATAGCTTCCGCATCTTCACAAGTGGAAAAGTGATGGCAAGTGGAAACTGAAAAATTGCTTCAGCCAGTTGGTGAAGTCATTGAGTAGAGCTCAGAATTCTGCACTAGACTCGGTCCGGTTTCAGTCCAGCTAGATTCATCATGGACACTTAAAAAAAACCTTAGCAGTTACAGTTTTCTACATTTCTCCTCTTAATAAACTTCTTTTAAACAAGTGAGTTATAAAGCTGTTTTTGCATCCTTCCTTTTTTATTTCAGAATGAGATGGCGATTTATGAATTCATCCATAACTTTGTGGAAGTTTTAGATGACTACTTCAGCCGAGTGGTAAGTCTAATGCTTAAAAGGGTTTTCGTCCTCAGGCCAATTTTCCAGAAATGGTTCTATATCAAGAACATGTGTTAATATAGAGCTCTAATATGTAAACGTTAAAACTCAGATGATGGCAGACTTTCTTTACCTTTCCTTCTGGCTCATGCAGAGTGTTCTGAACCTACTAGTAGTTCTTTATAAAGACTAAGAACGTTTTATGTATTTCTCAGTTAAGAGATTTTGCTATCTAGTTTTCTCTCTCTTTTCTTTCTTGTGCTGCCCCTTGTACAATACAAGGTATCTTTTTAAGTCATGGAAATTAAATTAAATTAAATTAAACTCTTGCTTTGAAGATCAAAACCAACTCCTCTTAAGGAATACATGAGTTCCTTTCCAACAGTTCTACTTAAAAAAAAACAAAAACAGCTATATTGAAATGTAATTTACATACTATACAATTCACCCTCTTAAATATATTTTTAGTATTTATGTTATCTGGTATACAGAGTTGTGCAACCATCACCACAATCAATTTTAGAGTATTATATCACCCCAAAAAGAAGCACAATGCTCCTTAGCATTTCCCTCCCACTTATCTGTCTCCACCTGCTCTAGGCCCTAGGTAGTCAGTAATCTATTCTCTGTCTCTATAAGTTTATCTATTCTATAGTTTATCTGTTCTAGACATTTTATATAAATAGATTTGCACCAAGAAGATTAACATGACCTCCACACAACGATGACATGCAAATTCCTGAATAGAATTGTACAATATCTGGTCTTTTGTGACTGGTTTTTTTTTTTTAAACTTAACATTTTCAACATTTATCAGTATTGTAGCATGTATTAGTAATTATTTCCTTTTTATTGACAAATAATATTTCACTATATGGCTATACCACATTTTGTTTATTCTCTCTTCAGTTGATGGGCATTTGGGTTATTTATATAAACATTTGTGGACACATTTTTGTGTGGAATCATCTTTTTGGTTCTCTAGGGTATATACTTAGGATTGGAATTGTTGGATCATATGGTAACTCCATGTTTACCATTTGATTGGTGTGGCCACTATGAAAAGCAGCATGGAGGTTCCTCAAAAAATTAAAAATAGAGTTAACATATGATCTAGCAATCCACTTCTGAGCATTTACCTGAAGAAATCCGAAACAGTAATTCAAAAAGATATATGCGCCTCTATGTTCATTGCAGCATTTTAACAATAGCCAAGACATGGAAGCAACATACACTGAGTAGCCAGATTATTATGATCTCTGAACACATAATAATCTGGCCACTCAGTGTATATCCTATATGATAAAAGGCTAATATGCAAATTGTCCCCTCGACCAGGAGTTCGACCAGCAGGCTGGCCGGCCCACCGCCCATGTCCACTCCCCCTGGTCAGGCTGGCTGGACCCTACCTGTTGCACAAATTCATGCACTGAGCCTCTAATACACACACACACACACACACACACACACACACACACACACACACACACTGAGTGGCCAGATTATTATGTGTTCAAAGATCATAATAATTTGTCCACTCCGTGTTAGTGTCCTCTAATAGATGATTGGATAAAGAAGATGTGGCACATATACACAATGCCATATTACTCAGCCAGAAAAAGAATGAAATCCGCCCAGGGAGTGTTGCTCAGTGATTAAGCATCAGCCTTTGAACCAGATCCTGGTTTGATTCCCTATCAGGGCACATGCATCCCCAGTGGAGGTTGTGCATCAGTGATTCTCTCTCATCATGGATGTTTCTATCTCTCTCCCTATCTCATCTCTCTGAAGTCAATAACAATGTATATATTTTTTAAAAATCAGTTGTCCATAAATATAAGTATTTATTTCTGGACTTTCAGTTCTGTTCCAATTATCCTTCTGTTTATCCTTCTGACAGTACCACATTATCTTCCTGATGTTAGATTTGTAGTTAGTTTGAAATAGTCTTTTAAAAGAATCAGTAAAGATGTTTTACTCTGTACGTAGGCCTTCCTCTGCCTTGGTTAGATATTCTTGAGAAGTAGAGGTAGCACAGGATGATTTAAAAAAATATATATATTTTTTATTGATTTTTTACAGAGAGGAAGGGAGAGGGATAGAGAGCTAGAAACGTCGATGAGAGAGAAACATCGACCAGCTGCCTCTTGCACACGCCCAACCGGGGATGTGTCCGTAACTAATGTACATGCCCTTGATTGGAATCGAACCCGGGACCTTTCAGTCCGCAGACTGACGCTCTACCGCTGAGCCAAACCGGTTTCGGCTAGCACAGAATGATTTTTCAAAGTTGTTTTGTTTATTACATTTTGCTTTTATTTTTTAAAAAATATTTTTATTGATTTCAGAGTGGGAGAGGGAGAGATATGGAAACATCAATGATGAGAGAGAATAATTGGTCAGCTGCCTCCTGCACGTCCCATCCTGGGGATCAAGCCTGCAACCCGGGCATGTGCCCTTGACGAATTGATCCTGGGACCCTTCCGTCCACAATTCGATGCTCTATCCACTGAACCAAACCCGCTAGGGCTCATTCTCCTTTTACATAAAATTCTTAGGAAGGAATTGTTTCCAACTTGCTTTCCTAGGAGAGTGAGTGAAATCCACAGTTAGTAATACTGAGTGTACTAAAGCCTGCTTAGGCCAAAACTCATGTTAACAAGTTATATCTCAGTCTAACTCCTAATGCCAGAAGTAGCATTTGGCAGGCTCCTTCAGGGACAGTTATCTGGCCTGTCTTCCCTGCCGGGTGCAGAGGTCTCAGCGTGTGGCTCTTGGACGAGCAGCCTACTGGTAATCATCACCTGGGAACTTGTAAGACAAAACTCTGGACCCACCCCGACTACTGGATTAGAAACTCTGGGTTAAAGTCCAGCAGTTGGTGTTTTAACAAGATTTCAGGTGATTCTGGTGCATGCTTACCTCATGAGGCTTATGATCGGCCATTTCCTGATTTAGATGTTGGAGCTGGGAAGCGGCCTAGTGGCTTTCGACACAGTAACGCATCTAACAAGGAAGGGATTGGTGGCCTCCAAAACTGGAAGAGGGCAAGAGGTTGGGCCATTCCGGATGCTGGCTTTGAGGGGACAGAGAGCATTGAGGCTGGCTTTAAAATTCATCTTTGTATTCATTGTTCGGAGAGAGTACTGTCAACCAACAGTATCCAAAAGAACTTTTCAGCAGCAATAGAAATGTCTGTACTTGTGCCATCCATTGCGGTAGGCGCCAGCCACATGTGGCTCTTGGACACTTAAAATGTGATTAGTGTAAATGAGGAATTTTACTTTTATTTGGTTTTAATTTAAATCGCCACATGAGGCTAGTGGACAGCAGAACTCTAGCTCCGAAGGACAACTCTCTTAAGACAGGCTGGTCGCAAATCAAAGTCTGTGATTCCGGGCTGGCCATGATTAGATTAAGGGAACACCTACCAAGAAGAATATAATTTCCCAAATTGGCAATGTTTTAAACTGGGAGACTAAAGAGTGGGTGCAAGCACTATAATTTCTAAAGGGTTTAAAATGATTATTGTCATATTCAGTAACTGAGCATAAATAGCATGTTGCTGAATTGGCCTGTAATTCTAGGGAGAGTCAGTGACCACATAAGCCACAGAGGTAAAGAGCAGAATTTAATTTAAACCTGGTGATTATACGGGACTTGGAGCACCCAGGCGTGGGATGACAGTAGTAGCAAAAAGAAGGGAAAGAGGAGGGAAAAGAGTAGATGGGAGAGAGAATAGAAACTGTCCCACTCACGGAGAATGCCTTGTCATCTAAAATTATTTTTAGGTTTCTGAGTTTTGAACATTCTTTCTGGGACTATTTTTAATCTTAGAGTATCCAAATCTTAAATTTGGAGATCAGTCTCATGCTGCTGTCTGGGCTGAAAGAAGCATCTGCGCATCACATTTCAAAACAAAAGGCCAACTCACTCAGCTGTAACAGAGGTGGTTCGCAAAAGCTGAGGAGCAGGGTTGTCAGTGCTGCCTTTGCCGAACTAAGTCCTTTCAAATATGTATTTGGCTCTTTGCTTATTTTTTTCCTCTATGAATATCTATATTCATTGAAAAAAAATTAAAAATACATACAAGGAAAACAAAGGGGAGAAGATCATCAGTAAGCCCATCACTTATTGGTAAATTTCCTTTCAGGCTCTTTATATATATAGCAGGTAAGGGCCATGGGCAGGAAAACAATTATGTGTATACTAGAGGCCCAGTGTGCGAAATTTGTGAACTTGGGGCGGGGCGGGGAGGGGAGTGTCCCTCAGCCCAGCCTGTACCCACTCGCAGTCCAGGAGCCCTCCGGGGATGTCCGACTGACGTGGAGGTGGGAGAGGCTCCTGCCACCACCACTGCGCTCACCAGCCATGACCCGGCTTCTGGCTGAGTGGCACTCCCCCTGTGGGAGCGCACTGACCACCAGGGGGCAGCTCCTGTGTTGAGCGTCTGCCCCTGGTGATCAATGCACATCATAGCAACCAGTCATTCTGCTGTTCGGTCGGTTTGCATATTAGCCTTTTATTAAATAGGATATATGGAGTAATTCTGTACATACCATTCATATAACTTGCTTTTTATTCAACAATATGTCAGTACTTAGGTATCTGCATTGTCATTTCTGGATCTGCTATAATTTTTTTAACTAGCCCCCCCCTAATTTTCAATAATTTGCTATTATAAACATTACCCTGTGATATCCTATCGCACATTGTTGTGCCATTATCTAATTATTTCCTTAAGATAAATTCCCAGGAGTAGAATTGATGGATAAAAGGTTATACACATTATTAAGGTTTTTTATAAACCTATCAAACTTGCCTATCATCTGTAAAAGTTGAGTTTGTTTATCCTCTCTATGTTCTAAGGATAACTGTTCTAGTCTATAAATGCAGCCCCCTTTTTTTAAAATCACAATCCTAAGCTCAGGGCCTTTCCGTTCTCACACTTCTGTGCCCATAGCAACTGCTCCCACTGCTTCCAGGTGTGCGGCCAGAGCAGCCCTAACTCTGCTAAGTGCATTCTGTCCCGATGTCTCATTCTCACGCATGCACTCTTTTCTCTTCCAGAGCGAATTAGACGTATCCTTTTTCAATGCCGTGAGTCAAGCTTTCCACAATATTTGGCAAAACACAGGCTAGTCTTTATTAGGTAAGTGCCATGGTCATAAAAAGGTTTGCAGAACCTTTCTAGAATCCAGAATGCTGGTGACCAACGACCAGAACATAACAGCCAGAGGTACGAGAGCTTTGCAGAAACACCCGCCTTTTTTGCAAAGACAGTTCTTAAGGTTTTTGTATATTTCAGACAAGGCAGTTCTGTGGTAGTAGTTACAATAACTGTTATGTATTAATTTAACTTCTTTTAAGGATATAGGATCGACCTTTTTAGAATTTAAATAACAAAAGGTGCTTGGTCCTGGTAAAAAGAAAGGATTTTCATGGCTCCAGGTATAAATCTCCGGAAATTTTCCACATGGTCTTCAGGGATGATAAACCAGAGGGTTAAAGAAATTGCCTGGCTCATATTTATTTCCTTTTATAGCGGAGAATGCTCTCCTTTTCTTCCTTCTCTTCTCCCTTTTATTTTTTCTAAATTTATCTTTATTATTGAAAGTATTGCCTACGTCCCTCTTTTTTTCCCATTGACCCCCCTTAATCCCATACCAGCCTTCCTCCCCACCAAGGTCTTCCCCACACTATTGTCTGTGTCCATGGTTATGCATATATTTATATACGTTCCTTGGTTAATCTCTCCCTACCTATTCCCCCCACCCCAGCCTTCCCTCTGAGATGTTCCATGCTTCTATATTTCTGGGTCTATTTTGTTCATCAGTTTGTTTTTTTCATTAGATTATTCTCCCTTTTAAATCAAAAGGCCTCAACCACAAGCATGATCTGCTAAGAGGCCTGCAGGCCTGCAGACTGGGGCAGGAGTCCCCAGGCATGTGTGAGTGCTCTGGAGGGAAGTTGTCTTTCACAAATTTGCTCACCACTGAAAGCAATGAGGAGAGAGTCCTCTGAGAAGACATCAGGCTTGAATCCAACACAGTTACACTAATTATAACAAATAGATATGAATTATAGCCTGCTTATGTATATGTTGGTATACATACATTTAGACATGTGTGCCCAGAATCAGGATATTCTGAAGAAATAGACGTTTACCTTTAACTAGTGATAGAAAATGTCAACCCGTTGATAAACTTCATTTGCAGGCTGTATTTGGAAGCCTCTTTAAATTAATTGGGAAAAATCTGCATGCCCTCTAAAAGTGAGTGACCTGAATCTAGGACCCCTTTGACTTAAGGGGACCCGAGACCAGGCTGCATATCAACATATAACATTCATTTTAACTGAGTAAGCCCTGTAAAGCAATTCAAAATAAATCTCTTCCTCCTCGTACAGGGGAATAAGAAATTGCCTTTTGCCGAAACCGGTTTGGCTCAGTGGTAGAGCGTCGGTCTGTAGACTGATAGGTCCCAGGTTCGATTCCGGTCAAGGGCATGTACATTGGTTGCGGGTACATCCCCTGTAGGGGGTGTGTAAGAGGCAGCTGATCGATGTTTCTCTCTCATCGATGTTTCTAGTTCTCTATCTCTCTCCCTTCCTCTCTGTAAAAAATCAATAAAATATATTTTACAAAAAAAAAAACACAAAAAAAAAAACAAAGAAATTGCCTTTTGACTTCAAGGAAGATAGTGACAACTGACTGACACTTCCCTGGGAATGCAGACCCCAAGTTCCACTTTGGGTTCTAACACCAATTAGCCGTGTGTGTTGGACAAGTCACACCGCCTCTTATCTAAAAATGATAGAATTAGACTCGACGAGCTTTAAAGTCTCAGCCTTAATATTTGATGTTGCTGTGACTCCAGGTAACTGAGCTGAGTTACCTTATACTCGGAACAGGAGAGGACAGTCCTACAGGGTTAGGTATTCAGAGAATTAAAGTGAACCAGACGTAACAGGATATGTAGGACAGTTGGCCTCGTTGTGTTGTGTCTTACGCGTTGATTAGATGTTTATTAAAAGTAGAGATGGGTTTGTCTTTGGGTCCCTCTGGTGAATAGCTAAGGTCCACGTAATGAGCTCCAGCATTCTCGTTTGAATTTAATTTCCACACTAAGACACACAACTTGTATCTTTCCCCTCATTTTACTTAATTTCATTTTTACCTTCTCTTCCTCTCTGACCTACTTATTTACTGTCCTAAGGAATTTCTTTGGCATATCCGTCTGACAGATTAAGAATTTTGCATCTCTTAGAGAAGGAAACTAAATCTCTCAAGTGTACGTCTTTGCTGTAGGAATCATTTCATGGGGATCTCCTGTGTCTGAAAGCGGAGCCGACTGCAGGCCAGGTAGGGCCTGGGGCACTGTCTTGTATTGAATTTTTTAAAAGTATGATTTTATTTATTTCAGCGAGAAAGCGAAAGGGAGGGAGAGATAGAAACCTCAGTGATGAGAGAGAATCATTAATCTGCTGCCTCCTGCACGCCCCACACGGGGGATCAAACCTGCAACCCAGGCATGTGCCCTGATTGGGAAGCGAACCTTGACTTCCTGGTTCATAGGTCGCTGCTCAATCACTGAGCCACAGGCCAGGCTTCTATTGACATTCTTAAAAGGGTTTTCACCCTCAGCCATCTGGAAAAAAAAAAATCAAATTAAAAATCTACAACTCTACTCTGCTCATCCATGGTTCTTTCTAACTGTCAAGTGTGCAGGGAGCACCACCACACACCAGTGCCCCACCAGGAAGGCCGGGCGCCTTGCAGTGGCTCCTGCTCTCCGAGTAAGCCGTGGGTGGCCTGCATCGCCGCTCTGGTCTCCGACCAGGAGCCCGCTGGAGCAGTGAGCACTGCGAGGTCTGTTTGTTCCAGGAAAACTTCCGTAGGCCTTGAAGGGCTGGAAACACGCAAGTGATACCATTACAACCTGGAGCTGGTTCTTCCAGCACTCAGGGCACATAATCTTTTCTTTTTTTTTTTCTTTTTTTTTTTTTTTTTTAATATTTTTATTGGTATTTTACAGAGAGGAAGGGAGAGAGCTAGAGAGCTAGAACCATCGATGAGAGAGAAACATCGACCAGCTGCCTCTTGCACACCCCCTACTGGGGATGTGCCCGCAACCAACGCACATGCCCCCCTGATGGGAATCGAACCCAGGACCTCTCAGTCCGCAGATCAATGCTCTACCACTGAGCCAAACCGGTTTCGGCAGGGCATATAACCTTCATGTGTGCTCAGGCTTAAGGAAGCCTTCCTTGTCAATGCAGAGCAAAGACTTAGGCTCAGTTTTATGCAGCAATAGGAGGATGGAAGTCAGAACCTCAGGGAATTCCCAGAAAGTCCTTTACTTGCAGTCTTTTTCCCCAGAAGCTTTACCATCCTGAAACCTTTTGAGAAGGGGGTGGGGGGAGCAGATTTCCAGTGTCTGCACAGAGTTTGAGAAATAAAATGCACCATTTATAATACATTTCTCCTGAGTATAGGTTTGTTCTACTTCACAGGGCAAGGCAGATGGGATTTTAAAAAGAAACAATGGGCCTAGCTGACATGGCTAGAATGCCAACCTGCATACTGTAGGGTCTCTGGTTTGATTTCTGGTTAAGTTGCAGGTCTGATCCTTGCCGTTGGTCACAACCAATCTATGTGTCTCTCCCACCTCTCTCTGTGTTTCTCTTTGTCTCTCTTTCTCCTCCCTCCTCCCTTTCACTCTCTGAAATCAATGGAAGAAATATCCTCACTCCTTGGGTGAGGATTTAAAAGAAAGAAAGAACCTAAGCACAAGAATCAGCACAGAAATTGACTTGTTGAATCCCCTTCTACTAAGTGGAAACTAGTAGCCATGTCTGGTGGGGCAGACTGCACTCTTGGGACCAAGCACACCAACGGCCTGAGTCGTCCACGTGCCAGGAGTAAACTCGTGTGTGCATCCCACTCCAGCCCCTCGGTGCAATGCCGCCTCAGCACCCATGAGGCCCCGCTCCTACAAGGAAATTGTGCCCCATTACATACTTCAGTAGACTTAACACTTCAAATTCCATGAATTAAGATGTTTTTTTTAGTCAATAAATAAAAATTTTAAAAAATTTGAGAGATGGTTTTTAGGAACCAACTGATGAGCTTCCCAAAATGTGCTCCACTCTGGAGCCCCAGGTTTGCTGAATTCTTCAGACAGTTTGTAATTCAAAGGAGCTATCTCTACCCCCTTCTGCTAAACCGTCGAGGGACGGCACCGGTGTACGGTGCTGAGGGGAGATGTCCAGTTTCTCAGTTCTGCTCACCTCCTATGGGTGCAAAGGTTCAGGAAACCTCTAGCACCCTTTTGGCATTTGGTGCCTCCAAAGAGGCTTACAGGCTTGGTTTATGTTAGCCAGAATGGAATGCACCAGCCCTGCCTTTGGACCTGCATTCTGGGGTCTTTTTCCTGGGCCCCCACTCTTGCTCTCTTCAGCAGCATCCCTCTCCTTGGGGTGAGGGCACTTACCGAGCGCGGTCAGGGCCCCTCCCACCCGTTTCTTGACTATCCTCCCACTACTTGGGCCCCAGAATTTACTGAGTACCCAGACGGCCCAGAACCGCTGCCAGGCAGGTGCGGGCCTCTGCCCCACCCCGACCCCAGGACGGTGGGCAGGAATGATAGCAGCTGGGATAACTGTGGTAACCCACACACTACATGGGGAGAAAAGCAGGGATCAGGCTTAGATACTTATATTCCTGTGTCTCCCAAATATAGGGTCCGCCTAGAATCCAATGTTTTAATTGAAAAATATCTTAAGAAAAACCGTTAGAACATTCATTATGAGCTGTTTTTATTTTACAAGTCCTTACAGCCCAAAGACTGAGCAATTAATTCCAGAGCCTACAGCGCGTGTGGGTAATGTGAAAGCACCCTGATGCACGCCCTCTTTATCGCAGCTGAGGGTGGGGCGTAGGAAGGGCCTCCATCCTCCTTGCACTGCCTGTGAGTCAGGCAGTCACAGACCAGGGTGCTCCCTGGAGGAACGAATGCACCAGCTCAGGGAATTCACGCGCCTCCAAGATTGGCAGTCAGGCCTGACCCCTGCCCGCGTGGGGCAGCTCACTCCCTCACTGCCGTCCTAAGATCCCAAGCACCCGTGGAAGTCCGGAAACTAGAATAGGGCTTCTCCACGCAGGAGGCGATGCCAGCCTGACCTAAGCAGACATCACAGAGTACTGGTTCAGCTAGGGGCTGTGGACATGCCGGCGAGATGAACAGAGAACTCCCCCAGCGAGCTGCTCTGCACTGCGGTAGCAGCTTCTACGTGCCCTGGGTTTTTGTGTTGTCCGGAAAGTTACCATCATGAAGTCATGACGAGAGGATTTCTTCTGGGGTGTGATGGAGCCCACCTCAGGAATGACTTGGTAATATCAGAAAGGAGTCAAGTGGCTCCCTCTCCCTGAAGGTTCCTTTTAGTCAGAGGACTTGAGGACTTTAAAGCAGGAAGGAAACTTCAGAATCATCAGGTGAAGACCTCCCGTTGCAGACGAAGAGGCTGAGGTCCTGAGAGGTCCCGTGACGTGCGTCCCCATCCATAGGGCGACTTCGGGGCACAGCTGGTGTTCTGGGTTTCCACCGTGCTTGACTCTCGGGCTATAAGTTAGATATAAGATTTTTTTAAAATTCATAATCATCTGGAGTAGATTATGGCAATCCAATGACTAGCAAAATTAAAATATTTTGCTAGTCATTGGATTGCCATAATAGTGCCTGTCACCATGCTGTCTCGGTGTTTTCAGAGCCTTTTTTCTGAACGAGGGAAGAAGTTTTAGAGAAACACTAGTCTGTGGCTGGAGGAGATGAAGAAAAATCTCGAGGAGAGCATCTGCATGTCCTGATAAGAGCACGCTCTAAAAAAGGGGGCTCACGTTCAGAGATTGCTAAACATCTCTTCCTTTTGGAAGCATGGGAGTTGAAAACTGGGCTGGAAGGCGTGAGAGCTGCCCCTCGGCTTGAGGGAATGTGTGCAGCCTGTGCCGTGTTCAGAAGGGCAGGCTCTGAGCTGAGGGCCAGCAGCCTCCCAGCAGGGTCCCCCAGAGCTGCCATGAGCGGGGAGTCTCAGCGTTATGAGCCGTCAGTCCTGCTAGGAAAGGGCAGTGGATGTTCCAGATTGAACGGCTGGCTGCCTTCCAGGCCTTCTGGGCTCTCACCAGCCTTAGTCACCTCCTTCTTTTCGTTGTGTTGAGTCCATGAGGTGTCATGTCCAACTGCTGCTCTTCCTCCTCAAGTCCCCCTTCCTCCGCCCTCCTTCTGCCCCTGCTGCTGGTTCTGTTTGACTCAGGAATAGTGACAGCAAGTCATGAGAAGCAGCAGTTAGGAAAAAAATACAAGACAAATGACAGGCTTATTTGATTCAGTGCTCACTTTCATTTTTAGGTAATTTTACATAAGTCTACATAAACTGAAAAAAAAAAAAAAACTATTCCTGGATGTTTTGTTGCTCTGAGTAGGAATGAGTCTTTAAGGAAACCTACTTTAAAAATAAAAAGGATTTATTCCTGTTCTGTGGCCTCATTAATGAGACAATACTAAGCCTGTAAGTGAGCAGAAGACTGTATTTCAGGGAGTGTGTCCAGGCCTGCAGAGCCTTCCTGCGGGCAGTGTCTACACGGCGATAGTGGCTCTGCGGAGTGTGAGCTCAACGGCCTTCCGTAGGTCACCTAATTTCATGGGAAATCGAAGTATAAATAATGAGAGCAAGTTTTCTCCTATGTTCATGTATTAAAGAACTTTGCTTAGCTAGGAGAGGGGGGCAAGGGGGGAGGATAGAGAGGAAAGAGAGACAAAGGATTAAGACCAAAGTCTAGTTAGAAATTTCAGTTCTAGACTGGACTCTGCCTCGGAGTTGTTTCTGAGGACCCATTGGAATGTATGCTGCTCAGTTTCTCTTAGAAAAGAGTACAGGAGAATTAGACCACCACAGTGGTGTAAAAACACCATGTTGAAAGTGTTTTATGATCCAGAGATCAAAATTCCAATGTACCAACCACAAACAGTTCAATCCCTTTAATTAAAAAAACTGATTTCAAGTGGCAGTAGCATTTGTGGGGCCTCAAGATGTTCAACTTCAATCTACATGACATAGAATTCAGAGGCTTCTGGGCTTCAGGGTTAAGAGAAAATGGGGCTTTACGAATCTGCTCTTGGGACACAGTTTCCAGCTCATTCTCAGCTCCAACCTTAGGGTGCCTATGAAGGGAAACATGTATGAAGGAACCTATGTCAGCCAAGTTCAGTGTAGCCGGAAGGTAGGACCTTGAAATCATCATATTAATAGACCAGCAGCTTAGGCCTTTCCTGCTTTGTACTATTCCTGTCAGGGTTGATGTGGGTGCGCCCATTTTTTACCATGGGCGTGGCATATGGTTGTTTTTTTTTTTTTATTCCTGCTCACCTGGCATTTGGCCCGAATGCCATGACTCTTGGCTTCACCAGTGTGCACAAGTTGCTCATAAACCAAATCAAGATGTGACCAACAGCTAGATTATTTTAAAGGAGTCAAGTGATTCCGGGGGGGAGTCAGCCTTCAGGCTGTTGCCTCACACAGGGTTTAGTCTGTGGTTTCCCTATGTAGTGCCAGGAAGCTGCATCACATTATTAGCGGTTTGAGCCAGACGCTCAGATAGACAGGCAGTCACATGCCTACATACACGATGACCTCACTGAGCAACTCCTCTTTCCTGGGTGTTGGGAAATTCGGGCCAGCTGAAGAACCTTGTCCTTGCAATGTGAGGATGCCGGTGGTTGATAATGATTCAGCAGTACATTCCAATCTGAATTTCAAAACAATTAGCCAGTTGCTGAAGGGGACATCTGAATTGCTGATCATCTACTTTCCAGAGATGGAAGTCTTCAGAGTAGCTTGATCCCTGAACCGATTCAAATAGATTAAAATTAGATCTCCTGTCTCAAAGAAAATTATCTTGGACGAGCTGGCATTCCCAAAGGCACGAAGGTTTTCATTGCCCTAAGTCAGTGGTCGGCAAACTGCGGCTCACGAGCCAACCACTGCCCTAAGTGAATACAGCAGGGGGATTCTCCAGGCCATTTTACATGCAGCCACCTATGCTCCCCAACTGTGCCTTTGTACCTTACTATCATTCCTGCCTTGTCTAGCTTGTAAGTTCTGGCTTTGGGGTCCGGTGAACAGGACTGAGACAAGGGCCTAATATTTCAGTTCCAATTTGGCCCTAGACAAAGCAGTCACCTATATTATTAATAGGTATATCAGAGTAAAAGCTTTTTTTCTTTTTTTTTTTTCTGGGTCACTTAAGGACAGTTCCCGTGGGTTCCTGAAAAACAGTTTATTCTGCTGGTGGACTATTTGCACAGAGCTTAATGAGATGTTACGGCAGAGCCTAATAGAAACTTAAAAGTCATTCAGAGGGTTGTCTCATTCTCTATAGATGTACTTCACTAAGCATATACGATATAGACAGGACATCTGGAATTACTGAAAAAATCAGGTGGTAATGATTCATTTTACAAAGATTGACTATTTAAATATGAATTTCCATAGTGCATTTAATCACTCGTTTGTTGGAAGCTTGTCCACTTGAAATGATCTGTCAGCTGTTGGGTGGTTTTTTTGTGTGTTTGTTTTTAAAAAATATATATTTTATTGATTTTTTACAGAGAGGAAGAGAGAAGGATAGAGAGTTAGAAACATCATTGAGAGAGAATCATTGATCAGCTGCCTCTTGCACACCTGCCACTGGGGATGTGCCTGCAACCAAAGTACATGCTCATCACCGGAATCGAACCTGGGACCCTTCAGTCCAAAGGCCTATGCTCTGTCCACTGAGCCAAACCGGCTTCGGCCTGTTGGGTGTTTTAACAGGTCAGGATAATGCTTTTTAAATAGAATTTGAAACTTAGAATTCATAAACATTTCAATAATTGTCATCACCTCATTCCAATTTCACAAAAGTAAAGTTAGGTCCTCAAATGAAGGGTCTTCTGGAGGAAGTGTTTGGCTCTTTCCAATTAGGTAAACATCACGGTCTAACAATATTTTTTTCTTCCCCCATGCCTTATACTAACTTTCCAGAAGGAAGATCAGTAAGCAAAAGTGACTCCGTAATTCTCAAGTGTTTTTAAAACTGCCCGTTTATAAGAGGTACTGTCTTGAAATTCAGAATTTTTATGTACTTGGGAATTGAGTCTGCATTGCCTTGCCTTCATCATTCATTTCTCCTAATGGTTATTTTTTCTTCAGCCCTGTGACATAGAAGAGAGCTTAAAATGCAGCATCATAAAGGCATTTATTATTGGGTGGAGGTTTGAAGGTTGAATGAGGGCATATACTCAGTAGCCTAAGGCCCCTCCTGAGAACACTGGAAGCAGAGTAGTGAAGGCCAAACTTTGGGCTGCCAGTCCAGCTCTGGCTATTACTATCCATGTGACCTTGGACAATGGCTTTGAGCCTGTTTGCTCCTGTGTAAAATGAGGATAATATGTAACATGTACATCATAGAGTTGTAGAAAAACCTAAAATAATATGTAAAACAGCCAACACGATGCCTGGAGCATAATGTGTATCCAGTACAACATGGTTATTACTGCTATGAGCCAACATTTTTCTTGAGGCCAAGTCATGCTCTTGTCAAATGTCACTTGCTGTGTTCTCCAGCCCTTAGTGGATTCCTTCTCCCTCTGGCTAACAGGTGTAGCTGATGCATTTCTATGGCTGTAGTCCAGTTAGGTGTATCTGAACATAAAGTTAATAACTTCTAATATAGACACCAATTTAAAATTTTATTTCAAGAATTCCATAAAACAAACAAAAAACACCTTCATGCTTAGACTAATTTGCACTGGAAAAATTCCAGGCTGAGTCCTAAGTTATTATTTAATGTTAACATTTTTATAACTCTAAAACTAATTTCCTTAATGTGACTTTAGATAATGTTTAATTTGGATAAAGTACACATCATTTTGGATGAAATGCTATTAAATGGCTGCATTGTAGAAACGAATCGGGCAAGAATTCTTGCCCCTCTACTAATTCTCGATAAGATGTCAGAAAGCTGAGTAACGGGAGGCTCTGCCGGGAACCGTCAACACAAGAAATGAGAACACGGAATGCCTCAGCACCTGCAGCCCCAACAATCGGGAAGAGCACACTGCACACCGGGCATCTTTCCAAAGACATTTTAAATAGGTGTTTTTCATATTCCTGAATGGAAAACAAAGCCGTATTTTAAAGAGATGTTTTCTTTTCTAACCATAAACATTTTTCACTTATTTTTTATTAATAATAAAATGTTGGTTTCTGCTTCCCTTTGCAAATTAAATTCAGGAATAGCACCATGAGGTGGGAAGTATGGCAGTTCTTTATCAGCCAATAAAAGTGTAGAACTGGCAAACACAAGTAGCACTTTGTCTTCTGAATATGACTGACTATGCTGTACTGAAAATACTGTAATTGAAATGTGAAAAAAAAATGTAAGTCTTAAAAAGTCAAAATTTTACTATATTGTGTGTCTAATGAAAACAAAAGAATTAAATTTTATTTGCCAGTTTCTGAAAGTGTGCGATCCTTTTTATGGGCTCTTGGCAATTACAATGCCATCATGTTATTAACTAGAGTACGTTACTACAAAATAACGAATGGTAAAACATTGAAAGCGAGTCCTTACTTCTTGGCACACACGGCCCCTGGGCACCCAGCATGCACTGCCTGCTGCCCAAGCGGAAGGGTCAGCTTTGCCAAGAGAGCAACCAAGGAGAGCTCAAAGGGAAATCAGAGAGGTTGTTGGCTAAACCTTCTGCAAAAAGGCGGCAAGAAAGTGTAAATCTGCAGGCAAAATAGTGCGTAGGAAAAGGAAAAGGGAAGAAGAAACGGGGAAACAAGCCAAAGTGACTAACCTAAAGATCTACCTGCGGAAAACAAACTAAAAATGAGGGGGTCCAGCCTCATATGAAGCAGGAGAAAAAGAAGCCAAGTATAATGATCGCCATCGTATGCCATGTCCTAACAGTGCTCCCTGTCACCCTTCTTGTGCAACCCAGAGGAATATTTTTGTCAACTATTCGGTAAATGCAAATTTTTCAGTAGCCCAAGAAAGGAACATTGATAAAGGGAATTTCGCCTCATCTATTTTTTTTTAACTGTAAATGCTTTTTATTTATTTATTTTTAAATATATTTTATTGATTTTGTACAGAGAGGAAGGGAAAGAGATAACAAGTTAGAAACATTGATGAGAGTCATCAATCAGCTGCCTCTTGCACACCCCCCACTGGGGATGTGCCCGCAACCAATGTACATGCCCTTGACCGGAATCGAACCCAGGACCCTTCAGTCCCCAAGCCGACGCTCTATCCACTGAGCCAAACCGGTTTCGGCTGTAAATGCTTTTTAGAAGTGGAATCATTTGCTGGCTTATTTTTTGGTACAACCAGGAAATAGTGGGATATTGAATATATCGATAGTACTTTGATTATCTTAGGTGCCAGTTTAACATTCCATAAATAGGGATAGTTTTTGTATCTTACAGAACAGAGCACACCAAGTGGCAATTTGGAGTCAGTCACACATTTTCCAACTCTTGGACATTTTATTTTTTAAATATGTTTTTATTGATTTTTTACAGAGAGGAAGAGAGAGATATACAGAGAAACATCAATGAGAGAGAATCATTGATCAGCTGCCTCTTGCACACCCCCTACTGGGGATGTGCAAGCAAATATGGTACATGCCCTTGACCAGAATCGAACCCAGGACCTTTCTGTCCACAGGCCGATGCTCTATCCACTGAGCCAAACCGGTTTTGGCAAGTCTTGGGACATTTTAAATTACTTCTATTTCCACATTGGTAGAATTGTCTCCTAAATTAAACCACTCCTTGATCTTGGCTCTCCCTGTCAGAATTTTGTGCATCTGTAACATCTTTGGTGTGGTAGGCCAGTTTTACTAGTAATTTTGTTAATATGCTGTGAAAGATTGAAAATTTGATTATGTATATATGATATTAAATTGTGAATTAGTGGGACATGGATGTAATAGCATATCTACATTTAAAGATATTGGCAATTGATACTCAAAGAAAATCTCTAATTTTTAAACTGGAACGTCACTGGAATAACTTTATAAATGAATCACAATTATGAGACTTCATTTTTGGTACACGTTAAGAATTGTGTACAAACTGAAATGTCTGCGTACTTTTCCTCAAAACAACCAATAAAATCTCAATTATGAAAGTAAAAGAGAACCGTTACAACTATCCTTTATGCCATTTATAAAGGGTTTGTCTTATTAAACTGTAAATAAAGTTCACGTTAATTCAGTTTAAAAATGGAATTCAAAAGGGTATCTCTGTTCACGTTGGCATGAAAGGAGTCCTCCCCCCTTCCCTTGTTCCTTCAACCCCTTCTCCTGGAAAGTCTGAAAACTGCTACCCTAACCCCTAGGCCCCAGCCTTCCTAGATGCTTTTGCTGCTCAGTCAAAAGCAGAACATAACAAACTTAGGTAAACACGCACACACATGTTTATGTGTATGGAGGAAAAAGAAATACAGGTACATTGAGTATAATTAAGATTCCAATCATTGAAATTCCAAGAGCTCTTTCATCTACAATACTTTCCTGCAAAAGAACATAAATGGACATTCGACACTAATAATTCAGTAGTTTTGTTTCCTCTCCCATGTGTGTGGAGGGATTTTGTTTAAATTCGAGATTTGTAAAGACCCATGCATCGAGTCAATAATAGGCTCTAAAAGTAAGCCTGAGCTGAAGCCGGTTTGGCTCAGTGGTAGAGCGTCGGTCTGCGGACTGAAAGGTCCCAGGTTCGATTCCGGCCAAGGGAATGTACATTGGTTGTGGCCACATCCCCGATAGGGGGTGCGCAAGAGGCAGCTGGTCGATGTTTCTCTCTCATCGATGTTTCTAGCTCTCTATCTCTCTCCTTTCCTCTCTGTGAAAAATCAATAAAATATATTTAAAAGTAAACCTGAGTTGTTCTGGACTCAGGGAGGCAGATAAACACTTTTGACTTTCTGGAGCAGTGAGGGGTGCTTTGCATTAAGTAGCCAAGGTGTGGGGAAGCCCAGCCTAGATCAAAGCGCTATAGAGGTTTTTTGGAGACATTAGTTGGGAAACACTGTCCTAGTTGGTAGGCACTTAAATCAGTAGCACACTGAGGTAACTGTTGAAACTGGTACATCAGAAGTAACTAGGGAGTGAACAAAATTAATTTTTGGGTCACACCAAAATAGCACTTGAATAACATCTTGGCACAGATTTTAGTACCTTTAGAGAATAACAATTAAAAAATATATACCAGGCAGACACTATACGAAAAAATACTCAAGTACCTAGAATATGTCGAGACCCCAGTAGATGCCACATAGCACTTAACTCATGAAAGTGCAGTGAAATGTGACTTTTTACAGGCTGTTACCTCACTTCAGGTTAACTGCTGAACTGTACCAGCTTTAAGTGACTTCACACTCATGAAATTTATGTCCCTGGTCAGCTTTACCTTGTTCTTAGACTTTTCTTTAGGCAGGAAGGTTTCTGACATTTCAGTTATTCATTTTTTAAAACTCATCTGTTTTACCTGCTCTAGCAATGTGCTAGCCCAGGATTTGGCCAACTTTTCTATAAATGGCCAGATAGTAAATATTTTAGGCTTTCTGACCCATATAGTCCCTACTGTACCAGTGTAGTGCATAAATGAATAAGCATGGCTGTGTTCCAATAAAAGTTTACCTATGGACATATATTTGAATTTCATAAAATTTTCACATTATAAAATATTCTACTTTTTCTTTCAGTCTCGTAAAATTTTAAAACCATGCTTAGCTCATGGGCTTTAAAAAAACAACGGCATGCCATGGCTTGCTGACTCCTGTGTTAGGCTAGTCAAAAAGGTAGCTATTGACAGACATTTCAAAAATATAAATAATGGCAATACTTCACACATATACTGGATTTGAATTCTAATACTAGTATAAAGTTTCTGTCATACACCCACGACATTATTGAGATGATCACCACCACTAGTTTTTGGATGAAAGCATAGGTCATACATTTAAATATTGCTAATATGTTTTATTTTAACTTTTATTCTCACAGACAACTGTGAAGCTAACAATAAGGTAAATTATTTAAATGCCTCTGGTTACAGTTACAACATTCTCATGCAGAGAATAAAAACAGTACTCAAAAGATTAACTATAGTGGGAGATATCTCTTCTAATGTAAAAAGGAAATATACCTTTTAAACAGGTAAATAAATGGGCAATTCCAAAAAATCCTTTTCACTCCTAAAAAAGTTACTTGGCTAAATCAAGCCTACCAACATTTCTTTCACCTAAATGCACAGATGGGATAAATTAGAGGAGTTTGGAAAATGTAAATAAGAGCTCCTTCTTTCAAACTAGAAAATAATGCTGTGGCCAAGCCACTCATTTGGTTGGAGAATCCTGTGCTCCGGAGAGTCACTGGTTCAATTCCCAGTCAGGGCACGTACCTAGGTTGCAGGTTTGATATCCAGTCTGGGACCCTATGAAAGGCAACCAGCTATAAAAATCAATTAAAAAAATTACAGCAACAAAACAAAAAACAACACACCAGAAAATAGCACTATCCTGGTGGTTTCTTTTGATACTAACACAATATTAAAAAAACAATTTTTAATCTTAGATTTACACATCCCTGCAGATACAAGTTAACAGAAATGAATGGGCCATTTTTAGCTAAAGAATACTTTAACACAGAACACAACAGTTGGATCACAATTAAGTATGTGAACATATTTCTAGCTTTCCAGTTTCTGTAAGAATGTATAGAAAAATACATTTCTTCATGTAATAATTTTTAAAAAAAACAATATCTCAATGACTCAAAATGAAAAGTATCTGGTTAAGCTCTCAGGTCTGGTGGTGGTAGTAAAATAGTCACATGACACAGTTTTATATGCTGCAAACATTTTAATGATTATTATTGAGCATACATTTTGGAAATTTTTTACTTCAAACTCCAACAAGTTAAATAAATGTTTATAATATACAAAGAAAATACAACCAAAAGTAAAATTCACTTTAAGTGTGCCTGGCATCTAGACCAGTGTTTTTTAATTTTTCCCCCCTTGATATATCTTCATTTTTTAACTCACAGACACACTTAAGAATTTGATCTTTATAGTATGGCATATAGGAAATAAAAATATACTCCCACCTCAAAGAAATAAAAGGTTGTGCATGATTATATGCCAAACAAAGAGAGAACACTACAATACTCTGATAGTGCAGGCATCATTAAAATGGGGAGAGAAAAAAAGCTTGAATGCTTATTAACTCCCTATGTTTTAAGGAAGAAGGATTTTTGACCAAGTAGCTTAAAAGCCAGCAAAACAGGGATCAGTGATGGCAACTGTAGTGTTTGAAGTATGAAATGACAAACTTTACACAAATACACTGTTAGAAATTTACCAGTGAACACTGAAGATCTCAGAAGCTGCTCTTTGGAACAGTTAAGTAGGACCACCTTATTCCAGTCACTTAAGCCCTTGCAGCAACACAGTATTCTGTGCTATGTACTCGCTGGCTGGGTAAAGGATTTGTTTTGTCATTAGCAGCTAACAAACTTATTCCACGTTTTTAAAGCCTTCACGGTAGAAAAAAAGGCAAGTGTCCTTAGCGTGGAGGATCATACACTTCTCTTCACACAAACACAGGAGGCTTCACTAGTATTTTTAAAGTCTGATGTCTCCCATTGCACTTCAAAGCTCAATTGAGATGAAAGCCTTTTTCCATTGTAGCAGCGAGAAGGCGCTCTCTCATGATTTCTTCCGAAGAATATTCTGGCAACTTTAGATAATGCACACATGTATTCACTGATGGATAGCTTGCATCAGTAGCATCAACCTACAGACAAAAAATTGTAAATAACAAAAGACCATGCTTTTGAATATTTTTCTTTCAATCCTTAAGTAATTAACTGGATCCCCCATTAACTAGAGTTTGTACCTTGCGTACGACCGTGAGTCTGGGGTGCAGGTTAGCCAGTCCACCTGGGGGCAGAGTTGAACAACCAGTGGTAAACTGCAGGAATGCTTTCCTTTCATCTGAAGACATGCCACATAAAACCCGCACAAACCTCAGAAAGCCAGGGCTAAAGGAAGAAAAGTATAGTTATACTAATTTGACAGCTGATTCAAATGAAAAACACTATCAGTATTTGTAAGCCAGCAATAACCCTCCAAAATCAATATCCACAAAATAGCACTGCCCAGAAACTCTTAGGTAAGTATGAGATGAACTGACACAAACTACTTTAAAAATATCCTTCAAGCCGAAACCGGTTTGGTTCAGTGGTAAGAGTGTCGGTCTGCGGACTGAAAGGTCCCAGGTTCGAGTTCGGTCAAGGGCATGTACATTGGTTGCGGGCACATCCCCGGTAGGTGGGTGTGCAAGAGGCAGTTGGTCAATGTTTCTCTCTCATCGACGTTTCTAGCTCTGTATCTCTCTCCCTTCCTCTCTGTAAAAAATCAATAAAATATATTTAAAAGTATATATATCCTTCAAGACTCTCTTGGACTCAGTAAGAACTGAAACAATGATGGAGTATAGGAATCAAACATATAATAAAGTCAGCAAATCAGAAAAGCTCAAAATACACTTGCAAAACTTATTCAAATATGCCTAAATTATCAAAGTTGATCTAAAATAATCCATTCTTGTTACAGTAAAATAAACTACCACTATAGTTGACCAAAACATGTCATGACTATGTTAAAAATGAAAAGACATATCTCAAAGAATATATATCTGCATGATTTCATTTAATAAAGTTCAAAAGCAAGCAAAATGAATAAACAGGAATAGTGATTTAATGACTAGAGAAGAATATAATAGAGAAGGGATTTCTGGAGTTCTTATTCTTGGTGCCATTTCTACAGTTGGGTTTATTTTGTGAAAATTCTCCAGGCAATACATGCAATTAGTGCACTTCTGTTACACTTTAATAAAATGTTTACTTTAAAAAATGCTAGGTAAGCAATGTCATTTAGTTTAAAATAATAATATTCTCATTTACATTAGTTTGGGAAGTTTTTTTTAAAAGTACTATAAGACTTTGTAGTCTTAAAATGTCAGTGATATCAAAAAAATTAGTTGAGGAACTGTTCTAGATTAAAAACCTATCACAACAAAATGAAATTTCCTGATACAGGAAGTACAGGGCTGACGGGAGTGCTACTGAGTACATTACTAGAATGATAGATTAGTTAATAGTATAGCAGCACCCTGAATTTGCTAGCTATTAGTAATTGCATACATGGGAGAATATCCATATTCTCAAGAAATGTACACTAAAATATTAAAGAGTCAAGGGACATGATATATGCAACATATTCTCTAATGGTTCAGAAAAAATAGTGCACCTGTATGTCTATACATATACCAATACACAGGTTTATTATGCGTGTGTATGCATGTGCGTGTGTGTGTATAATGCAGAATGTAAAGAAAATCATAAAAATATTAAAGTGGAGAATTCTTTCAACTATTCTATAAGTCTGAAATTATTTGGGAAAAAAAAGTTAATATAAAAGCAATAAAGTCTAAAGCTTTACATTTTACCCAATTTTTAAAATAATGAACAATTAAAACAGGGTGAGAAAAGGAACCTTAACATTAATCCAAGACTCAACTGTTTTTTTGTGTAAATTCATTCATTGGTACCCATCTTGGTAATGGTGAATCTTAACTACTTTTCTCACTTACTTTATAAATTAGAGTTGGTGCACAAAATTTGTGCAAGGGGAGAGGGTTCCCCTTCAGCCCGGCCTGCACCTTCTCCAATCCAGGACCCGTGGGGGGACATCCCTCTTACAATCTGGGACCACTGGCTCCTAACAGCTCATCTACTTGCCACCCTGAACCTCTAACTTGTCTCTCCTGCTGGCCTGATCCCCCTAACTGCTCTCCCCTGCCGGCCCGATCCTCAAAACTCCTCTCCCCTGCCAGCCTGTTTGCCCCTAACTGCCTCTGCCTCTGCCTCAGCTCTGCCACCATGGTTTTGTCCGGAAGGACAGTCTAATTAGCATATTATCCTTTTATTAGCATAGATATAATTCACTGAGTCAAAGTTCTTAGAGATCATTTACCATATGATTTGGAAACATAAGTTATTTTATTTTAGAAAATAACCAACACATACCTATCACGTGTATAACCCAGCTTAGGTTCAGTATAATTGATAATATCCTCTGCTGCCCAGGATGGTGACTGGTTTCCACAAAGAATCATTTGGACTTCTTCATGGCTGAAGGAACTTAATTTCTCCATTGGAAAAACTTTATTAAATCCATCTACATTATGTACACAGCAAACAAACAAACAAAATGCACAATTCAGTTTCTAAATTACAATTTTAAAATAGCAAATTTCAAATCAAATTATAATGTTTGAAAAAATATATAAATTAAGATAGCTTGTCAAAACTGTGTTAGAATTAAAATACAAAAATCTCTGCTTAATTAATAATGTGAACAGAGAGAATGTTCAGTCACTATGGTCAGTAACCAAATTCTAAAAATTTCCCATTGTGTCATACAAGACAATCATACAAGACAACTATATTCACTCCCATTTTCAAAACCAGTAAGTTTTGAAAACAATCTAATATATTTTGCTTTAATCTTCAACCAGAAGAACTTAATTCTAGCATGGTTTAATTCATCCTAGCCCATATGATATGGAAAGAATGCAACCTTATGATCACTAACAAATGAAGAAATGGAGCCAGCTGAGTGTATGCTACATCTTGGAAATGTTCCAATCTGTTCTAAGTCCTATCCAGGATCTAACTATCTGGAAGACGAAAACTAGAGGCCATATCTGGAGATTACCAGCAATTCTTGACCACAGACATGCCTTAATTTCAACTCTCTCAAAGTAAAAGGAAAGGGATTAAACTAAAGAGATTTAAAAATTACCTCTAAAGGCTTCCATCTGCTTCTGAATACCCGTATGCATACAAAAGTCAAACATCAAATCCACATATTCTTCTGCATTATCCATTGTTATCATCTGAAAAGGAAAATTTGCCAACATTATAGTTAATACGAGGATGATTCTGAACATAAAACTATCAGTCTCGACCTGTGGGATTCAGCTGTTGAGTGTCAACCCATGTACCAGGTTGCTGGTTCGATTCCTGATTAAGGCATATGGCCAGGTTGCAGATTCAATCCACAGCAGGGAGTGTGCAGGAGGCAGCCAGCTGATGTTTCTCTCTCATCATATTTCTATCTCTCCCTCTCCCTTCCTTTCTCTCTAAAATAAATAACAACAGCCCAGCCAGTGTGGCTCAGTGGTTGAGTGTTGAGCTATGAACCAGGAGGTCATAGTTCAATTCCGAGTTAGGGCATATGACCAGTTGTATGCTGATCCCCAGTGTAGGACATGCAGTAGGCAACTGATCAATGAATGATTTTCTTTCATCATTGATGTTTCTATCTCTGAAATCAATAAAAATACATTTGAAAAATAAAATAAAATAAAAACATTTCCTCAGCTGGATTTTAAAAACAGTATCAAAAAGCAAAATTTTTACCTCATCTTCACCACTTGGCTTGAGATCCACAGCTGTAAAACCATATATTCTTGAGGAAGGGCAAAACTGGAAATTTAAACTGTAAAGACAAATAAGTAGTAGACTGACATGTCTAATTCTGGTGTTTAATTTTTATAACTTCGCTGCCAAAACCCTGAACCCCAACTTCTCAAGTTACAATGTTACTATACTTAGCTTAATATTAAGTATGATAGCACTTATAAATGCAAACCTTGTACACAAAAACCATTAAGTCAAACCTGTTCCCAAACATGGCTTTGCAAAAACTGCATAAAACCACCACCTTTCCATATTTCATTTTCCCCGTATGACACGAAATGAATGAACTAAACATTTTTTTGCAGTGAATTATGACATGTTTAGAAGATTTTTTAAATGTTCTTTTGCAGGAAGGAACTACTACTTCACTAATGTTATTCATGTTATACCATCCTCCATCATACACTGAATATAAGGGAGGGAGGGAGCAAAAGCAAGCCTTGTAGTCAACCCAAAATCATAAAATATACCAAGGCTAGAATAATTTTATACACACACACACACACACACACACACACACAAATAGAGCTTTATCAAAAGACCTGCAGCATGTTAGTTAATGCAACCATTGGTGATAAGGCTTACTCACAAAGCAAGCTACTTTGAGCTTTGTCAAGTAGCTAATAATTATTTAATATTAATTAGCTAATAAATTTGTCAAAATATTTTTGGCTTTGGACTTTTTTCACAGGAGATACATACATTTGTCACATATGACAAATCAGATAATCTTTCAGAGGTCTACTGATATAGCAAATCAAAGGTTCAAATCAATAATCAATATTTCCTATAGCATATTATTGTTCTTAACAGGCTTACTCATACAGTGCAAATTAGCTGGGACAAAACACACACACACACACACACACACACAAAAAAAAAAACAAACAAACAAAAAAAAAACTTTAGAACTTAGGTTGACGAATGTTTATATAAAGCTTACCCTAAATCCTCTATACTAAGTGGAGGCCCAGATCCTGATGGATTTTTCAGCACTAACTCCTGTAATTTTGTGTTCTTCTCATCTTCAGAAAGAGCTTTGTTGCTTAAAATCTGGCGCCTCTTGATAGCAAGGTCTTTGATTTCTTTTAAAAATCTTGCTCTGTGTGGGTTTACTAGTTCGAAGTCTTCCCAAGTTAAAATTCCATTAAACCAAGCTGGAGGTTTGGGTTTGGGAGGATCCAGAATAAACTCTGATTTTGAATCCTCTTCAAAGCTTCCTACAGAGAGTGAATCATGACCTTCTTCTGTAGAAGCTTCAGACTGACTCTCAGTACAATGTAAGTCTCTATCACCTCGTGACTCATAAATCAGTTTACTGATATTGCTTTTAATGTCACCCATACACATAAGTTTAAAGAAAGGTTTTGAAATAGGTAAATCCACAAGTCTATTGTCTTGAATGCATTTGGCCAAGAAAATTCCAAGGAAATGAAAGAGCTTTGTGACCCTTTCAAGCTCATCGCTGTCTTGTGGGAACGGCGCCGTGAACAGTCCGCATGATCTCTGCACATAGTATCCAGGAGGTTTCAGCCCACCCCCAAGGTCAACCTGGTTATTTAGAGGGAGAAATGTGAATAAAGTTAAAGATCTATAAATAGTAAACATCTTCAATTTAGCTATCTAAAAGTATATATACATTTTATTAAATTATTTTTTGTGACTAAATATTACCCTTTAAAAACATCTAGTAATAGCAAGATTATTGAATAATGAATTAAGATTAAAAAACCCAGCTTATGTTCTAAGAGGAGGAAAATCACAAATCAAATCATAAAATGGAATAATTCTTACCTGACGAGATTCATCATCTGGAAAGTTATCATCACAGAGCCAAGTTCCCAAGTCAGTTCTCTGGAATTCTGCTGCCACCAGAGCATAAAACTCTAATGTGGGTCCCAAGCCAGTTCCTTCTTCTCCTAAAAATTCAACCTAAAATATGAACAAAAAATTACAGGGAGAAGTGAGCTTAAATGATTCCATTCTTGCCAAATTAGTCATTTCCAATCCAGTAATATACCTGTTTTATAGCAGCAGTATAAGCAACATGGAAGTTTTTTTTAATGTTTATTGTACATTACACATTTAAATGTTATGATGAGCATTCATAAAGTTACTTATTCCAACAACCCTACAAAATACATTGCAATAATTTCTCTCTCTCCCTGGAGGAATATGGTCCAAGACCCCCTGTTGGTGCCTAAAACTATGAAGAGTAACAAACCCTATGTATACTATATTTTTTCTCTATATAATCTACCTATGAAAAGTTTAATTTGTAAGCACAATAAAAGATTAAACAGTAATAAAACAATATACTATAATAAAAGTTATGTGAATGTGTCTTTCTTCAGAGATAGCTTCTCAGTGACTAACAGGCAGGAAGCCTATACAGCATGGATACATCAAACAATGGGATGATTCACAGACAGCATAATATTGCACCAAGCTCAGAATGAGGGCAATTTCAAAGTCACTAATTGTTTATTTCTGAAATTTTTCATTTAATAATGTCAGACCACTATTGACTGAGTGTAACTGAAACCATGGAAAGTAAAACCTTGGATATGGGTGGACTACTATATCATCTCCTTTTTACAACGAAGGAAACCAAGTTTCAGATTAAGAGATTAAATCATTTGCTTGAGGAAATGATGGTATACAAATCTGTATGTGTCTAACACCAAAACCTAAACTTTTCTACTTCTGACTTTAGGCAATCACTTTAAAGATTTTATCCATATTCTACCTGTTCAAAAATGCTTTACGGCAGCCTACAAAAACACACAGTGCAAAGTAAAACTAAGTAAATACGGTTAGAGCAATATGATGATAGAAATTATAAGCCTTATATATTTTCTAGAGATATATTTGTTGTGATCAGTCTGTGATCCAAAAGATAAACCAGCTGGTTCAAATCTGTTGACAGGAGAGATATTTCTTCATATTTCTCCATATTTTCTCATAAAGAAATAATATGTATGTAATATATAATCAACAATGCCCACAATAGCATCTCTATCATAAATGTATTGAACTTCATACCGCCATTTGTTAACTCTCAATATAAACTAATTTTATAGTACCAAGCTCAAATTAAGTGAAATATTATAAAACAGGGTGCTCCAAAAATAGAGATACCTATCTAATAGCCTAGTTTAATATAAAGGTAAAATTTAGATTACCAAGAAGAATCCTTTGTGAGTACTATTACTTGGTCCAGGTTTTGTTAACAAATAGATGATCCACCTCCCCATCTCAAGAGTGAAGATCTCTGTTGCTCATTAAATCACAAGATCCTGACCCCTATGGTGAGCTGACATCCTCTTATGAAAGACTAGAGGCCCAGTGCATGAAATTCATACACCCTCTCAAATCTGGGACACCTCAAGGGATGTTAAACGGGCAGTCGGACATCCCTCTCACAATCCAGGACTCCCAAGTTCTTGCCTGCCTGCCTTCCTGATTGCCCTTAACCACTTCTGCCTGCCAGCCTGATCATCCCCTAACTATTCCCATGCCAGCATGATTGATGTCTAACTGCTCCCCTGCCAGCCTGTTTGCCCCCAACTTCCCTCCTCTGACAGCCTGGCCACCCCTAACTGGCCTCCCCTGCAGGTGATCACCTCTAACTGCCCTCCCTTGCAGACCTGGTCCCTCTCAACTGCTCTCCCTTGGAGGCCTGGTGCCTCCCAACTGCCCTCCCCTGCTGGCCATCTTGTGTCCACATGGGGTCAGCCAGCTTGTGTGTTGGAGTGATGGTCAATCTGCATATTACTCTTTTATTAGATAGGATAGACCCTGATGCATGGGTGGAAGTCAGCTGGTTTGTCCTGGTATCCCAGATCAGGGTGGGGGTTCCCTTGGGGTATAGGGCAGCCTGGGTGAGGGGCCTGCTGTGGTTTGCAGGCTGGCCACACCCTCTGGCGACCCAAGCAGAGGCCCTGGTATCTGGAATTTATTTATCTTCTATAATTGAAACTTTGTAGTCTCGAGTGGAGGCCTAAACCCCCAGGGTGTGTAGAAAGCTTGGCTTCCATTGCCGGGGAAACCCAAGCCTCTCTCAACTGCTCTCTGTGACTGCAGCCATCTTGGCTGGGTTAATTTACATACTCGCTCTGATTAGCTGGTGGGCGTGGCTTGAGCGGAGTGATGGTTAATTTGCATATTACTCTTTTATAATGTAAGATAATCTGCCAAAGGAGACCTTTGGAGAAAGGGGAAATTCTTCTTTACTTCTATCCAACCAGAACAGACTGGCTGGTTCTTTGTTGCTCCTGCACACAAACAAATTTTATATGAGATACCTCAAGAACTGATTTCCGGTCTGCATGTATTTGCATGACGTTCTCAGCCCATTCCATCAGCGATTCACCACGTGGAACTTTTACTCTCTCATGCTTGAGACGACCAACTCGAAACTCTCCAGGATCATCTCGCCTAACACTACTTGTGGTCCTTGTTCTTTCCACAGTGGCTTCACGTCGGTTTTGTAACCACACTATTGCTCTGAAATAGAAAAAAATCTATGTAACTGCAACATACAGCAGCAGTTGAATGTAAAATTAAACCAGTACATAAAACTACAAACATTTCCTAACAATTAGTCGGTTGAGACCTTGCTTCCAAGTGTGAACAGAAATCACATTCCTCTATTTAGCTCAAATAAACTCTTATTTTAAAAAAATGGTAGTCTGATTTCAAAACCTTTTTTTTTTAAAGCAGAGCAAACCCAGCTAAGGTGGGAGAAAGAATCTTAAGTTAGGAATAAGATGAAAGATCCACTGTCATGTGTGTTATGACTTTTTTGGCAATCTTGGCCAACTCAGCTAAGTCTTTTGGAGAATCAATTTCCTCCTCTATAAAACAGAAATCATAAATAATGCCATTTATCGCAGTAGGTCTGTAGTTCTTTGTGTACAAGTGCTTTGTAAATGGTATAAAATGATACAATGTAACTTAGGAAAACTAATAAATTCATTTGAAATCATAACTTTTTACATCTACTTTGAATAAAACAGCTAGAAATTCCTATCTTTATGAAACTTTCATCTAGCACAAGAGAAACAAAAATAATTAAGTAAAATATGTAGTGCATTAGATAGCCAGAAGGTAAGATATATTTCAATGATAACAAAGCTATTTGCAAGCATTTAATTTGGTATTTCTAGGAATTTCAGCAACTAATAATTTATATAAGCTATTTACGTACTGTACAGCAAATGCTAGCTGACAGAAAACATTATGATTGGCCTGCTGTATCCACGGAAGCAGAACCCATGGGTACAGAATGCTAAGAGATTTGAGCACCCACAGATTTTAGTTTCCCCAGGGGTCCTGGAACCAATTCCCCACTGATACCAAGGAATGACTGTATTTCCAACCCACACTATTCCAAGAGTTCAATTCATACCACTCCAAGATAGTATATATCCAACTGGAAACACAGTAATATTTAAATGTTGACAACTCTTTTAAGAAAGAAAACAACAAGATAATATATTCCCTTCATTAGTCTTGATATAAAGTATATTAGTACATTCTGAGCTTACTTAATATTTAAAAACTATTCTGAAAATATAAAAGGACATACTTCTTACCTTGACGCACCAAATGCAGTACATGTAAAATAAAGTTGTCTAGTTTCAAATGGTATCAGAAAAGGACACTTGCTGGTTAACTGTTCACACCAGTCTGGCAGAGCCCCACTTGCCAATGCCAATGGTTCCTGCAAATTAACAAAAACCAATATCTTAAGGCAATTATTCAAAAAGATAAAAGAGTCAATTTAAAAAAAGTTTTTTATTGATTTTTGAGAGGAAGGGTGAGAGACGGAGATAGAAACAGATGAGAGGGAAACATGGATCACCTGCCTTCTGCATGGCCCTGTCTGGGGAAAGAGCCGTAACCCAGGCATGTGCTCTGACAGGAAATGAGCCAGTGATCTCTCCGTTCATACATGAATGCTCAAACACTGAACCACACCGACTGGGCAGGGTCAATTCTTAGGTGTGATCACAGAAATTAAGGCCATAGACCATGTGACCCAAAGCATTGGATCAGAGGGAAGGGAGAGATGTACGAAGTCTAGTACAGGAAAAAGAAGCAATATTTTGAAAGTCCAACAGCGACAGATTGAAGAGTTTAATAATTATCTGTTATTACTATTACCTCAATCTGCTGCAAAATTTTTGTTGTGATTTTTTTGCTAGTGAATTCATCTGGTGGGAACGTAAACTGAAGCTGCTCATCACCTTCTATAAAATCAATAAAATTAATAAAGTTAATAAAATATAAACGGACTTGCTTTTATAAATGCCACAGAAATAAAACAAAGTTCTTACAAACCTTCTTGGGATATTCTTGAATAAGGGTCACTTGCAACTATATACAGAATTCGCAGAAGCTGAAGGACATCTTCTACTCCACAAGAGTTCTGTCCATTCCCTGCTTTGGCCTGGGGTTGTTCTTTTGTCAAATTAAGAATATCACTACTTTGAAGAGTAGAAATGGCTCCCTGGTTTAAGCCAGACTTTGTTCCATGCTCACAGAAATCCTGAGGAAACAATTAGCAAAACTAGCTATTAATCATATTTTCAAGAAAAGCAATATATCAACCCATTAGTATTACTTTGAAAAGTCTAGAGTTTTTCAAAGAATTGCCTCCTTCATAAATAAAACCAGTACTACTCAAGTAGAAAATTAATGTGTTCTAAACCATTAAAATCCCAAATAAAATAGAACTATTATAAAGCCCCAGTGAAAACTATGCACTTAGATTCCAATATCATAATCCATATTTGAAATTTTAGCAATGGCATATTAATTCAACCTCTTTTTTTTATTATGTCCCAATACATCTCCCTTCCTTAAGAATCCTTAAATGGTGCAAAACAAAGCACAAAGCCATTCCCAACCCAAACAGTGTTTTGATACCTTATATGCAGCTATGAGCTGAGAACAATTTCTGTTTTTCCTAATACTTTTATTAGTGCCAGTTAATTTCCAGTGGCGCAGGAAAGCAGCATCTGCATTCTTCTGCAGGTAGGTTATCAAGTCATTCTTTGGTAATTCATCAGTGCCAAGGTACTGTTCCACATGCTCTATAGACCAACAACCCTACAATAGGAAAAACCAAATGTTGGCCTTTCCTGATTATAAAGTCTATGCTATTTTACATGCATTATAAAAGTTAACTTTAAGATCATGCATTTAACCTAATTTAAAGGATGCCGTGTTATTAATTTTCCCCTCAAATGTTCAGTTGAACACTGTTAGTTTTCTTTTTTTCCAAAATAGCCAATAAGACCCATTTTCTAAAAATAACTTACCATTTTTTCATTTTCTTTTTCCTTGTCAGAATCCTTCATTTCTCTGTACATGATTCTAAACATGAAGATATTATTCAAGTTAATTCATACATCAAATGATTTGTGGTTATTTCCAGTAAGACTTCAGCTTTTCAGAAAACATATAAATTCTGCCATATGATTACATTAAACATTGAACTCAGGGAGAACTTATGAGAAAAAAATATTAATTTGTTAAATAGTGGAAAGTAACAGAAATCATATTCCTGAAAGTTATGGTTTATAAATTTAGCATTATTACAGAGAAAACATATTGGAATATTTAAAGATATGAAGTAATATGTAAGGCACTTGAGATAAAAATTGAATGTGGGGGAGGAAGATGGAATTTGGCATGACGACCTTCTAAGGACCTACATTACTTTATTGGACATTAGATAAGATTATCAATGTTAAGAGAAAACAGAAAAATATACCAACAAAAGTAAAGTCAAATAAGAATAATTATATAACTACTTATTACTTATATAATACAAATATATAAACAATAAATTGTACTATTATAGGTAATACTGTACTTTCTACATCACAGATTACTGAAATACTTTACATATATTAATTCACTGATTCCTCACAAGCACTCTTGTTTTATAAGATTAGAAAACTGAGGTACTAAAATGTTAATAAACACACTAGCCTAAGTTCACTGATAATCATTTGTTGAATCAATGAATGAATGAACAAAGATAAGTGGTTAACTCACAGACCCCAAAACAAATAACATATAAAAAATATCTATTATTTCATACACAATCCCTATTAGAGGTCAACAATCTATTCTATATACATAGAAACCTAATATGTCAAGTATCCCCTCGGGAATTCGACCTATAAGAAGTTCAATTGTTCACTATGACGTGCGATGACCACAAGGGGGTGGCACAGAATGAAGAAAGGCCCCGGCCAGCAGCAGGGGAAAGGATGCCCCAGCCTGCAGTGTGCAGCCATTAGGGGTCCTACCCTTGCACAGATTTTGTGCACTGGGCCTCTAGTTATTACTTAAGGAATTAGTTTTAATTATTTCTAAAGTTCATTTCAATTGTGAGCCTTAACCTTTCTACATCAAGAATAAAAATGATCTTATCTCTGTTCCTGTAAACCCATAGAACAAAAACCAAATCTTTTCTGTTCCTATAGTTCAAACATAGAAATACAATGCTTCTTGGCTTATATATTAAGAAAATATATACTTAAAAAATTAAATTAAAATCTCTTACGTGTATGTTGGCTCCCAAATACGCCTAAGTTTATCTGATTTCACATTGCCATTACAGGATAATTGGAGCAATTTTTGTACATAGTAAAAGATGGTTGATCTAAAATTGGTGAGGGGTAATTCAACCTCTCGAGTTGTTCCAAGACCTGTTACTTTCAAAGTGAGAGCTAATCGAGGTGATGGAGTACATTCTACTTCTTCCAAGAGTTCTGAATGAGGTGTTCCTAAAAATATGAAAGATGTGAAAAACAATTACAGTACACTAAGACACTGCACTATGAGACAAGGCTATGTTAAATCCACTAGTAAACGCTTCTGCCATATATATTGACAAATGATATCAGTTACTAAAGACTCTACTGGCCTCACATTTTCATGTTTTTTTCCAAATGGGAATAATAGGCTACTTAAAAACAGAGAACACAGAGGAAAACTTATGCATATGATACAGAGCTCTCATTTTCATTAGGAAATATATGCTAACTATTTGAATATATATTTTTATTGATTTCAGAGAGGGAGACGGAAAGATACAACAATGATGAAAATCATTGATTGCTTGCCTCCTGCACACCCCTACTAGGGATCACGCTTGAAACTCAGGAAACCCAAGCATGTGCCCCTGACCGGAATCAAACCCAAGACCCTTTAGCCTGCAGGCCAACACTCTATCCACTGAGCAAACCAGCTGGGGTTATATGAATATTTTAAAGACATTTTACTTTTAGAAATAAGAAAACCAAAATTATTCATCTTTCTACTTCCAGAGAAAAACCAAGTACTTTAGTTAATAACCTTGTGCTTATACTAACTGAGCCGGTTGTGAGGGATGGACACACACACACACACACACACGTACACAAATAGTGTATTTGGTGGTGTATTCTCTTTTTTACTAGGGCAGAAATCATTTTCTCATATCATTAGGTAAGAGTTTTCAAAAGTATGACATCCCACTGTATCTTTAGTCAAATCCCCTTCTGACTATGACCCTCCTGACTGACTCCCTCTTATTAGGACACTGGACTCAACCAAGATAATATAGGATAGTGTCCCCATTTCAAAATATTTAATCATATATGCAAAATCTCTCTCTTGTCATATTAAGGTAACATCTTCTCAGATTCTGGAGGTTAGGATCTATATAATATTTGGGGGGGGGGGTCAAAATAGAGTTGTAAGAAATAAAGTTGCCACTGAGGCTAACTCCAGAGGATCTAAATGAAACCTCTATATAGCTTTTCAAAAATGAAAAGGAATAATCCTTAGCAATTTTGATCCAGTATAAAAGACAAAGTATACATCTTTAAATGAAGCCTTGCTTTTAAAATTATATAAGTACAAAACCCTGTTTTAAAAAGACTGAATCTGCCGAAACTGGTTTGGCTCAGTGGTAGACCATTGGTCTGCAGAATGAAAGGTCCCAGGTTCGATTCTCGTCAAGGGCCTGTACCTGGGTTGCAAGCACATCCCCAGTAGGGGGTGTGCAAGAGGCGGGTGGTCGATGTTTCTCTCTCATCGACATTTCTAGCTATCTATCCCTTTCCCTTCCTCTCTGTAAAAAATCAAAATATATTTTTTTAAAAAAATAAAAAATAAAAAGACTGAATCTTTTTCTTTTAAAAGAAATTATTTTTAAAGACTTGTGGCTGATATATTTTCTTGAAAATTATTATTTATAACCTGTAGATTAATTTTCTAATTGTGTATAATTACCTTATTTATTAAAAATTAACCCACAAAAACTAAAACATATCGTACCTGGAGGTGGAATTTCTAGATCAGTTGTCTGTTGGACATTAGTACGACCTGGTCGAGGATCAAAAGCAGGAACCAAAGCAGAAAACTGCCGCTTTAGCACATAATCATCATCCCAGGTCCTCCGGCGTCCTCCTTTAGTTTCATACTCTTCTTCTTCCTATAAAAGTAAAATTTCAACCCGGATGGCATGGCTCAGTGGTTGAACGTCAGCCCATGAACCAGGACAGGAGTCACAGTTCAATTCCCAATCAGGGCACATGCCTGGGTTGCAGGCTTGATACCCAGTAAGGGGTATGCAGGACGCAGCCAATTAATGTTTTTCTCTCTTCAATCTTTCTATTTCTCTCTCCCTCTCTCTCCCTTCCTCTCTGAAATCAATTTAAAAAATTTACATGCATATAAGTACAACCAATGGACATAAAACTCTGGGGAGGGAGGGGATGGGTGGGAGGGAGAGAGGGGGGTAAAAAAAAAAATCAATATGTAAAAAAAAAAAATTTATAAAAATAAAGTAAGGTATATGTTTAAGTTCTCCATAGCTATTATACTCCTTAATTAGCCATATTTCTTAAGCACAAAATGAGCCTACACAGACATATATAGATAGTACATACATTTCTTAACAATTTAAGTTTATCAAAAGTAAGTTGCATTAGTGGTGGTTACAAAAATCTACATGAGATAAGATGACAATGAACCACATACATACATTGTACCAATGTCAATTTGTTGGTTTGCAAGTTGTACTTTTAATTGTGTAGGTTATGACCACTGGAAGAAATTGGATAAAGTGCACATAACACCTCTCTATATACTATCTGTGCACCTTCCAGTGAACCTATATTTATTTTTAAATACTGGTAGGTGCTTTTTAAAAAAAATGTAAATTGCATTACATATTGATTTAGATAAAAAATGCAGATAATGCTTGGGAATGGCTTTAAATTACTATGGGACAAATCAAACATTTTGACAAAGAACTGATAACTGTTAAAGTCAAATGATGGGTCTTGGAGCATCATCATACTATTTGATTTCCTGCATATATGAAATTTTTAATAATAAAAGTTATTTAAGGAACATTGTCTCCTCTCCTTCGCTTTCAGTATCAACAAGAAAGAGATCAAAGGATTGTAAATGTGTTGTAATAATTTTAATAATAATTATGTATGTAGTTGCACACACACATAGCCCTTTATATTTTGAACATATCATTGAAATTAACTTTTATAAACAAATCAAACTGACATTTGACAGCTCTAGATCCAGAATATCTGGGTTTTCATCCTGGATCCAACACTTTTATGTGTGACTTTTGAAATCATCCTCTGAAAATTGGGACTAAAAATAACTGTCAAAGGACTGTTGAAGGGACTGAATTAGTTAACACATTTAAAGTATTGAAAAATATGTCCAGCACTCAATTAATAATCAGTAAATGTTAGTTAATAGACTAATATTATTACCTCTACTACTATGAAAACTAAGTCTTAAATAATAGCTATTAATTATTTTAGCATATGTTTATTATTATCCAAAGGCCAAGGAGAAGGAGTTTCAGGTAATAAATCTCTGTTTGTATTCTATCAGAGTAATCTGGATTCAATTTAAAACTTTATTTTTGAAAGTTTCCCCCATTAACCTCTTCTAGCCCTCTCCTATCCTCCCCAGAAAGTTTCTTTTTGTTAATTTCATTTTTTTTAACGCTCTCTCCTTTCCCTGTATATTTTTCTAGACATTTTGGATGGTCATTAACTGTGAAAGGGGGAAAAATACATCATGGGGATGATAAACATGAAGGTATTACCTGCTCCCCAATTGGTCGGCTCCCACCTCCAGCAGGAACCTGTGGTAGCTGTGAAGTGACAGCATGGTGCGTCACGTCAGAGCGGGAGCCGGCTCGTCGCTGCAGGGATGGACGTCTCAGAATCTGATTTTTAAAAATATGCAGAAATATCTAATTAATTGATCCATATATATCCTTATTCAGCCTTGACTAGAAACTATCAACCCATATTACCAAAATTGTCATTAAAAACTTCATATTCACTAGCTATTTTCAGAAAAGGTATAAAATGAATATTGTAAATTCATTTTAAATATTATGCATCATATATTAACACCATATAAGAAATATGCTGGTATACGGTTTCCCAAGCAACATATACTAAAAACACTTGAGTTCTTAACCCATTAAAACTCAATTTATGCTCTGGCCAGTGTTGGCCCTATGGTTAGAGCATCGCCCCATGCCCGGAAGGGTCTCAGGTTTGAATTCCAGGTCAGAGCATGTACCTGGATTTTAGGTTTGATACCCGGTCCCAGTTGGGATGCATGTGGGAGGCAACCAATTGATGAGTTTCTCTACCCTTCCCCCTGCTCCTCCCCACCTTTTCTCCCTTACACTCTCTCTAAAAATCAATGGAAAAAATATCTTCAGATGAGGAGTAACCAAGAAAACAACAAAAAACCCAGACACCACAACTTATGAAGCTTTTTAAAATCTAGTAACATTTCATTTTAAAAAAATAAAAAATATACATTAAAGAGTATTTTCAGTCAAGAGTTCAATTCAAAGACAATCACAGTGGTTAAACACTGGGATTCTAGATCATACTGCAATGGCAAGGCATAGTTAAATTGGCAACACCTTTTCTAGTTAACTTTTATTAATTAGGGCAAATTACTTTTTCTATGCCTGTACTTCATAGCTCTGTATAAGGATTGATGAGAACAGATACTGCTTTCAAAACAGTAGACACTGGGGTGGGGGTAGGGGGTAAGAGATTAACCAGAGGACTTGTATGCATGCATATAGACATGGCTAATAGACAGAGACAATAGGGGGTGAGAGCATGTGCTGGGGGGTTGGGAATGGCCAGAGAGAGGTCAATGAGGGGGAAAGGAGACATATGTAATACTTTAAACAATAATTTAAGAAAACAAAACCAAAAAAAAAAACAAAAAAAAAAAACAGTAGACGCTAAATAATTCTATGTATAAAAAAAATATAGCAGAAGAACCATAAAAATTGTATTCTTCAGGATTAGTATTTTTCAAATATAACCAAATTGTTTAGACATACAGATATTTGTCATTGTGTTACAACTGTCTTTACAAGAGAATCATAAATGTTCATATTAACAGCATTTTTTATGATTAACCACATTTTTCTTACTGGTACCGTATTTCCTTGCTATAAAGTTTAACCAGAACTTTGCTTTTCCTCTATTCGTTTCAATTATTAATATTAAGAGAATGGGGGGCTTTCTCTACCATAACCTCCTCGTATTCTTGGTCCTCCTGATTGTCATCTTCATTTTCATCATCTTCCTCATCTGGCTCAGGCAAGTCCTCATCATCATCTAGCTCAGCTAACAGGGTACTTGCACGGCAGCTGTCAAGAAAATCTAGAAAACAAAACCAACAACCTTACTTTCAACACAATTAACAAAGCCTAACAAAAAATCAACATGGGATAAAGAATAACCATAAACTAAATCCAAACCCACAAAATCAATATAAACCGTCAACAATATGGACTATGTTAAAATATAACAACAATCATATTATCAATCTCTGCATAAGTCACAGCATAACTGTGGAAAGAGAGCACTTTGGAGTCACTCACTATCAACAAGTATCTACAGAGCTCCTGCAATGGGTCAAAAACTGTATTAAGTACTAGGTATCTATAGTCATGAGCCACATACCCTGTTTCTCCGAAAATAAGACAGTGTCTTATATTAATTTTTTTCTCCCAAGTTGCGCTAGGTCTTATTTTCAGGGGATGTCTTATCTTTCCATGCGCTAGGTCTTATTTTCGGAGGATGTCTTATTTTCGGGGAAACAAAGTAGTTAGATTCAGTATTTTCTGATGACATTATTTTTGTCTATAATCCTATATAATAAAACCCTAATATGCAAATCAACCAAACAGTGGATAATTGGTCATTATGACTTGCACTGACCACCAGGGGGCAGACACTCAATGCAGGACTTGCCTCTAGTGGTCAGTGCGTTCCCATAGGGGGAGAGCCTCTCAGCCAGAAACTGGGCTCATGGCTGGCAAGCGCAGTGGTGGTGGCAGGAGCCTCTAATGCCTCCACTGCAGGCGGCCCGTAAGGAGCGAAGGGTCCCAGAATGGAAGAGCCTCAGACTGTGAGAGGGATGTCTGACGGCTGGCTCAGACCTGATCTTTGGGGTGATCAGGCCCAAGCCCGCAGGCAGACATCCCCGATGGGGTCCCAGAATGTGAGAGGGCGCAGGCTGGGCTGAGGGACTCCCCTAGCCCCCAGTGCACGAATCTCGTGCACCAGGCCTCTAGTTTTAGGAATATAAAGAAGGAAATTTTAATCATCTAACAATTTTTAAAAGGCAACAAACAGCCCTAACTCTTTAATATTCTCTCCCACTAGCATACTCACATCCTTCTTAACCTTTATTTTTTTTAAACATATTTTATTGATTTTACACAGAGAGGAAGGGAGAGTGAGTGAGTTAGAAAAATCGATGAGAGAGAATCATCGATCAGCTGCCTCTTGCACACCCCCTATTGGGGATGTGCCCGCAACCAAGGTACATGCCCTTGACCGGAATCGAACCTGGGTCCCTTCAGTCCCCAAGCCAACACTCTATCCATTGAGCCACACCCGTTTCGGCCCTTCTTAACCTTTAAATGATAAAAAATTAAAGCCTGACTTTAACACATTAAGAAATAGTAGAAATGGGTAGAAGGCCTCCATGAGAAAAACTGAAGTGGAATAGCTTTTCAATAAATTTACAATAGTTTGAATTAATAATAATCATCTTCACTTGTTACCTACACATTTAAAAGATTGAGAGAGAGAGAGAGAGAGAGAGAGAGAGAGAGAGAGAGAGAGAGAGGGAGAGAGAGAGAAATGTAATGTTTTCCCTAAAACTATACATCAGAACCAATTCTTAGCTTGGAATAGGAGAGGCCACATTTTCAGAAAAAAATTAAAATATTAAAATGAGATACATAAAATGGTACTTAAAATACTATTTTTATATACACTTTCTTGTATTTGAAATTGGTAAGAGTAATTTTTTAAAATATACTTTTTTACTGATTTCAGAGGGAGAGAGGAAGAGAAATAGAAACATTAATGATGAGAGAGAATCATTGATCAGCTGCCTTCTGCACACCCCACACTGGGGAGCAAGCCAGTAACCTGACCAGGAATTGAACCACGATCTGCTAATTCAGGAGGCAATACTCAACCACTGGCTGGTTAACAAGAGTAATTTTTTAAAAAACAGGCATGCTCTGGCTGGTGTGGCTCAGTTGGTTGGAGCATCATGGTGTACACCCAAAGATGGTGGGTCTGATTACCAATTAGGACACATATCCAGGTTGCAGGGTCCATCCAAATAGGGGAATGTACAGAAAGCAACCAATTATTTCTCTCACATTGATGTTTTTTCTCTCCCTCCCTCCATACCCTCCCCCTTCCATTCTCTCTCTAAAAATGAATGGAAAAAATATTCTCCTCAGGCAAGGATTAAAAAATAATGCCTGATCAGTGTTGCTTAATGGTTGAGCACTGACCCCTGAACCAGGAGGTCGTGGATTATTTCCCAGTAAGGGCTGCGGGCTCCATCTCCAGTGAGGGATGTGGAGCAGCTTAGAGAACTTGCCTCCCCAAGCCACCAGACGGAGAGCAGAGAAGGAGAGCTGGCGGCTTGGAGGATGTGGCAGAGCAGGAGACCATAGGACAGAGACAGATAAGGGAGGGAACACAAAAATTCTTAGATGTCTTTTTAATAATCTGACAATTTAATAGTCTCTCAGATTATGTAACATTTTCATCTTATTTGTTAGGAGAATAATTCTTTTCTAATTAAAGGTTAAAATCACAGCAGAAAAACATAATAAAAGCATCACTATACAAATATCTAAATACTTTAAACTATAACTTACCATATAAGGAATACTCTGCTTCCTGACCTGTGTCACTTTCACTGGAGGTTGACGTGAGGCTGGTGGTTAAAGTATTACTTAACGACTGCCCAACTGATAAAACTGTTGTTGCTGTAGCTACATTGCTGCTGCTCGTAACACTGGATGTTGACATAGTCACTGTTGATGTAGTACCAGGTGTGGTCAAATTAGGAAAACTCTGAGCACCCATAAGAGGAGAAGCTAAAGATAAAAATGAAGCAAATCAGTACAAATAGGTAGAATATTATAAATCTTAGAATAACTAGGTTGCATATGTAGAAAAAAGAATGAGGTCATGAAACATTAAATTATTAAATGGCTAAAAAGCAACTTTGGGAACCCAACTGAAATCCAACTAAAAGTTCTTATTTTCATAGCACTATTATTTTTCAAAAAAATTAAGTGTAGCTTTTTACAAAAGGTGAAATAAGCAATGGAATAATTCCCAATAAAATTTTCCAAAGGAACTACTTCGACTTGTTAATAGCTTAAACTAGAATAAAATAATTTTCAACAGTTAATAGCAATTTAGGACCAGTGTGATGATCTCATTTCAATCAACTATGATGATATTTAATAGTCATCTATTTTCTCATGCAACTGTACTTAATGATTTATAATAGAAGTGAAAAACAGAAGTGTGTTATTGTTTTATCCTTTCAGAATAAGAGGTTCTTTATCACACCTGATCTGAATTCTTTAAATATGATTCTACAGAACTTCATATTCCTTAAGTGCTAAATTTGATGAAATTGTATCTAATATGGTTAATGATCTAGTTCAAGACTGAAGCCAGAACCCACTGAACAAGAAATTCTACTTTGCATCCCTCAGAGTGGAAAAGGCATTGGTTTCCATAAGGAAAAGCTCACTTACTTGCTGTGCTCATCACATTCCTCCCCAAAGTATTAGTGTTGTTATCACTGCTGCTTCGGCTTAGATTCATGTTGTTCGTGGCATTAGTCCGTGCTATGTTTGCCACTCTCCTTACAAAACTCTCCAAGCTAGATGTTTCTCTTGAGGACAGGTTAGGTACACTTGCACTAGAGCTCATAGGGGCCCCCGCAGCCAACAAAGAACTCACTGACAGTCTGTTACTTGCTGAGGAGCTAAGGGGCCGTTGTGAAGCTGCTTCTTTATTAGTTAACTCAGACACTGAACTAACATCAGGAGAACTGACACTAACAATTCCCATGGATATTGCACTAGACTCTCCAGGAGTACGAACAGAACTATCGGGGCCTAACTTTCTTTCAGCATTTTCACTTCCCGTTTCCGCTGTTAAGGTACTGGTGCTGGCACTGGATGATGACCCTACTTCTGTTTGAGGGATGTTTTCAGCAGATGAAAGTACAACAATTGGTTCATGGACATCAGCTCCTGAAACTATACTGTGTTCCATTACAATTTCTGATCTCCGTTCCGTTTTGGTCGAACCCAAGCTGATGTCGCTGCTACTGGCCACGCTACACACAGAACTGCTGCTTCCTTTTCTACTTGAGGAGCCTGCAGCAGCAGATGTCTTGTCTGGACAGTTGTTTTTCACCAAGCTGCTCCATGATTGCGTTGTGCCTGAAACAGTGGATGAAACAGGTTTGGGTGATGCCACTGTATCAGGGTCGTACCCTGGTGCAAGCTTGAGGTCAAATTTTCCTTCTGCGCCCATACGGTAAGAGTTTGAGCCACCAGCATCCCAGGTGACATCAATCCAGCCTGGAAAGGGACAGGAGTTTGTGAGACCCAGCAGAAAGCAGATAGGAGCGTGTCAGACAGTAGCTCCACAATATGGGATCAGCTTTTCATCAGTGTTGTCTGAATTTCTATAGTCATTTAAGGTCTGCCAACTAAAATTAAATTCTTCCTTTTATTTCTATTACTTCTGAACTGTTCACTTTAGTGATATTTAAAAACAATGTAAGGGTCATGTATATGTCTACTGGGGTATCTTTTAAGGGGAAGAATTGTTAAAAATTGTTTTAAAAAGTGAATACAAACGGTAAAATAGTGCAACTACAGCAATATAGGTGAAATCTAAGTAGAAGGTTTTTAGTTGCTAAATATGATTATGTGGTCAAATGTTCTTTATAGAAAAAAAATTGTTGGTTTACCATTAAATTCTGAGTTTGGGCTAAACCCTATAATTGACAGACAAAATATTCATATATCACTGTAGAAATTTTAGGTCACTAGCTCAAATAACACTAAGTTAGCATTTCGGTTGTGTTCTCAAAGTTCAGTGGTTACTTGGTTCTCTTATGATTAAGTTTAATATATCTGAATAAGCACAGAAAAATCCTAAAAACAAAAATTTTAAGTATACTAAGCCCTTTTACTAAAACTAATAACTAAAGCTATATACTAAAGCTAATAACGTGTGAAGAACTAATGAGCAAAATGACATTTAATCTTTATTTGTACTTGGAAAATTATACGTACTATTTTTTAAAAAACAATTAACGTTAGAAAACAAGTGCTTATTATAAAGAAAACTAATAGAAATTTTACAATCTTATTTTAGTGTTATAAATGAACTACATTTCATGGAAGAACACAAAATGTTTTATTTTTAAATATAACAAGTCTTTATAAAGTTTAAAAGTCCTTCGCATACCCATACCCACATGCATGCATACATGTACACACATGTATACGTACGTGTACACACACACACACACACACACACACACACACCAGTTAATTTATGTGTATGATAAGGTTCCGAGGGGTATAAGTAATGTTGAATTACCTGTGGGGATTTTCTCTGCATGAGTTCTTTGAAAGGAAAACTGCCCCAAATCTACATAATCTAGTTTACATGAGATTTCAATTGCCTCAATTTATTCTTTATGTTGAAAAAACCTCTGAAGAACCAACAATTAACTATCTTTTCTGCAACATGGAAAGTATAAGAAAAGTAAAGGTGCAAAAACATATCCCACCCCAAATAAAAATAACATTTGCATTGCATTAATTGATTCAATACAATGATAATTTACTTCACAGCACTTATAAAAATGTGTAATTATATGTTTATCTGTTTCACCTAGAAGCAGGGGAACATACTTTGACCACTGTATAACTGAATTCTATCAAAGTACCCTTACAGTGTAGACATTCATAATTGTAGAATACATAAAACTTATTATATACGCGTTGGTTGGATATCCCTATCAATACATAGATTCTTTAAGGGAAAAAAGATTTAATTGATAAAATGTAGAAAAGTAATTTTAAAATGTAAACTATTCATATTAGTCTGAGAATGTGTTTAAATTCATGTTTTAAGGAGGACAAAGAAAGGGTACATATGTTCTATCCATAAGTATAAAGGAACACAACTCTAAACTCCTATGCCCCCAAACTAAATAAAAAGACAGAGTTAGTAATAACTAGCCATTATTAGAAATGGTTGGCTTAAGTATTTGAAAGCTAAGAACTCTCTGTGACATAAAGGTTTTAAGGCACAACAGGAATTGTCATCCTGGTGAGCCAAAATTCTGAATCTCCACATAAATCAGATAAAAAATAAGCCTCTCTTATAAGCTAAATTCTGAAATTATAAGATTCCAATTTTCCTATGCAGTTGCTTCAGTTAAATTTTTCTTAATACAGTTAAGAAAAATTAACTGCATTCACGTATACCCTAATTAGCCCACATACTTAAAAGCCAAAACAAACAATTTAGGAGAAAAAAAAATATTAACTAAATAAATGGACTTAAAATACCAAAAAACAAACACATTTGAAATTTCTGAGTTGAATGGTACTATTGTCATCTCAACTATTACTGGTTTTTATGACTTTTGGAGTTACATACATGCTCACTCACTGTTAACCACTATAACAATGCTTTGCAATTAGGATATGACTCTAGAGAAATGCATTTCATAGTACATAACTCAAGGAACAGAATCTTAAATGAATAAAATCAAAGAGTTTATCTAATTAAAGTCTTTTAACACAAACATGAATATATTCAGATATTAAATGTTTGTCATTCTCCTAAGTACTGTCACTTTTCCTTGGTTAGGCCAGTGGTCAGCAAATTCATTAGTCAACAGAATGGCAAACCGTGGCTCGTGAGCTGCAGTTTGCCGACCACTGGGTTAGGCAAATTATCTACTAATAAATAAAACTTCTAAGTTATTAAAAAAAAAATTACTTATAATAGTTGAATCTGGGAATTAATAGCAATTTATTAAATGGGTATGGACTTCCCTAAGCCAGCAGGTGGACATCCCTCAAGGAGCCTCGTACTGCAAGAGGGCCAAGCTGAGGGTCCCTCACCCCCCCACACACACCAGTGCATAAATTTCGTGTACCAGGTTTCTAGTATTAAGGTAAAAAATCAATGAAAACTTACAAGTAGTAAACTTAAAAATAAAAAAGCAGAAAATGTACCTTGAGTGGATTCAACTTTTACTAGCTTATTAATCACTTTGAAATATTAGTAATAAGTTTTGAGTCAAAACATAAGAAAATTTAAAAATTTCCCTTATTTCTAAATAAATGATTTTTTCTGTTTTGTTTTTAATGTGAAATCAACAGATCAGTTCTTTTACACAATGCTAGGATATTTATACAATTTATATATTACCCCAAAATAGCAAAAAAAAAATATTTTGTTAAAGTACTTAATTTCTACACTACAAATGCTAAGCACCTACTCACCATTATGCAGTTCTCCCGTGACGGTGCCTTCTCCCTGTGGGCTGCCATCCTGATCTCGCCATTTCCAATCAAGGCCTCTGATCACACGAGCCCCTGGAACCATGTATTTTAGAACCTGGGAGCGTACTAGACGCCTTTGTCTTCTCAGATTAGCTTCTGCTTCCTTAGCTGCTTTTCCTATAAGGTAAAAATTAGAGAAATATAAACAAAATAACTTCAGGTAAATATAGATATTTTAGTAAGTTAGAAAAACCCATTATCCTCTCTTTACCTAGCTGATCTTCACATACTCCATTTACAGTGCCATAAAGTTCGAATCCAGACAGTGAGAGGTAGTGAGTTTGACCGCTAGCGTTCTTTCCCATCTGTTTAATTCTCACATGTCGCCAACCTTGTTTCTCATCCTTTGGTGGATCAAGAGGCCATGTTGCTGTTGACCTATAAATATGTTAAGGAAAAAAACGGTTTAATATTTTACAACAGATGAAAAGATGTGCAGAAGAATTTTTTAATGTGCAGAAGAATTTTTATATAACAGAGAACTATAGGAAAAACAAAGTAACTTTTACACTCAGTCAACAGTTTGTTACACAAGAATAAAAAAATCAAAGGGAGACATATAGTAATCAAGAAAATAAATAAAATATAAAATGTTTAAATGTATACTATTAATTTGACTTAAATATACTACATGACTTATGATTAATAAAATCTAAAGAAATAAGACAAATTTTGAGTAACAAAAATGCTTTTATGATGCAAAAGATTTTTTAAATTCTTGAAAAGTTTTAAATGACATATTTAAGTATTAATGTTAAAGCTTGAAAATATTATCTAGTAATCCTAGTTAAGAAGCTCCGTCCATACTACATCAAATGCGGAAAGTACTATATCTACCCCTCAAAATGTGCCACAATGTAAAATTAAAACTTATTAGGACTAAAATTTTAGAAACAATACCGACTCATTTAAAAAATTTATTGATATATTTGAGCGAGAGGAGGGTAGAGGGAGAGGAAGGGAGGACAGAAGAAAGAAAGGAGGGGGAAGGGCGGAAGAGGAAGAGAGAGGTAGGGAGGGGAGAGAGAAAAACACTGACTTATTGTTCCACTTATCAATGCATTCATTGGTTGATTCTTCTCTGTGCCCTGACTGGAGGATCAAACCTGAAACCTTAGCATATGGTGATGATCTCTAATCAATTAAGAGATCCAGGCTGAGCCCTGATCTTCTGTCTTTAGAAAAATTATATATATATACATATATATATATATGTGTGTGTGTGTGTGTGTGTGTGTGTGTGTGTATATATGAAAAAAGATATACATAAAAATAATCAAAATTTTAAAATCAGCTATCTATAGTAATAAAAGGGTAACATGCTAATTAGATGGACATCCTCTTGGACGAAGCTGGGGCCAGAGCCAAGCCTCCCGGGTCCTGGGTACCAGAGGGAAGCTGGTGCCAGCAGCCAGGGGAAGGCCTACGCTTGCATGAATTTTCGTGCATTGGGTCTCTAGTTACTCAATAACCAGCAATAATTTGTTGAACATTCACAAGTACAATGTGAATATATGGAGAATGTAGTAAAATACAAATTTCATTTTTTGTTTTTTGTTAGTGAGCTATAAAGACACACACATCGTAATATATCAATTTCTTTTTAAATACGAATGTTCAGTTTTCTATTAATGTTAAACTTGGAGCTTTTCACAAAGTTTTGGTGAAGTCAGCATATCAAGGTTTAAATACTTAAAATTTATTATTAGGAATTTACTGTTTTCAGAAAGGAAATCTTGCTTTAATATCTCACAAAGAAGAGAGCTCTAAGGATACACAATTATAAAAGTAAACATGGCTCTTTATTGAGTTTTCTAATTCACAAAGACTCCTCCACTGACCCTGGTTCATTGAGACTGCAGTCATCAACATGGGTATACAAAGAGGTCCAGTTCTGTCCATCTTTGGATACCTGGAAAACCCAATTCCTCAGCGCAGACCTTCCATAGCCACGAGCATGACGAAGTGTATATGCTGATGGAATCACCCACAGACCCATATCTATGGCAAACCACGCATTCTTATCATCATTGCTATGGCAATTTAAAGCTGAATTATCACGACTTAGTATGTCTTCTAAGCGGCCATAAGGTAGATTTCTTCCTTCTGATGATGTTACTACTACAAGTCCATAAGCAGCTGGATTTACCCATTCATATGCAGTTCTACACAAAAATAAGAAAATATTACCAGTTAACACTATTAAAATATTTATTCATAACTTTTATCACACATGAAATTATATCAACTTTGAAAATTCTATTAATAATTTTAGTTTTTCTTCATAAAAATTAATTTAGCCCTAGCCAGTTTTTTGTTTTTGTTTTTGTTTAAATATATTTATATTGATTTTAGAGAGGAAGGAAAAGGGAAGATAGAAACATCAATGATGATAGAGAAGTATTGATTGATCGACTGCATCCTGCGTGCCCCCTAATGGGGATCAAGCCCACAACCGGGGAATGTACCCTTGACCAGAATGGAACCAGGTACCCTTCAGTCCACAGGCAGATGCTCTATCCACAGAGCCAAACTGGCTAGGGCAGCCCTAGCAAGTTTTGCTAAGGGGTCAGGGAATGGGCCTTCGGACTGAAGGATCTCAGGTTCAATTCTGATCAAGGGCATGTACCTCAGTTGTAGGCCCGATCCCCAGACCCAGTCAGGGCATGTGTGGGAGGCAATCAATTGATGTGTCTCTCATATCGATGTCTCTCTCTCTGTGTCTCTTTCTTTCTTTCTCCCTTCCACCTTCTCTCTAAAAATCAATGGAAAATATATCCAAAGGTGAGGATTAAGAACAACAAAAATTAGATAGTTTTAAATTTAACCTATGAGACAAAATTCCATAAACTATAGGATACTCAAATTTTATTCTGCTACCTAAGGTAGAATGTTTTTTTCCAGGTGAATTACACAGAATAACTTACTTGGCATTTGTCCCAATCCAGTAAATAATTCCATTTTCATCAAAATCATGCTGGTGCCGAAATATAAAATTTTGGCCTTCTCTTAATTTTCGAACAAAAATAAATGAAGATCGGTCAAAATCATACCACTGCTTTGCTACCTAAACCAAAGAAAATACAAAAGACATTTTAATAATAATATTGTAAGATGCACTGCCCACTCTTCCTATCCCATATTTGTGAGCTATTTTACTACAGCAAATACTAAAGAATATTGAAAAACACAGAAAAACAGAAATGTGCAAAAACACAGAAAAACAGAAATTAAAAACCCACTATTAATACCATAGAGTATTTCTTTAATCTATTATTTCATTAGCTACAATAAAATAAAGTCTTGTTTATACAATACAAAAACACTTTTCTCTTACCTGGTTTTATACATTTTAACAGTTCCATAAAAGTACTCAAATTAATAGAAATAGCTGTCAAAATGATATACCTCTATTGATTGGCATTAAGGTTTTGTTCACTATTTAGTACTGCAAATAACTATAATAAACATCTTTATGAAAAAGCAATTTATAAAGTATAAAGATTATTTTCTTAAAGTTCTAAAAATTGAATTGTTAGATTACACTATATCACAGTAACTCTGTATGCATACTTTCCAAATTACTTTTTCTAAAGGGCTCGACCACAGAAGAGAATGGTTATCTCACTATGCCTTTGCGAGAACTCATCATTTTTTTCTTTTTCTTTTAGAACTCACCATTTTTAGGAGGTACTGTTCCAAAGATTCGACTGTAGCTAAGGGCTCCATCTTCAACATCCTGCCAGTCCTGTCTATCAAGGCAGTTTCACCAGGCGCACGCTCTAACCGGAACCTTAATCTTCTGGTAAGAATCTACAGAGAAAGGATCAAAATGCTTCATGAATTACCTTGAATTTTCCTTAAAATTGTAAAAATTAAACTGTTACATGAACATGGTGATTCAAATTTATAAATGATCAATGTCTATTGATAAATAATCAATGTCTGTTTCTATTAAATATGTATTTTTTTAAAAAGGTCCACCGAATAAGAGATATAAGCTTTCAAGAAAAATATAAACTTAACTACTTAAAGCTTCCAAACAACTTCAACTATACATGGTATAAACAATACTTATAATAAAACACTTTAACAGAAGTATTATATCTCTAATTTATTACTTGTATGTTTCCAGTTAAGTCATTTAAAGTACTAATTAGCATATTCCTTTAAAACTAGAAATATATTAAAGAGACTGAACAAAAATCATATACCTATGGATGAGGATGGGGGGGCATAAGGGGGAGTAAGGGCAGAGGGTGGAGTGGGGACCAGGTTGAGGAGAGCTATTGGGGGGGAGGGGGGAGAAGAGAAACAATTGTAATAATATGAACAATAAAGATTTATTTTTTTTAAAAACTAGAAATATATTAAATAATCTATAGCTAATATGCTTTTAAAAATACAAGATAGTTTCCAATCCATTTATTTTTAATAAACAAGTAGGAGACTAGCAATTTGAGTAGCTTAATTTCTGTATAAATCTACAGACACAATTAAATATTTCTATGTGCATTTGGATAGCATTTTAGACTGCAAACTTACCAGAGGGCATATTTCTAACCTTCCTGTCTTTGTATCTTACACTCTCCTGAAATGAGAAGTATATAATAAAAAGATATTGGTGTTCCTAGACTGTTCCAATCTTTGAGAATAGTTCCTATTTTACTCACTTATCCAAATAAAGCCATAAAAAAACGGACCGACCTGGTCCGTTTCCCTCAGTGGTTAGAGCATCGACCTGCAGACTGGGACGTCCCAGGTTCAATTCTGGTCGGGGGCACGTGCTCGAGTTGCGAGCTCGATCCGCAGTGTGAGGTGTGCAAGAGGCAGCTGGTCAATGATTCTCATCATTGATGTTTCTCTCTCTCTCTTTCCTCTCTGAATTCAATAAAATACATATACTTTTTAAAAATGGACCACAAGCCGAAACCGGTTTGGCTCAGTGGATAAAGCGTTGGTCTGCGGATTGAGGGGTCCCAGGTTCAATTCCAGTCAAGGGCATGTACATTGGTTGCGGGCACATCCGCGGTGGGAAGTGTGCAGGAGGCAGCTGGTCGATGTTTCTCTCTCATCGATGTTTCTAGCTCTCTATCTCTCTCCCTTCCTCTTTGTAAAAAATCAATAAAATATATTTATATAAAAATAAAATAAAAATAGTAAAAATGGACCACAAAACCCCCTTGGCTCCTCTATATGTCTGAAAGGAAACAAAGTGGACCTCGATCTCTTGTTTAATATACATTTGATGTGAGGTGCACTAATTGCACTGTAACTTCCTGGACAAACGCTCTAGTTTGGGAGTCTAGTGGCTTCGGTGACATTATTGGGTTCCTTGGGATATGGCAGGTTTTACCTTGAGTAGGCAACTGTTTTGACAAATACAGATTCTTGGTTACTTACTAAGGGCAATATTTAAACTTTCCACACAATGTAATGCAGGATAGGTTGGACAAAGGCAAGATTCAAGGCCAAAGGACCTGTTAGAAAATACTAAAGTAACCCAAAGGAGATATAAAGAAGGTATTAACAGTAAGAATATTTGTCTGTTCATACCTGTATCACAGGTGCTAACAAAAGAATAATTAATATAATGAATGAGAATGTCAATGCAATAATATTTAGGAAAAAACAGGCTTCTTACAAACACATAATGACAGATTTCTGAAAGGATCAATAGGAATAGCTAAAGAAAGCCTTCTGGCTCTAACCAATAACATCCAGAAAGCAAAAAGAAAATTATGCTTAAAATATCTTCACATTTTCTTATATGTTGACACAGATCAAAAGGACTTAACTTATGATTCTAAAACAAAAGGACACTTTTTCCTGCTTTTCCACAGATGAAGTATCTTTTTCCGCTTATGACCTACCAAATATGATTTCTTATAATAAATATTTTATTTAAAATTCACAATTTCATTAAACAAAGTAAAACTGAAATTTCAATACATTCAAGAGTCATGAAAAATAACAATCAAATGGCATTAAGGATAAAATCTTTAATAATTAAGCAGTATCGTTATTTAATACAACATGGAAGGAAATTTTTTTGGTCTGTTTATGTGTGTGTGTTTTTTAAAGACCACTCCTAAATGCATTTAGCTATAATAGTGAATGCATTTTGCATGATTACCTGGAGGTTGTATGTAGATCCTGGTGTATCATACAAATGGAGAGGTAGGCGTTCAATAGATTCTAGTACAGCTATTAATTTTCGAATTAATGCAACTGCTGGTCGACTGTAAAGCAAAAATAATTAAGAGTTTTTATATAATTTTATATAAAAGCTCATACAGAAACTGCAATAACCAATCCCATAGATCCCTACTTTCTAATGAGTGCAAAGAGAAGTTTAATTTTGTACTACACTACATCTGAGTAAACAAAAATACTCTCATAACTCAATTTCCTTCTCTTAATAAAATATTGTATTTTTCATATAAAAGTTTAATTTATTGCATTCAAACTAGGTGTGTAATTTATTATTTTTAAATTTACCACATAAAAGAATATATGAAACAAAAAAATTTTTAGAAATGATATTATTTGTTGGTACAATAATTCTGGAACATAATTCGACAGTATCAAGAAACTTTAAAAATCATGGAAAACAAAGACCATCTATAACCATTAATTCAGTAATATCACTTTAAAATTTTTATATAAGATATTTCCATTGAGGTAAGTATTTACTAATATTAAAATAATTTGCAGTTAAAAATTTTAATATAGTAATGTTTAATTATACGTCCATAAAATGTAATATCACTTATTGAATTTAAATTATTTTTAAAAGTCGCTCACATTCAAAAGTAAATAAGATAATAAAAGGAACCTTCATCAACCCTTGACCCAGCTTCTACTATTAGCTACTAATAACCAGTTGATTTCTATCTACACCCTCATCCATTTCTCTCCTCCCATATGTTTTGAAGAAAATGCCAGAGAATATATCACTTGTCTACAAACACTTTAAGTATGTATTTCTACCAAGAACGAATTCTGAAAAAAAAACAAAAATCATTATCACACCTAAAAAAGTTGAACACCACTTAATACTATCAAATATTTAATCAGTGTTCAAATTGCCAGTTGTAACTTAAAAAAAATTTTAAGTGATCATCTACATGCAGAGCAGATATATAATTTTCCTTTTATTCCATTAAATTAAAACATGTTTAAAAATATTTCCTCTTATTATGCATTTATAATATAAACTACTTTATGTTGTAAACACTGAAAATAGAAAAATATTTAAAATGTGGATATTTACCTTTCATCATCTTCATTTTCACTAAAGGCTGTTTTAAAAACATTTATTCTTTCTACTAGTTGACTACAATCTTGTTTCACATCTAACTCCATGCTCTAAAGAAAACAAAAATGAGACAGTGAAAAAAAACTTTTAAGGCTGTTACTAAAATTAACAAAAATACATGCTACAGCCGAAACCGGTTTGGCTCAATGGATACAGCGTCAGCTTGGGAACTGAAAGGTCCCAGGTTCGATTCCGGTCAAGGGCATGTACCTTGGTTGTGGGCATATCCCCGGTAGGGGGTGTGCAAGAGGCAGCTGATCGATGACTCTCTCTCATTCATGTTTCTAACTATCTCTCTCCCTTCCTCTCTGTACAAAATCAATAAAATATATAAAAAAAATACATGCTACAAAGGTGAATATTAACATATACAAAAAAGTAATGTAATCTAATGAAAATCATTTTCTTTCCATTAAAACTCATTTTATTATATGACTAGTAGGCCATAGCTAACAAATACATATATTATTTTTCTTCCTTTTTAAGCGTAGCAATTATATAGTGAAATCAATTTATAGTCTCAAAGTATAGTATACAAGATGATTTCAGATTTTTTATATTTTGTATTTTAACAGTACTATCTTAATTATTAGAAAAAATAACTGCTTTAATAAAACATTAACTTCATAAACATTACTGAGACATAATGTGATATATCAATATAATTTTAATAAATGGAAATTAATGCAAATGATAAAATTAATAAAGAAAATCTGAGACTGAAGTTAAAGTGAATTTTTATTTTTTTATTTTTATTTATTTTTAAATATATTTTATTGATTTTCCACAGAGAGGAAGGGAGAGGGATAGAGAGCTAGAAACATCGATGAGAGAAAAACATCGAGCAGTTGTTTCCTGCAAACCCCCCATTGGGGGTGTGCCCGCAACCAAAGTACATGCCCTTGACCAGAATCGAACCTGGGACCTTTCAGTCCACAGACTGACGCTCTTTCACTGAGCTAAACTGGCTTTGGCAAAGTGAATTTTTAGAGTGTATCATCATTACAATATAATAATTAAGATCAAGTAATTTGCCCTAGCTGGTTTGGCTCAGTGGATAGAACGTCAGCCTGCAGACTGAAGGGTGCTAGGTTCGATTCTGGCCAAGGGCACATGCCCAGATTGTGGGCTCAATCCCCAATACGAGACGTGCAGGAGACAATCAATGATTCTCTCTCATCATTGATGTTTCTAGCTCTCTTTCCCTCTCCCTTACTTTCTGAAATTAATAAAAATATGTTTTAAAAAAAAATCAAGTAATTTAAGTGGACAACAGAACTAAAATAAAGAGAAAATTTTCACTTTTCATAGTTCTGTTAAAATTTGTTGTAGTAAGTAATATGATGTCTCATCAAAATAAAGGAAAATTTTTTATCACAATAAAGAAATTAAAGGTAGAAAAAAACTGAAGAAAAATATAAGGTTATTAAGCAAATACTTGTTGAATATTCACATAAACATCCTAAACTATTATTTCTCACAAAATTAATTTTGTGCAAATAATTTAAATATTTAATGAGGTCTACAGACTAACTCTATTTTTTATAAGAAAACCAGAGCATTTTGTTAAATCTCAAGCTTAAGTATTTTATTCAACAAAATCTTGAAAAAACTGTAATCAGGTAACACAAAAAGCAAAATAAATAATGACTTAATACTTAATTCAACTGGCCCAAATTAATAATACAAATTAAGGGAAAGGCTGGAGAAATTATAAATATTTACATTTATTACTCATCTTTTATTATTTGTTGTCAGAGCAAAATAAATATCACTCTACCAAAAGGGTAGTTACAAATGATTTTTAAAGCTATATATTTTGTTCTGTACTACTTCATAAACTTACATTGTTTAAAACAGTAAGAAGCGCTTGCACCAAGCCACTACTGCACATTTCATATGGTGAAATGGTGTTTTCATCCTTCAAAAGTACAATTAGATTTTCTAAAGCTGTCTTCATTAAATCTCTCCATGTGTTTTCACTCTCAATACACTAAATGAAAAAAAATATATTTTAATAAAGACAATAAAAAATAAACGTCTTATATTTGTCAGAATGTTAATTACCATGAAAATAGATAGTAAACAAGATTAAGAAGTTCAAATTATTAATGCAAATTGTCTCTTCCAGAGTCAGCAAACTTTTCTAAAAAGGGCTAAGGGCAAACACTTTAACCTTGACAAGCTATGTGGTCTCTATCATACCTATTCAACACTATTGTTCTAGACACCAAAGCAGTAACTGACAATACAGGGATAGGAAAAGGTAGATTTACAGTTGTATACAAAACACAGTTTATCCTTGATTATTTATTCTTTATTGTATTATTTATATGTATTATAACTATGCTAGTAAACTACTTTTTGTCCATCCTGTATGTCAATAAATAAGGATGGTGTAATAAACTACTTATGGACACTGATATTATATTCTCATATAATTTTTACATAGCATGAAATGTTATGTTTTCAACTAAAAATGTAAAAACCATTCTTATCTCACAAAGCCAAACAAAAATAGGTGGCAGAACAAATTTATCTCATGGGTGATAATTTGCTAATCTCTAATCAATACCTATAACATAAAGGATAAAGGAGAAAAACTAAACCAAGATCACTATATGTCATAAAATCTTAAGGCTAACATACTTGTCTATTTGTATGAAGTTCCCAAGATGACTCTAACTGAGTTGCTATGTTTCTGAGTGTTACCACTACTCCACGAGGCATGCTTTCAACAGCTTTAAAGTGGTCGTCATATAAATCTCGAGCCATAGTGCGTACCTATCAAAATTAAACAGCAAATGTGAATTTTCACAATTAATAATTTTACCAAACCTTTCCATATATATATATATATATATATATATATATATGTGCAACTTTTATAATTAATATGTTTATATCATTATCAACTTCCAAAAATGATATGACTTCTATTCATATACACCAAAAGGTTCTAAAGGGTGAAAAAGTACTCTAGTAGATTTTATTAATGTTAAATAAAATAACTCATAATTTCATATCAGAAAGGAGCTTATTTCATTTAAATTCAAAACCTGGAAAAAAAAAATTGACTTTGCTTTAGAAAAAAATAAATGATTACACTTCTAGGAATTTATCTGAACAAACCCCAACACTAACTTGAAAAAAATATATGCACTACTATGTTCACTGTAGCCTTATTTACAATAGACAAGATTTGAAAGCAGTCCATGTGATCATCAACAGATGAGTGGATTAAAAAAAAAGCAGTACATTCATACAAAGAATACTACTCAGCAGTAAAAAACAAAAACAAAAAAACCTTACCCTGAAGAACATTATGCTAAGTGAAATAAGCCAGTCAGAGAAAGACAAGTACCATATGATTTAACTCATGTGAAATCTAATGGAAATGAACTAATAAGTAAAATAGAAACAGACTCATAGAGAGCAGGCCATCATCCGCAGAGTGGGTGGGGGGCGGGGGAGAGAGGCCTGGAGGCTGGAGGGATTGAGTAAACAAAGAAAAAGATGGGGGGAGGGGGACTCAAAACTGGTGATTGCTGGCAAGAGGGGGGTGGGGAGAAGTGGAAGAGATTGTAGGGGGATAAATGGTGATGGAAGGAGACTTGACTTGGGGTGGTGAACACAATACAATATGCAGATGATGGTTTGTAGAACTGTGCATCTGAAACCTATATAATTTTGCTAACCAGTGTCACCCCCCCCCAATAAATTCAATAAAAAGAGGGAAAAAGTAATGCTTATAATCAACCATTTAGAAAATACAGTAATCACAAAATAAAAAATTAAGTCACCTGTAATTCCATCAACCAAAATTGAACCTTTTAACATTCTGGTGTATACTTTAGGTTATAGTTTGAGTATTTTCTTTTTTTTTTATTATTATATTTTATTGAGTAGTTATTGTTGTTTTTTACAGAGAGGAAGAGAGAGGGATAGAGTTAGAAACATCGATGAGAGAGAAACATAGATCAGCTGCTTCTTGCACACCCCCTACTGTGAATGTGCCTGCAACCAAGATACATGCCCGTGACTGGAATCGTACCCGGGACCTTTCAATCCGCAGGCCGAAGCTCTATCCACTGAGCCAAACTGGTTTTGGCAATGGTATGTGTATTTTCTATGTACATTATTAACACAAAGAACAATCTATATAATGCTCATACACATTTCATCATGAGAAGGAATGACTATATTTTTGGCTCTGGTCCTAATTAGCTTTCATTTAAATGAAATTAATGTTATTTGAGAAAAACCCATACATGTCCCAGGACTGGGTCTGTTGAAATTTATTGCATAACAGTCTTTAAAAATATATGCAACAAGTAATACAAGAATGTGCAGAAAGGGGAACACTAATGCACTGTTGGTGGGAATGCAGATTGGTGCAGCCACTGTGGAAAACAACAAGCCCATCCAAGCTGTTTGCAGTGGCTTTACCATAGGGATAGTCTGTCCTGGCTCAGGCTTCAGACTTTCCTAAAATCTCTCAAACAGCAGCTGGCCTCAGCATACCCCATACCTCTTGAGATTAGAGTAGCATTTTTATATGGCTCAATTTTTTAAATGCTTAAAATCTACCATTGAAACTTTACCATGTCCGTATAAAAGATTTTTTTTAAAGCAGCAAATCCCACAAATATACCTTTTGTTTTGTTTTTTCTAATTTAGATTTCAGTTTTCTGCCTCTTTTGCCAGTCCAGCCAGTCACAAATTCTGAACCTTAAAAAAAAAAAAAGGACATTTCACAAGGTATTTTTTATTGCCATTTAACATACTCATTTATTCTTAATCTGCTAAACTTACTTATCTACATACCCAGAGAAGTTTCTGCAGTAAATGAGTGTTTGGTTCCTCTATTGGATTCAAATACAAAACCAGGTAAATCTTCTTTCAATATTGTTGCTTGCTGACCATCTGAGTTATGAATAGCAATTTCTCCTTCTTTCAAACATGTTAGTGACCAATTCCCTACAGTGAGTTTAGTGGGTCCTGGCGTTGAGAGTATAGGTTGACTTGAAGTAGATGGCTTTACTTGGCCTCGAGCTCTTTGTAACTTCTCTAAGAATTCACTCCTGCTTTCTATAAAGACAAAACAAGTGTTTTAAAACCTCACTTCTTTCAAACATTCCTCTTTTTTTTAAATAAAAACTATTCACTGGAATAACAATCTTATTTTTAAAAAAGGAATTAGCAGAGTCTGGTTCTTTGGTATACCTTCACTGATTTGATAAATTGAGGCTCAGGCGTAAAAGCAATCCCACAGCCACAATTATTTTTTCAAGTTTAAGGCTTTTAGGAAAAGTAATAACTTGAGACAGCATCATACAAGTGCAATTTGTCATTACAAGACAAAAGGCAGCTTTACCTAAAAGACCAGAGAGATTAAAAGTAGATACTATTCTTTCTTGTACAATAAAAAGGTATTTATGAAATGTTTTCATGGTACAATTTTTCTGTCGATATTAAAGAAACAACTATATTGTCATCAAGGATGTGCTATTTTTTTATGACAATGGCAGCAAAAATATAAGCAGAAAAACAAATGATCAAAATTACAGAAAGTAGCCTGGCTCAGTGGCTGAGTGTCAACCCATTAACCAGGAGGTTGCAGTTTGATTCTGGTCAGGGCACATATCCCCGTTACTAGTTACAGAAACTAGTAAAACATTTTAATAGAAACAAAATATTACCTGAACTATCTGATCCGCCTTCAGGACTACCGCTTGAATACATTGTAGCAAGTTTTCCATCCAAGATAAATCTGAACCATCCATTACTGCCATTAGATAATTCCAAGGCAGCTGCATCACTCCATATATATAAGCAGTCTCTTCCCCTAATGATTGACCAGTCTCTCCAATGATATGGTTTACCTTGCTGTAATTCTTTGGCATCTTCCTGTGGTTCATCTTCCTAAATGTGTAAAATTTTCAAAGAACCATGAAAAAAAATTCACATTCCAAATATTCATTAAGTATTTTTAAAACACAAACATGAGTCAAATTTAAAACAAAGACATCCTGAAGAGCCCTGGTTGGTGTGGCTCAGGTGGGCTGGAGCAGTATCCCATGCGCTGAAAGGCTGTGGGTTTTATTCCGAGGCATGGTATGTACCCCGGTTGCAGATTCCGTCCCAGGTCGGGAGCATATGGAAAGGCAGTTGATCAATGTTTCTCTCTCTCTCTCTTCACCTCCCCCTAAAATCAGTAAAACATATCCTCAGGTGAAGATTAAAAAAATAATAATAAAAGAACAACAACAAAAATTCAGCCCAACTGGTGAGGCTCTGTGGTGCACCAAGAGGTCATCATTGCAATTGCCTGTCAGGCACAGGCCGGGGTTGTGGGCTCCATCCCAGAATGGGGCACGCAAGAGGCAGCCAATCGATGTTTCTCTCATTAATGATTCTACGTTTCCCTTCCTCTTCTAAAAATGAATAACAACATTTTTTTAAAAATCCTGAAAATATTCAGTTGCCTGTATTCTGATTCAACTAATCCTAATATATAAAAACCCTGGGTCAAAACGACCAGTAGCCGAAACCGGTTTGGCTCAGTGGTAGAGCGTCGGTCTGAGGACTGAAAGGTCCCAGGTTCGATTCCGGTCAAGGGAATGTACATTGGTTGCGGGCACATCCCCGGTAGGGGGTGTGCAAGAGGCAGCTTGTCGATGTTTCTCATCGATGTTTCTAGCTCTCTATCTCTCTCTCTTCCTCTCTGTAAAGAATCAATAAAATATATTTAAAAAAAAAAAAAAAAAAAAAAGACCAGTAACCACTGGAGGTTGACCATCCGGAAGTCAGTGCTGGCCCCAACCCCAAGCAAGCAGTAAGGGGCAATCAGGCAGGCAGGCAAAGGGGTTAGAGGTTATCAGGTAGGCAGACCAGCAGTTAGGGATGATCAGGTAGGTAGGCCAGTGGTTAGGGGTGATCAAGTAGGCAGGCAAGTGGTTAGAGGTAGATCAGGTAGGTAGAGGGCCCCTCACTGGGCTGGCTCCACCCCCAGGCAAGCATTAGGGGTAATCAGGCAAGTAGGCAGAGTGGTTAGGGGAGATCAGGTAGGTAGACCAGCAGTTAGGGGTGATCAGGTAGGTAGACGAGTGGTTAGGGGTGATCAGGTAGACAGATGGCTGGCCCCACCCCCCAGCAAAGAAAGAGGGAGGCCCAGGCCAGCCAACCCATTGCACCTCAGCCTGTCATCTGCAGAGGGAGGCCACTGGTGGCAAGGGAGGGGGGTATTGCTCCACAAATGGCAAGCAGAGGCAGCGGTGGGGGTGGGGCCAGCTGCCTGCAGCCTGGGGAAGGAAAGCCCTGATAGGCCCTGATCTCAGGCCAGGCCTAGGGACCCTACCTGAAGGGTCCTGGATTGTGAGAGGGTGCTGTCTGAGCTGAGGGATCGCTCCCCCAAGTGCATAAATTTTCATGCACCAGGCATCTATTATAGTTACCTATAATCATACAAGTAAGTCCTAAAAATGTTAAGAAATTTATATAAATAATGACCTATGTTGCTACATTTCCAGGTATACTGGTAAAGACCAATGGATTAGGTCTAGCCAGCAGTCACCAACCTCTCAGACCTCACAGACCAGACACCAGTTGGCCACTAGTCTAGTTGACATCTCTGGGCCTAATTGATTATTTTTTTTAAATAAATAAAAAATATAGATGTTTAGACTAGATGAATGGTATCCAGACCTAGCACAATCACCAGAGAAGCTCCTAAGAATAAATTGTAGGGTCACTTTTAGCCAATTGAATCAAATATACTGGATTTTTTTCTTGTGATCATAAAAAATCTTTTAATTATAGCATGCTAAAAAACAAACAAACACACACCTTAAAATACTGTTTGCCTTGCCTGGTATCCTAAAAAACTTTATTTTATTAATACTCAAAGATTGAGACTATTCATCAAAACCATATTTGAATTTGACGTGTTTCTATGTGAACATGAGAAATATACTTTGAAATTTATACAGACTTACCCTTTTAAAAAATATTTTGTTTTCCCCCTAAAGTAGCTTATAACACTAAAATAAGATTGTAAAATATAGATAATTTCTGCACATATAAGTAGTTATCCCCCAGGCCATCACTGATTAAGAAGGAACATGATTTGTCAATACATTGTAAGCAAAAAAAAATAAAAAAAAAAATAAACAAAATATATGAAAATGTTTTCAAACATAGAATAACACAGGACTGTGATTCCCCAGAAAAATGGAAATAAATTCCTGAAGTCCAGACACAATTTTCTGGCTAAGGTATTAAGAAGCGGGAACACACGGTTCAGCAGTAAGTTGAGGAAGTGGAGATTAGTGTTTGAAGAGGTTAAGGCAAAAAGAATATGTGAAGAACAAGTTTTGGATGAAGGAGTCAAGCAAAATAGACCACTAGAAATCTGTAAAGTATTAACCATAAGTATCTACAAAGTAATAGGCCACTCACATATAGGGTTGAGCAAAGTAGGATTAAAAAGTGTAAGCTGAACAGTTCCCAGGGATAACAGAAGTTAATCAGATATTGGTATTCCAAAGAGCCAGAGTTGAAAATCCTTGAACTAATAGCTAAAAAGTTTCTGAATGTGACAAAAACCTTAACCCCACAGATTAAAGAAAACTAAACAATCCATGCCGAAGCCGGTTTGGCTCAATGGTAGAGCGTCGGTCTGCGGACTGAAAGGTCCCGGGTTCGATTCTGGTCAAGGGCATGTACCTGGGTTGCGGGAACATCCCCAATAAGGGGTGTGCAAGAGGCAGCTGTTCGATGTTTCTCTCTCATCGACGTTTCCAGCTCTCTATCTCTCTCCCTCTGTAAGAAATCAATAAAATATGTATTTAAAAAAATAATAATAAAATAAAGAAAACTAAACAATCCAGAACAGAAATGACACCAACATTTGCACGTGCATATATCCACACCAAACACAACAAAAGCATATAAAACTCAAACTGCTAAAATAACAATGACAAAATCTTTAAAGCCACAGTATAAAAAGATAAGTTATATATACACAAAAGAACTAAACTGATAATTAAAGCAAACTTTTCAGTAGGGATTATGCACATCAGGTAACAATGGAACATCTCTTAATGTTCTGGAAAATGATAGCCCAAGAATCCTCCTGACACTGAAAACACTCTTCAGAATGAATGCCAAATTAAAATATTTTCAGACAAAAAAATCTGAGAGAATTTTCTGATGTTTTTTTCTTTTCTAAACAATGTATTTTGAACAGCAAAAGTTTAATTCTGGTGAAATACAATTTATTGGTTTTTTGTTATTTATAGTTTAACCTTTTTTAAAAAGAGATTTTTTATTAATTTTTAGAGAAAAACATCGATGTGAGAGTAAACCATTGATCAGCTACTTCTTGCATTCCCCTTACCAGGGCTGAGCCCGCAACCCTTGCATGTGCCAACCAGGAATCAAAATGGCAACCTTTCAGTGCAGAGGACGATACTCAACCTACTGAGCACAGGGCTATAGTCTAACCTCTTAAAATGTCCTATTTAAGAAATCTTGCCGAAACCAGTTTGGCTCGTGGGATAGAGTGTCAGCCTATGGACTGAGAGGTACCAGGTTCGATTCCGGTCAAGGGCACATGCCTTGGTTGCGGGCACATCCCCAGTGGGGGGCTGTGCAGGAGGCAGCTGATTGATGTTTCTCTCTCATAGATATTTCTGACTCTCTCTCTCCCCCCCTTCCTCTTTGTAAAATATCAATAAAATATATTAAAAAAATAAAATCTTTGTCAAGTCCAAGGTTACTAAGATTTTCTTTTTCCTTTAGAAGTTTTATAATTTTATTCCATACATTTTAGTCTATGATTTATTTTCTTTTAAATTCTGTATATGGTATATATGACAAGGAACAACATTATTAGGTATGGTATATATGGTATATATGACATATATGGTATATATGACAAGGAACAACAAAAGATTTCATTTTTTGCATACATTATCCACTTATAAGTCTTTTAAAACTTTTACTGAATGTATTAGAGTGACATTGGTTAATAAAATTATATAGGTTTCAAGTATCCAATTCTATATCATCTGTATACTATATTGTGTGTTCACCACACAAAGTCAAGTCTCCTTCCATCACCATTTATCCCACCCCATCCTTTTACCCTTTACCCTCTTCTACTTACTCCCGCCCCACTTTCCCTGTTTTGTTTGGGGCTATTTGTCTTTTTTTGTTTGTTTTCTTAATCTATTCACCTATTTCACCAACCCCCATTCAAGCATTTTTTATTTAAAGACCATCCTTTCTTGATTGAAATGCACTTTGGCTGAAGATCATCTGACCATATAGAGTATGTGGGTCATTATCGTATACCACTACCTTAACTTTCTTGACTATAATATCTTTATAATAATAATACTTGAAATCTGCTGATGTATGTCCTTCAACTTTGTTACTTTTCAAGGTCACTTTGGTTATACTAAGAACCTTGCATCTCCATGTGTTAGAATCTGCTTGTTAATTTCTACAAAAAGACTACTAATATGCGTTATCTATTATCTTGAATACAAGAATTTCAGAGGTGATGAACCCAGATATCACCTTATTTGCATAGTGGTTTTTTTTGTTAAATATAGGACACACAAAATCAATCTCTCTCTTTCTCTCCCTCTCCCCCCCCATCTCTACCTCTCCCTCCCTTTCTCTCTCTCTCTCTCTCTCCCCCCCCTTCCTCCTCCTCCCTCTCCCTCCATTCTCTTTCTCTTATCTCCTCAGGATTCTACAATTACACAACTATAACTCAGCATCCTCTCAAAATATCACTACTCTGTCAGTAATATAGAGTAAGCATTCACTACTAAATGTTAGTACTAAATCACTGTTGGTCATCAGTAAAGATAGAAACGGTAAATTTTAAATTTATAATCTAAGGTAAGAATTATCAATGAATACTGAAACTAATAAAGGTTTAATCGGGAATAGCATATTTGCATCGTTTCAAATTACCGCACCTCAAATTATTTATTAATTAAAAAAGAAAAAAGAATGACTATAACAGAGAAACCTGGCAGAGGCCACCATAAACCAAGAGACCCAAGTTAATATCATCAGCTAGAGAATAGCAACAGGACATCAAGGGAGAGAAAGCACATTATGCACTGAGAAGAAGCAACATCTCTTTATAGTCTGCCTGCTAAAAACACATAACTTGAATCTAATCATGTAGACACATGCACATAAGTAAAATGAGGGCCACTGTCCAAACTAGTGATCTGTCCTATTCAAAAATGCCAAGGCTCTGGAAGAAAAAGGAAAGCTGCGAAACTGTTGCAGGTTCTTAGGAATACGATGACTAAATGTGATTATGTTTTCCTAGATTGGATTCTAGACCAGAAAGAAAAAAAAAATGCTATTAAGGACAATAGCAAATTTGAAATTATCTCTGGGTTAGATGGTTATATATAAATTTTAGTTTTTGCTAACTATAGTAGCATTGTATAAGAAAATGTTCTGGTTTTCATCATGTTGAATGAAATAAGCCAGTCAATGAAAGAGAAACACCACATGACCTCACTCATTTATGGATAATAAAGAACATTATAAACTGATGAACCAAAAGATAGATATAGAGACAGTAAAGCAATAAACAGACTGTCAAATTACAGCGGGGAAGATAGGGAAATCTGGGGGAGATAATATATCAACCGAAGGACTTGTATACATGCATATAAGTACAACCAATGGACACAAAACTCTTGGGTGGGAGGGTATGTATGGGAGGGAGGGCAATGGTAATATATGTACACAGATAATAATTTAATTTAAAAAAATTTTTTTTTAAATGTTCTGATTTTGTGCATAAAGTTTCTATGTGTAAAAAGTTTCTATGTGTAAAAAGAGCTTCTGTCAAATAAGTGTCTGTGTAAACGAAAAAGCAAATGGACAAAATGTCAAAAATCAGTGAATTTGGATAGAGGATAATTTGATATTCTTTATTTGCAACTTTTATCTATGTTTTAAATATTATCTATATATTTTAATTGAGCAAAATTTTAAATACTACAATTCATATTACCATTATTTTGTCAAAACCCACTGTAAAAATAACATATTTTTAAATTGAGCAAGTTTTTAAAAATATAGTTCTAATGCATATTGTCATTATTTTGTCAAAATCCACTAGAAAACTTTATTCCTGATACCACTGCAATTAAGCTCACTCACTTTTTCTGGTTTTGACTCCTCTTCATTCTCATCATCTGAGGAAGGACCTGCCAAAGTTGACACTTTGCTAATTACACCAAGTCTGGCTAGCTGATCCAAAAAAATGTCACCACCTTTATCTACTAAATCCCTTATGATTTGCAAAGCCAGCAAGTGGCCATCATCATCATCCTGGGGGAAGAAGGGAGAAGAAAATTAAGAAAAAATTATAAAAACAAGTTCAGGTTTTTTTTGAGTAAATAAACAATAATTTGAACAGACAAAATTATTTCTTCAATTAGGACAAAAGTTAAATTATTTTACTGACCATTACCTTAAGGGAATTTACAGGAGTTTAAATAAAGATTAGAAAACTGACCTCTTGATCAAGGACTGTTGCAGTGATTTCCACGAGTATTGTAGGCAAATTGTGACCAACATCAGAATCACAAACTTCTTTTAACAATGCTTCAGAGCAAAAGTGAATCATTTTTCGAATCAGAGCAAGACTTGCTTTTCTTAAAAAGTAAAAGAATTTTAGGAAGTCATAAAAAGCTGAAATAAAACAATATGTAACTACACATTAATGAAAACTAAAATATCCAATTTTAGGTGTTATAGACTCTGCTAAAAAGTACTCTTTAAAACAAAAAAAACCCTCACCCGAGGATATTTTTTCCATTGATTTAGAGAGAGTGGAAGGAAAGAGGAGAGACAGAGAGAAGAGAGACCTTTATGTGAGAAAGACACATCAACTAATTGGTTGCCTCATGAAGGCGCCCTGACCAGGGCCAGGGATCAAGGTAAGTGCCCTTGACAGGAACTGAACCCACGACAACCCTTTAGTTTGCTGGCTGAGCTCTAACCAGCTAGGGCTGATTTTTTTACAATTAAACCACTTACCATTTACTAAATAATTCTCCCTCTCTCAAGTGGTCTATGAAACTTCCATTAAATAATTTATTTCCTAAATATAATTGCCTCTACATAATGAGACAGTTAATTCCACTGATTTTTAAAAAAATATATTTTATTGATATTTATACAGAGAGGAAGGGAGAGAGATAGAGGTCAGAAACATCGATGAGAGAGAGTCATTGATCAGCTGCCTCTTGCACACCCCCTACTGGGGATATATAAGGCACATGCCCCTGACCGGAATCGAACCCGGGACCCTTCAGTCCCCAAGCCGACGCTCTATCCATTGAGCCAAAATGGTCCCGGCATAATTCTACTGATTTTTATGAACTTTTGTGCCAGTTATAAAGATTTAGTTACTGAAAGTTTATACTTGCTTTTCATATTTTTCTTAAATCTCACCTATTATCTGCCAGGGTGGCTCAATAGTTGAGCATCAATCTATGAACCAAGAGTCAAGGTTCGATTCCCAATCAGGGCACATGCCCAGGTTGCAGGCTCACTTCCCACTGTGGGACGTGCGGAGGCAGCCAATCAATAATTCTCTTTCATAATTGATGCTTCTATTTCTCTCTCCCTCTCCCTTCCTCTCTAAAATCAATAAAAAATATTTAAGAAAAATAAAAATCTCACCTGTTTATTCCTCAGATGAATTTTAAGACCTATCAAGTTCTAAACCAAATTCTGTATTTTCTTTAAAAGTGCATAATTTATCAATTTTTGAAAGAATTTATACTTAGATTAAATATTCTCATCCAAAAACAATTTCCCCTTATAAAAGTCTAATTTCTCTTAAATTGTAATTTTTTAAAAAATTAAATGAATCCTCAGATTTCCTATACTAAACAGTGAGTTCAATCTTTGTCTTATTGACACTAACTCCAAAGATGTTTATTTATACCAGACCTCTTCAAAATTCAATGTAGCTGTTCTTCAAAAACAAAGTGGGAAGTCTTCAGTCTACCTTACAAGAGACACATATACATCGAATCATTATACTGTACACTGTAACACAGTTACATGTCAATTATCCTATACCAGTGGCCCGGTGCAGATTTGTGCACATTGAAAGGAAGTGAATTAGAAGGTGGTGGGCAGGGCGGGACTGGGAGAAATGGGTATGTCCAGCCCAGGACACGCCCTCCTGCACTCCCTCCCTGGCCAGCAGCGCTGCCCCAGGGGCTCAAAGGGTATCTGCAGTCACTGCACCTCAGCATTAAACCAGATTCAGGGTGACAGTGCCCCAACAACATAACCCATGGTGGAATCTCGAGGAATCGGGCTCCCACCTCTCTGGTTCTGGGGTGCATCACCCAAGAACCTCTGCTGCCAAATCACTGCAGCTTGGCAGCTCCTCTGGTGAGCATCTGCCCCTTAATGGTCAGTGTGTATCATACCTTGCTTGCCCCCACTTAGCCTTTATATATCTATACTAATAGAAGAGTAATATGCTAATTAGACAAGAGACCTTCCAGACAAAGCCATGGTGGTGGGGTGGAAGCAGAGGTGTTAGGGGCAATCAGGGGTGATCAGGCTGAGAGGGAGAGGGGGCAGTTGGGAGTGAGCAGTCCGGCAGGGAGGGAAGTTGGGGGCGAGTAGTCCAGTGGGGGGGGGGGGCAGTTGGGGGCGAGCAGGCCAGTGGGGGTAAGGAGGGCAGTTGGGGGCAATCAGGCCAGCAGGCAGAGTGGTTAGGGGCAATAAGGCAGGCAGGCAGGTGAGCAGTTAGAAGCCAGTGGTCCTGAATTGCGAAAGGGATGTCTGACTGCTGGCTTAGGCAGCTGGACATCCTCCAAGGGGTCCCAGATTGGAGAGGGTGCAGGCCAGGCTGAGGTATACCCCTGACCCCAGCATGAATTTCATGCACTGGGCCATTAGTATAGATAACAAAAGCCTAACATGCTAAGTGTCTGGTCATCTGTTCAACCAATCAAAGTGTAATATGCTAATAATATGTTAAGGCCGCTCAACCACTCGCCATGATGTGCACTGACCACCAGGGGGCAAATAATCCAACCAGTAGGTTAGCTTGCTGCTGGGGTCCAATGATCAGGGCTGGGCTGGGCTGGACACACCCTGGAGCCCTCCCATCATCCCTCTCTGGCTGGCCAACCTCCCTCGTCCCTCCCCAGCCCTGATTGTGCACCAGTGGGGTCCCTTGGCCTGGCTGGTGCATTCTCATAATCCAGGACCCCCCTCAGGGGATGTCAGAGAGCCAGTTTCTGCCCAAACTCACAGGCCAAGCTGAGGGACCCCACTGGTGCACAAATTTGTGCACCAGGCCTCTAGTATCTCAATAAAACTGGGAGAGGGGTCTTACCATAATCCACCATTAAAACTGCTATCCTTTGGAAACCTTCATTGATCTGTTGTCTGCCTTTTGTTTCCTGAACATATGCTGCTTTTAAGCTAGTACTGCTAGCTATATATAAAAAAGGCTAATATGAAAAAGTGTCCCCTGAGGAGTTTGATCACTCACTATGAGATGTGCTGACCACCAGGGGGTGGCGTGAAATGAAGGAAGGCTCTGGCTGGCAGCTGGAAGGCCCTGATGGCCCTGATCAGTGATTAGGCCTAGGAACTCCACTCCCTCTAGTATATAAAATATGTATACAGACACACACACATTCCTTTAACTGATCAAAGTACATGTTACTCTTCTGATCAAATTTCAAACTGAAATGATAAAAAATTAGGTTGTAACCTATTCACTTTAGTTTTTAATATTGCTAAAAGACCGCCTGCACTTAAATGTAATTCATAATACTGGTATTAAAGCACTTGAATCATACTTAACTACATGCTCTAATAATCTAAATGACCAAAAACAAATTCTCAATTACTCAGCCAAAATGTGGCAGACATTCTTCACTCCTTCCTTCACCCTTCACAGCCCTCATGTCATCAACCTCTATACAACCCATCTATTTCCCAATGGCTTAAATTTGTTTCTACAAAACCAGTGCTCTGGCAAATGCCTGAAGTTCATATTACAATGGATGCTTAAATAGTCTGTTTTCATATTTCCCTCCTCCAGTCTTTTTTTCTACCACGCTGCCAAAGTGTTCTTTATAAATCACAAATCTGATTTTAACAAATTTCCTCATAAGTCTTTACTGATCCCTCTTTAACTGTGATGTAAAGTCAACATTCATTATGGACCAAAGGCCTTCCTAGGACACAAAGACTCCTGCCTACCTTTTTAATATTACTCATTGAGCTGGCTACCTAAACATATCCCATACTCCATTAATATCAAACTATTTACAACTGCTAACAAAACACACTTATTCAATCATATAGTAACTATTTAGGTCCTTCTAAATACAACCCTATTCTAAACCTCCTTGTCTTTGTAGGAATACAGTAGTACATAAAGCCAGCTCTCATGGAACTTCCTTTAGAAGAGTGAGAGACAATAAAACACTAAAAGTGCAAGATTTTTGACAGGGTAGTAAAAGAGACAGTAAAACATAAAGATTGATGTCAAAGGTGTCCTAAGGGTAAATTTAAATTAGTTGTATACATATCAATGGATATAACATTTGAACTGAGAACTGAATGATATGAAGCAACCAACTATTCAATAGACTTTGATACAGAAAGTTTCCTAAAAGGGAAATAAGTGAAAAAGCCCTAAGGTAAAAATATACTTGGGCCGAAACTGGTTTGGCTCAATGGATAGAGCATCGGCTTGGGGACTGAAAGGTCCCGGGTTCGATTCCGGTCAAGGGCATGTACGTTGGTTGCGGGCATATCCCCAGTGGGTGGTGTGCAAGAGGCAGCTGATCAATGACTCCCTCTCATCGATGTTTCTAACTCTCTCTCTCTCTCCCTTCCTCTCTGTACAAAATCAATAAAATATACTTGGAGTGTTCCAGAAATACAAATGTAGAACTGTGAACTGTAATGGTCTAGAGGTTAGACAGGACAAAGGTCAGAGAGCTGGGTGGGACTTATGTAAACCTTGCAAGCCTGAGAGTGAAGGAGTTAGGTTTTATTTAAAGCCATTGAAAGCTACTAAAATGATTTTTAAAAGTGATTATGACATAATTGTACCTTAAAAAATAATTTAGCCTCATATGTAGGAACATACTATAAAGGGGCAAGAGAAAATTAAAGACTACAGTGTTAAAACTACAAACTTTGGATCAGAGGATTAGCATGAAATGGATAGAAATGGCAGACTATAAACAGATACACAGTAGCCCTGGCTCATGTGGCTTAGTTGGTTGAGCTTTTTCTGGTGCCCCATAAGGTAAAGTTGTCAGTTCAATTCCCAGTCAGGACACATGCCCAGATTGTGGGCTGGATCCCTGGTCAGGTGCATGCAGATGGTAGCCATCAATGTTTCTCTCTCTCCCTTCCTCTCTCTAAAAATCAATTAAAAAAAAAAAAATATATATATATATATATCTCATACACACTATAGACATACACACTGTAGAGGGAGAGCCACCAAGAACTGCACCAGAATGGATGATTCATACCTCCAAGCTTTGCACATACCGGTGCCCAATGATGCTTCTAAATCTGTCTGTCTAGAAAACACCCAAGTATCCTTTAAAACCCAACTTAAATCTCAGTTCTGCATAACATTTCCAATTTGCCCGGCCCAATTAGTTGTTAAACAACTTATATCTCCAAAGGACTCATTATATGTCTAAGCTATCAATTATCACTCTGTATTATTACTGGTCTTTCTCATTAGCCTTCCAAAGTACAGTAAGCAAGACCCAAGTCTCATTTCTTTGGGCAACTTCTCCAAAGACTGTATCACACTAACTCTACCAAAAAAGCCTCCATAAAGCTCAATAAATGTTTGCTTACTTATCAAAATTTCCCCAAAATTTTTGACATTCAGAAAGCTATGAAAACTGTTAGAATCCTCGTCTTTTTTTCTTTTCTAAACGACTTCTCATAAATCAGATCAGAAGAAAAGATTTAACTCTCCAATCTAATTTTTATTCTTATTATATCTTTGCAATATTAAGATACACCCCAAATCCTGTGGAAAAGGAAGATAAATAAAATATATAATTGACATAATTTAATTAGTAAGTACAAAGAGTATGAATAACTACCTTATTGAAGGTAACATAGTTTGCTGAAATGTTTGTGCAAACACTGGCAATAACCTTTTCAGGTATATGGGTGCCATTTCTGGATCTCCTTTTGGCTCATTACATTCTTCTTCATCTTTGTTAGTATCTTTCTTTTTCTTATCATCTCCCTTATTAACTGGACACATCCAATCACCTGCAAACAAATACTGTTCAGTAAAATAATTTTTGGGAAAATTTTCCTTTCAATAAAAAATATAAAAATTTACCCAACTCCAAACTATAATTATCCCTAGTTAACAATAATTAAATTGAAATTAAGAAGCTGTATCTATCAAAGGTGCTTGTAAGAATACTGAAGAATATTAGCACCTCCAATGAGCTAAATCACAACTTAAGGAGATAATTTTGAATATTCTACCTGAATTCTATAAACTATATCACAGAGGTTATGCACTCATATATTCTATGAATACTTAAAAATTCGGTCAACGTACATACATCTACACAATACCCAACAACTCTTTATGGTATTTCCAGACTTCTTAAACTTTTGATTTGGGCTCTCTGAAATCATACAGCCATAGTCTCTAAGAACACAGACAGTATCGTGTTAAAGGGTTAATAAATGTGTGTATGTATATAATTATTTGACTTTATAGAAATAATGCACCTACAAAAAGCTACTCCTATGGAAGTAAGCCTGAAAAATAAAAGCAAATGGTTTGACAGGCAAGATTTTACCACTCACCTGGAGACTGAAGTATAACCACTACTTCACTATGGCCCCTTTCACGAGCTTTATCTAATGGAGTTTTCCCATCTTCATCTCTCAGATCTGGGTTTGCACCATGTCGTAATAGAGTCTAAAAAAAAAAAGGCATTTAATTTGAAGGTAACAACACTTTATTTCTTTACTATCCAACTCTGCAATCATTAGATTGTACACATATACTTTAGATTACTGACTTACAGAATTACTTAAAGCAGATATCAATTCAAATCTGTCTTTACATACATCATCATAAAATTTGTCTATTTATAACTTAAAAAAAATATAGATTAATTTCACTTGGTTAGTAACAAATCAAATTTAGTATGTTCACATATGAATCTGTATCTTCTCTATCAAACTACTCCTCCCAATATCTGAGAAAGTTCAGTTTGTGACATGGAAATCATCTTCAACATTTCCTACATATTACCAATTAAATCAACAAAACCAAGTTAAATCAATTCTTCTAGCATGCACTACAAAATTTAGGTCTTAAGTACTAATCACAATGTTCACAAATATTTTAAAATATATTTTTATTGCTTTCAGAGAGGAAAGGAGAGGAAGAGAGAAACATCAATAATGAGTCGTCGATTGGCTGCCTTCTGCACGCCCCTACTAAGGACCTAGGCCACAACCCAGGCACATGCCCTTGACTGGTATTGAACCTAGGACCCTTCAATCCATAGGCAAACGCTCTATCCACTGAGCCAAACCAGCTAGGGCCTGTTCACCAATTTTCTTTTTTTTTAAAGAAAGATTTTTTTTTTTTAATGTATTTTATTGATTTTTTACAGAGAGGAAGGAAGAGAGAGAGTTAGAAACATCGATGAGAGAGAAACATTGATCAGCTGCCTCCTGCACACCCACCTCTGGGGATGTGCCCGCAACCAAGGTACATGCCCTTGACCAGAATCAAACCTAAGACCTTTCAGTCAGCAGGCCGATGCTCTATCCACTGAGCCAAACCGGTTTCGGCCTGTTCACCAATTTTTAAAAATATATATTTTATTTGTTTTTTTACAGAGAGGAAGGGAGAGGGATAGAGAGCTAGAAACATCAATGAGAGAGAAACATCAATCAGCTGCCTCATGCACGCAACCAAGGTATATGCCCTTGACCGGAATCAAACCTGGGTCCCTTCAATCCACAGGTCGACGCTCCATCCACTCAGCCAAAAATGGCCAGGGCCTGTTCACCAATTTTTAATGGACACTGGACTCTCTCCCAAGCAGACTATAAGCTCTTTTGAATAGAAAACAAAACCCACATTTTTCCTATCAGCCTCAAAGGTAGTTTTTTAAAACTTTATTATGATGTAATGAACAAATAAATATGACAAATAAGTGCATATATAGTACACACATCAGGAAAGTATACAATACTGGCTAAAAATTCCAAAGGACTGGAGTTAGAATCATAATATATTCAGAATTTCATGAAATCTAAAGTTGCCATAATCAGTGGTCGGCCAACCGCAGCTCTGATGATGTTTGCTTCCCTTTTGATTGAGTTTGCCGACCATTGGACTAGGCTAAATGTGTAGTTGGAACCTGTTAGAATTAGGCAATTGTAGCATATTGTGTGCAAAGAGATAAAGGGTAGTATATGACAGTGGTCGGCAAACTCAGTCAACAGAACAGCAAAAGGTGTGGCCCGTTAGCTGCGATTTGCCGACTACTGACATAGATCATTCAAAATATCATTAAGAGCTACTAAGAAAGAAGAAACAATGTCAATTAACCTTTGCAACAATACAATTTTTGCTTGAAACATTTTTTAACTTACTAAAAGAACTTTTTAAAACTTAGATTTTTTTTTTTGTCTCACATAAATTTAGAAAATTTCTGTAACTTCACATTCTGAGCACAATTCTTCATAATTATCCTTTGATTCAGAGTCACCCATATTTGTATTTCTACAGAAAATGCTGACATCTGAGCCATAAAAGCATAATGATACAGCATTCTGAGAGTTCTCTTCTATGAGAACAGGTTTTTTTTCAAGTTACTAAAATCCATTTCACAATATTTGTTGCAAGAACAGGTAATGATAATTATGCTGCAATTTTGCCGGGACCGGTTTGGCTCGTGGATAGAGCGTGAGCCTGGGGACTGAAAGGTCCCGGGTTCGATTCCGGTCAAGGGCATGTACCTTGGTTGCAAGCACATCCCCAGTAGGGGGTGTGCAGGAGGCAGCTGATCGATGTTTCTCTCTCATCGATGTTTCTAACTCTCTATCCCTCTCTTTTCCTCTCTGTGAAAAATCAATAAAATATATTTTTTTAAAAATCATGCTGCAATTTTTATGTGTCCAAGAGCAATTATAAAACATTTCCTATTTGAGATGCAAAATTGCATATGGGGGTAGGGAAAAATTGTGGAGGTGTATCTTAGAATCAATTAAAAATAAGTGTCAGTCTGTGGACTGAAAGGTTTCAGGTTCGATTCCGGTAAAGGGCATGTATCGATACCTTGGATGCATGCACATCCCCAATAGGAGATATGCAGGAGGCAGCTGATCGATATTTCTCTCTCATTGATGTTTCTAACTCTCTATCCCTCTCCCTCTCCCTCTCTATAAAAAAATCATTAAGGTATATTAAAAAAAAATAGAAGAGTCTGTGAAGATTAAAAAAGACATGTTAAATATTTAAGACACTGGCTGCCAAAGTTAAAGTGCCTAGTGTACTACATAGTATATCATTGTCAGTAATAGCAGCTATAGCTCATCAATATAGGTTAGGATTAGATTCAATTCACTTGGCTCCTCTCCCACTCATAATTTTAAAATACTAAAGGGCAAAAAATGGCTCATCAAAATTTTTAGCACCCCAATCTCTCTAAAAACTAATTCAAACGGACAGAATTCAAGCTTGAAGCAACCATCTTTCACAGGTTAAAAAACTAAGGTGTCATCAAAAATGTTCTAATAGTGTAAAAATGACAATATAACCAGTTACCATTTGAGTTATCTATGAAAGGCCAACTATTATACTAAGTACTTTCCATGCATTTTTCTCAAAAAGGGTAATATGCAAGTCAACCAAACAGCAGAGCAACTGGTTGGTATGATTCGCACTGACCACCAGAAAGCATTCTAAAAACTAATTCAGGAGCTGTCCCATGGTGGTCAGTGCACTGCCACAGGGGGAGTGCCACTCAGCTAAAAGCCAGGCTCAGCCTCTCCCACCTCTGCAGTAGCACTAAAGATGTGTGACTGCTGGTTTAGGCCTGCTAATCCATCAGTTGGAAATCCCCCTCCCTTCCCCGAGGGCTCTCAGACTGTGAGAGGGTGCAGGCTGGCCTGAGGAACCACCCTTTCTGCCCCGCCCTCCCCCCCCCCCCCAGTGCACAAATTTTGTGTACCAGGCATCTAGTTATTATAATAATCATGCTAGGAGTATATATTCATCTTATTGATAAAATTGCAAGTTAAACTTAAGAATTTTGCCCAAGGCCATACAGCCTTTTTGTTAATGGGCTAAGACTTGAATCCAGGTGTGCCTGATTTTGTTGCCAACTAACATTGCATTATATCAAATTACTTCACAATAAGAAGATTCTGGAGACCTAGAAAATATACTTGGTTCAATCTCTACCATTTGACACCTCTTTGAATCTCAATTTCTCCTAATTGTATAAAAAACTCTCTCCAAATTGTTTTGGTAAACTAAGAGTCAAGAATACTGTAATTCTGTCCTAGCTGTTTTGGCTCTGTGGACAGTGTTGACCTGTGGACTGAAGGGTCCCAGGTTCGATTCCAGTCAAGGGCACATACCTGGGTTGTGGGCTCAATCCCCAGTGGGGGTGTGTGTAGGAGGCAGCCTATCAGTGATTCTCATCACTTACATTTCTCTCTCTCCCTCTCCCTTCCTCTCTGGAATAAAATTAAAAAAATACTATGATTCTTTTGCAAATAGAATATTTGATTTACTATTAAATAGACACAATAGAAAAATGTACAAGATTTCCTCATTTTATTGGACTTTGCTTTATTATGCTGCAAAGATACTGTTTTTTACAAATGGAAAGCAAGACTCCATCAGCCAAAGGATTATGGATCTCATTATTGCAATATCTCAGAGGTATGCCAGTAAAAAATTATTCATTGCCAAAAGTAAGAAACTTTAAATGAGTAGCTGAATAAACTTGCAATACATCCACAGAGCAAATATATAGATATAAAAAAGCTCTCCAACTCTGTAAAAGGTCTTCATTTTATATCATTAAAGGGAACAGAAAAAGTATAGATCAATGTGTATATGTTACATTTTATATAAGGTGGCAATCAGCATACATACTTTTGCTTGTTTGTATCTGTATCAAAATGTTAAAAAGATATAAATAAGAAATAATATAAAAAATGCTTATCTATAGTGGGCAAGGGGAAATGGAATGAATAAAGATAGCATGAGTCCTAGCTGGTTTGGCTCAGGAGATAGAGTGTCGGTCTGTGGACTAAAGGGTCCCAGGTTCAATTCCGGCCAAGAGCACACGTCCAAGTTGTGGGCCTGATCCTCCCAGCAGTAGGGGGAAATGTAGGAGACAGCCAATCAATGATTCTCTCTTATCATTGATGTTTCTGTCTCTCTATCTCTCTCCCTTCCTTTCTGAAATCAATTAAAAATGAACATTAAATTTTTTTTAAAAGATGGCATGAAAGAATGACTTAACAGAAGTCTTTATAACATTCTAATTTTGGAATCATGTATGTGTCAAATATTAAATTAATAATTTAAAAACCTGAACTTTACCTTGGCTACTTGAGGTCTTCCAAAACATGCAGCATAATGTAATGATGATGATCTTTGACCTCTATTAACATCAGCACCTCTTTCACAAAGAAATTCTACCTGTAAAATGATGAAGAATCATAAAGTTGTTTTATTAATATTTCTACCTTTGATTTAAAACATAAACTATTATTTGTTAGCTTACCATTTCCTGAGTTCCAAAAGCTGAGGCCCAATTTAACAGAGTCTGACCCACATCATCCATGAAATTTACTTCAAAGGCTAGAAGTTTAAAGGGAAAAAAAATTTAAAAAATTTTAAAGGCAACAAAATAATACCAATTTTTCTAAAGTGGGAGCCATTTAAAGATTATCATTAATAATCACTAAATACAGAGCCAATTTTAAACATTTAGATAAACTATAAAGTAGTTAATAATCAGCAAACATAAATTCTGCTAAGAAAAAGTATTCTAAAACTTTTAAAGCCATTGAAGATTTATAAGGATTTAACTTTTATAAATAAACAAGACAAAAATGGAAAATAATTAATACATAACACAACTCAATAGGGTACTAACTACTTAATGCCCTACCTATGGAAAAAAAAACGAATCCCCATTTTTAATAAAAATAACATAGGCCATGGCCAGGTAGCTCAGTTGGTTAGAGTGTTGTGTTTTGTTTTGTTAATCTTATTTATTGATTTTTAGAGAGAGAAGAAGGGAGAGAGAAACATTAACATGCGAGTGAAACATTGATTGGCTGTCTCCTGCATGCAACCTACTGGGGATCAAGCCCAAAACCCAGACATGTGACCTGTCCGGAAACTGAACCAACAACCTTTCAGTGCCTGAGATGATGACCAAGCAACTGAACCACATTGGCCAGCGCTAGAGCATCATCTTGATGCACCAAGTTTGCCATTTCAATCCAAGTCAGGGAACATACAAGAAGAAACCAAGCCGGGACCGGTTTGGCTCAATGGATAGAGCGTCGGCTTGGGGACTGAAGGGCCCCGGTTTCGATTCCAGTCAGGGGCATGTACCTTGGTTGCGGGCATATCCCCAGTAGGGGGTGTGCAGGAGGCAACTGATCAATGACTCTCTCTCATTGATGTTTCGAACTCTCTATCTCTCTCCTTTCCACTCTGTACAAAAATCAATAAAATATATATATATTTTTTTTTTTAAAAAGAAGAAACCAAGAATGCATAAATAAGTGCAACAACAAATCAATGTTCCTCTCTCTATATATATAAATATCAATTTTTAAAAATGTTTTAAAAAGAACACAAAAGACAAGTCTGATGAGCCAGAAGCATTTTTCACCAATCTATATTTTATTCATAACTTCATGAAGCAGTCTTAAAAATTTTACTATATATAATAACAACTAACTTGCACCGAATTTGTTAACCTTGAGAATATACAGCCCTAAATTCAATCTGCAAGTCAGCTTAGAATTGGAATGATCTCGTTCTGGCAATAAAACAGATAAATTTCATTTACTCATTGAAGCAGCATTTACTAAGGTCTTATCACATACAAGACTGATATTTATATACACAGGGAGAAGAGAGATTATTGAAGGTTTGTGGTCATTATCTGGCACAATTGCTAAAAATACTGTTCAAAATCTAGAAACTAGAAAATGCCTAAATAATTCCTTATCTCAGTTTTCTTTTTCTTTTTTAATCCTCACCCAAGGACATATTTTATTGATTCTAGAGAGAGAAGAAGGGGGAGGGAGGGAGAGAGAAACATCTATCAGTTGCCTCCCGTAAGCATCTCGACTCGGGATTTAACCCAAAACCTAGCTATGTGTCCTGACCAGGAATCAAACTAGCAACCTTTTGTTATATGGGAAGACATTCAATCAGCTGAGCCACCCAGAAAGGGCTTAGTTTTCTTTTTAATTAAAAAAATTTTTCCAACCTCCTGTGTCAATTGCATCTATAAGGGCATCAGTATCTTTACTTCGAATACAGTCTATAAGCTGCCGATGTGAGCGCTCCCCTGAGCTATCCAATCTCCGGAGTCCTGGGATTCTGCCTGTAGATCCAGCACTAGACTTTGGCAAAGCCTTTCGTCCTTCAAATAATAGCACCAAGAGAAGGTCAACCAAACGCATGGTATCAAGCACACATCTTTCGTCACCCTGCAATGCACTCTCAATTGAATCTGGAAGCTCTGACCTCAGAAGATCCTAGAAAGAGAAAGGGGTAAAGTTTAATATATTTACATTATATAAAAACACTTTTTCTGAAAGATTATAAATAATTCAAAAACATTCTTACGTGTGTGACTACTGGAGAGCCTCTGCAAAGTGTTGAGAGCAGACTTACAATTGTGGAAACTTGGTTACTCAATTTGGAATCCGCAGCTGTGGAAGGCGCACCTGTGGTGCTGCGACCTGGTTTGCAAGCTGATGATGGCCCTGATATGGTACCACCAGCAGCAGCCATTCGAGATAAGAGCTCTTCAGTTAATCCATGTTTGGCTAATGGAGCTGGGTCAACACCACGACGGGTGAATCGGTCAGCTAATGATGCAAAACATCGCAGAGCTCCATCCGAAACCTAAGAATATAAAGAATATGCATATTAATAAAATTCACCTAGGCCCTGGAAGGGTTGCTAAATTGCTTAGAGCAGCATCCTAATACACTAAGGTTACAGGTTCAATCCCAGTCAGAAATACACAAGTAGTAACCGATTAATGCATAAATACATGGAACATATGGAGGTTTTGTCCTCTCTCCCCCCATCTCAAATCAATCAAAAAATAAAAATTTTTAAATTCCCTTACGTAAGAAGAACTAGTACTGCTTATTCCAATACTGACACTATAAGAAAGGCAGCTGTAGCAAAGAGCTTAAGGCTTACAATCTGTCTAGAGTTTAATCCTGGCTTCACACTCTAAATGTATGACACGAAGATGTTACTTAACTGCCCAAGGCCTCGGTTAAGTAACCTATAATTGACTGTCTGAGCTTAATAATGACATATGTAAAGAACCTACATGGACAGCAAAAGCTCCATATTAACTAATATTATATAAAACTTCACCAAGATAATCTATGAATGTTAACTAAAAATTACCATCTGAATGTTAAAAAAAACATTAAAAGTTAACTTCTAATTTCTCAATATGTGAATTCAACAAAAATTTACACATAAAAGATTTTAAATACTGTGTTATTTTACTTCAATGAGAAGTATTTTAAGTCAACAAAATTGTGTTGAGTCAACAAATTAGAGTACAGGTGTAGCTTTAAAAATTATATATTTCTAAAACATTTTTAAGTTTTAGAAATAAACACATTACCATTTTTAAGATTTTTTAAAATTGATTTTTAGAGAGAGAGGAAGGGAGAGGGAAGAGAAAAACATCAATGTAACAGTGGAGTATAGATTGGCTGCCTCCTACATGCCCCCTAGTGGTGATTGAGTCTGCCAACTGATGACACCTAACTGAGCCACAATGCCACAAAGGCCAAGGCGAACACATAATACATAAAATATTAAAAAACATTTAATAAAATGTTTCAGTGCCAAAGCAAAAAATTATTACTATATAGAAATATAAAGTTAGAGAAAGAGAATATGGAATGACCTGTACAATGTATCATAGTTATAAAAAAGGGATATTATAAAATTACTTTTTAAAATCTAAGTAGGTAACAGTGATTTACTTACCTGATGATCTTCATGTTTTAATAAACTAGACAGAGATTCCACACAAATTTCTAAAGAAGTATCTTGAGGTTCCATTTTGCCACAGAGTCTTGATACAACAGCCATGGCGGAGTGCAAGGTATCTTTATGAACCAGGTGTCCACTGTCACGAATGAAGGTAAGCACACAATTCAAACCACCAGCCTCGAAGACTGCTCCTGACTCACGAGTGCATATCAGTTCCAGCACCTATAACAGTAAAACAAAATTAACAAAAAAGGAAGTTCAATTTTAATTTTCTAGAATCACAGAAAACATAAGGTACCCTCCCACATTTATTAGTAACAACATTTTTTGAAAGTTTAAAAAAAAAAATTGGTAGCCACACTTGAAATGTTTAATACTCATAATACTACCATATTGGACAATGTAGGTTTAGATGAGGAAGCCTACATGGCCTGCTAAGAAACTATAAATAATTTACAAATGTTTGTGAAGATTCTAAACATTAAAAAAAAAACAAGTGTTGTTTTGTTTTGTTTTCCCCAGCCAGTGTGCTCAGTTGGTTAAGCATCGTTCATGCACCAGGAGATTGCCAGTTTGATTACCATTCAGGGTACAGTCCAGGTTTTGGGCTTAATGCCCAGGAGAGAACATGCAGGAGAGGCAGCCAATTGATGTTTCTCTTTTATCTATGTTTCTTTCTCTCTCTCTCCCTTTCCCTTTCCCTCTCTGAAGTCAATAAAAACATATTCAAAAATTTTCAATAAATGCTATTACATTCTTCATCTTATTCTGAATATCAAAATATTAAAAATCAACTTTTATTTCTAAATTATGTTCATGTTTAGGTGTTCTGGTAGAACTAAAGAGTTAAAGGTCTATAGGTCATACAGGCATATGAGAAATTTAGACTTTATTCTGAAAGCAAGAGAAGTGTTTTAAGCAGGGAAATAATATGATCAAAATTTCAACTAATAACAGTGAGAAATGGGGTATGAGGAGAGTTTAGCAGTTGTAAAAATTCAAGCATTGGTATTCAAGAGAGAATAAAAGCTTTACTAAGGCACTAAGAACAGGGACAAACAAGAAAATAAACTAGAAAAGGACTTGATCATTAATTACATGTGTGAAGTGGAGAAAAGGCTAAAACAAAAATTTCTGTCTTAAGTATTTTTTAGGCTCTTGGTGAAAGTTAATGCCAATTATCAGAATAAGAGTTCACCCGTATGAAAGATAATGAATTCAGCTGGAACTACCCAACAGGCCTTTGAACATGAGTTCTAGAACTTAAGAGTGAGGTCAGGTATAAAAAAAAAAGATGTGAGGGGCATATACATATGAATGGTACTAAAGCTGACAGATGAAACCATCTAGGCAAAGTTTAGTTTTAAGAAGGTAAAACAGTTCTTAGGAAATACTACCACTGAAAAACCATCTAGATACATAAAAGTGTAATACGCAAATCGACCAGAGGGTTTAATGACCAGTCGCTATGACACACACTGACCACCAGGGGCCAGACACTTAATGCAGGAGCTGCCTACCAACCTCTCGCTCCTTCACCCCCAGCCAGCAGCCTCTGATCGCCTGATGAGGAACTGGGACTGGGAGGGTTGGGGCGGGGGGAGTGGCATCAGATGCAGGCAGTGCCAGGCCAAACCCGCTGGTCACCCCACACACAGAATGTGATGGCTGACAGTGGCGGTGGTGGCAAGGGGTGAGGCCAGCTGCAGGCAGCCAAGGAAGATAGGCTCTGATCACAAGCCAGGCCTAGGAACTCTACCTGTGCACAAATTTCATGCAGCAGGCCTCTAGTAAATAAGTAAGAATAATCTACAAAGGACACAGAGAAAGGGAGAGTAGAGTGTAACAAACTAGAAAGAGTTTGAAAACTCAGGTCAGTGTATAAGCAGTAGAATAAAACCCCAGCCCTGGAAGAAATATGAAGTGATGTGATAGAGATTAAGATGGGAGAAAAGCTCTAAATAGGAAAATGGATACCTCTTCCTCTGAAACTAGAAACAGAAATAAATCTACAGCCACAAAAGCAGAAAATCAAGACATTAACAATTATAAACAGCAGCTCTCCAAGTCTGAGAAAGACATGATTTTCAGAGATCGTTTAAGTCAAAATATTTTTCATAATACTACTATAATGATAATTGTCATTGTCTTTTTCATTCTCATTCTCTCAGGAGTATAGAGTGGACTTTTCCAGAAGCTACCTGAAGTGTGACATAGCAATCAACTAAATGAGCAGTTATGAGGATTTGGATGTCTTCTATTAAGTCAGACATTTTTTAATAGTACTTGCAAAAATGCTTAACAACGCTACTCTTCTAGTTTTCTGTTTGTTTGGGAAATAGTTATTTTCATTAAAAATGTAATGCATGTTAGCATGTAATAAGTTTATTTTCGGATATATTAAAAATATTTTAAATTTATCAATTTAATATCGAATATGAGAAATATAAATAGATTTAATCTCTATAAACAAAAGATCTTCAAGGGTCCTCAATAAGACTTGTAAAGGGATCCTGAGACAAAAAGTTTGAAAACTGCTGACCTAGAACAAGAATCATAAAAAGAATAAAACAGGAATCATAAGAAGAGAATCATGTAAAATCTAAATGTGTTCCAAGTAGTTCCAATAAACTACTGACCCAATATTGATGCTTTTAAAATCCCAGGGTTTGTAATTAGCCCCACAAGTAATAAAACAAAACAGCTAATTCTAAAAGAAAACAGCAAAATTGTTAAATCCAAAAGCCCTAGAACCAGATTGTCTAATTTTCAAATTCGTGATCTTCGAATCTTGGCTCTCCCACTATGTATATCATCCCCAGCTAGTCATTTAATCTCGGTATGCTTGATTTTTTTTCACCTCTAAAAGAGAAATGATATATTAGTGGCACCAACCACATGCAAAATTGTCATTAAAATTAAATGAGTTGGATAAAGTTGTACATCTGAAATTTATGTAATATCATACAACACTGGCAATGGTGGTCAGCGTTAGTTGTGCTGGTGGTTATTACTGTTTTCATGCCAGGTACAAAATCATTTTGGCTGAGAAAAGGGACAACCTATCAAAAGTAATAGTGGCCACCAGAACTGAAGAGCATTGAGGCAGCAAAGAAGAGCATTACCAGTGACCTGCAATTATCCATCAAAGATACATTTTTTTAAAAAATCCTCACCCATGGATATTTTTTCCATTAATTTAAGAGAGAATGGAAGAGAGAGAAGGAGAGAGGAGGGAGGGAGAGAAACACTGATGTGACAGAGACACCCCCATTGGTTGCCTCCTGCAACTGTGGATCAAACCTGCAACCCACGTGTTTGTCCTGGACTAGAAATCAAACCTACAACCCTTCAGTGCAAGACCAATGCTCTAACCACTTAGCAATACCAAAGATTTCTTTTCCTAAGTCACATGGAATCTCCTTTGATCCACAAGAACTGTGACTTCCATTGTTCTCAACGGCTCTCAATAAAATAAGACTGATAATGGAAAAAAGAATTTTATTTCTTTAGCTAAATATATTTTTTATTCTTTAAATGATCTTCAAATGGGCCAATAAATAATTAAGACTTACCTTTACACATTGCTCAGCTAAGTCTCTGCTAGTCCTGTTGTTAAGTTCTACCACAACCAATCGATTACAAAGTGCTTTTATAGCTCCATCTACCCCAACAATCCTTCGGGTGCATTCTGCAGATACATCCAGATAGTATGTTATGGCACGGGCTGTTACCTCCAACACATTGTCTGGGGCACTTTCATCAAGAAAAATTTTGCAGAGGGCTGGTAAGAAAGTGCGAGGAGGGCATCTGCAGTAAAAGAAATTGTATTACACCTAGAATTAGTAAATTCTTAACATCAAAATAATATTAAATAATAGATAAAACTATATAATATATATGTTCATATTGGATCGCCTGTGCATTAGGTAATATTTCTAGATTGCTTTTAATCTCACAGCAATACTCAAATGCTAATTTCATCATTGCTGAAAATATCAAGACATAAACAATTTAAAGTAGCAGCATTACCTTGAAACCATGTTTAAAAAATTCCTATTCAATGCTCAGCTGGAATATCAACTGCTCTATAAAACCCTCCTAATCTATCCAAATAGCTGTGGCATCTTCATGTTCCTCAAACCTCATAAAAACAGTGCCCGCACTGTTTAGTTTATCAATTTATTTCTTTATTTACATTAAGAGTTTCTGAAGGCCTGGGACATTCTTCAACTCATGTTTTATGGAACTAATGTTATTTGGGGTTTAACAGACCAGGTTAAACCAGAACAACAGCTATGTAACCTTTCTGGTCCTGTTTCCTCATTTGTAAAACAAAGATAATATCACCACGCTGGTGGGGCTTAGTGATTGAGCGTCCACCCATGAACCAAGAGGTCTTTACTAGTTTGATTCCCAGTCAGAGTACTTGCCCAGTAGAGAACATGCAAGAGGCAACGGATCAATGATGTTTCTCATTGAAGTTTCTAACTCCCTATCCCTCTCCCTTCCTCTCTAAAAAGCAAAAACATAATAATAAAAAAACACACACAAAGATAACACTTAACAATCTTTACTTTATATGGATGTTATAAAGATTAAATGAAATTATATACATTAAACACTTAGCAAAGTACCTTGTCCCAATAACAAGTAATTAATTTTAGCTACCCTTCCCTCCTATGAACAGTCTAACACATGCTGTTATAAACCTGAGTAAGAGTTTTATCAAAGCAAAATTTTTGAGTTATCAATATCCCCTATATTTTAGTCAACATTTAAAATATAAAAGACCATAATTTACATTAGTAGAAATCTTAGTATATGACATCAAATATATTATTCTAACTCTCTGCATATTGGGTACAAGTAACACAAAACAGTACTCTCCATGTTTTGGTGAAATTATTTTTCCTTCAATTCTTAGTGTATGCAAATCTTTAACAACTTTTTTGAACTATCTGTATGAACTTTAAAGTAGCTCTACCCTTTAATATCTACATAGATAATCTTAAGATCATCTATACAGTAGAAATTTATCATAAAGATTTTAGAGTATTTTGCATTCAATGACTGACCAGCCACTGATTAAACATAGGTGGCTTTATTAACCAATTAGGGGGCAGGTGCACAAAATTCGTCCACTGGTAGGGTCCCTTGGCCTGGCTGGCAATCACGGCCGATTGAGGCCTTCTGGCTGCCGGCTGGGGCTTTCCACCGTTCTGTGCCATCCCCTGGTGATCAGCACACATCACAGCAAGTGACCAAACTCCCAGTCTCCCACCCAAACTCCAGAGGGGATATTTTGCGTATTAGCCTTTTATATATATATACTAGAGGCTCGGTGCACAAAAGTCATGCATGGGGTGAGAGTCCCTCAGGCTGGCCTGTACTCTCTTGCAATCCAGGACCCCACGGGGAATGTCCAACTGCCAATTTAGGCCCAATCCTGCTTGCAATCCAGGACCACTGGCTCCTAACCACTTGTTTGCCTGATCGGCCCTAACCATTCTGCCTGCCTGCCCAATCACTCCTAACTGCTCACCTACCTGCCTGATGCCCCTAACTGCCTCTGCCTCACCCCCACGGCTTAGTCCAGAAGGACTTCTAGAAGTTCGTTCAGCTGTCCAGTCTAATTAGCATATTACGCTTTAATTATTATAGAAGATAGATAACACTTTTTAAAAAATCCTTATTTTTTATTGAAGGAAATAAAATTTGTACTGCAGAGGCAATGGTACCTCAACATGACAAGGTAGCCAATGGGGCTGACATGACAGGCCACAATGCTGGCTAGGGGTCCTACCATAATGGGAGGACCAAAACTGCAAAGCAGGAGGTATGAAACATCCCCAAAACTCAGTTCAAGTATTCCCATTTGCAGAGAGCTTGGCCATGCAGCGTAAAAATAGGGACTCTTTCCCCTCTTCCCCTCCTTCCCCTCCCCCAAGCTGGCTTATCATCTCAGGTCACCAAATCCATCCAAAACTAACATGTAGTCTCAGTTTGAAGACTACATGGCTTATCATCTCAGGTCACCAAATCCATCCAAAACTAACATGTAGTCTCAGTTTAAAGATCCTTCTCTTTGATCCAAAAATTCAGACATCAGAAGTCACTAGTAATTTTTCTGAGAAGGAAATGCTTTGTGGCCAGGAGAAATGTTTTTGTGGCTCTTGTTCTTAGGTAAGATCAAAAGACTGACTAGCACAGTGACTAGCACATACGGCTTGGGAGGCGCGGTTTGCCGCTCTGCTGACTAGTGAGTTTGCCGACCGACCACTACTAGCATATCAGAATCTGAAAGTATTTCTGCTACTCTCTGACAAACTGAAGAGATGAGAAAAGATCATAAAAGCATTAATAATAATGAGGAACAACATAGTCTTAAAAAGTAATGTTTTTGGCCCTGGCCAGGTGGCTTCGTTGGTTGGAGCATCCTTCTGTACACCAAGAAGGTTGAGGGTTCAATTCCCAACACTTGAAACTGTGTTGCAGGTTTGATTCCCAGTCAGAACGCATAAAAGAGGCAATCAATTGATGTTTCTCTCTCACATCAGTGTTTCTTTCTTCTCTCTCTTTTTCTCCCTCCCTTCCTCTCCCTAAAGATCAATAATCATATCCTGGAGTTAGGATTAAAAAAAAAAAAAAAGTAATAATGTTTTCTTTAGAAAGCAGTAGCTTTTGAATAAAGACTGAAATGTTGATGTTGACAGTCCTTGAATCAAATGGCAAGAATGAATCTGTCATATGATTTAGGTTAAAAATAAAATTATTCATCTATATTTCTTATCCAGGACAAAAACTGCCATCAAAAACAAAAACACCGTGAATCGCATGTGTAACTGCAGTAATGCTCTTCCTCTTCTTTTTTTTTTCTAGTCTCCCTTTTTGCACAGTTTGAATATATTTAATGGCAGAAAATTGAACACTAAAAATGGTTAAATAGTAAATTTTGTTATGTAAAAAATGTATTTTACCAAAAATGGCAGATTTTTTATATATATAAAACAATTTAAAAATTAATAAACCCAAAACCCATTATACACTTTAGATGTAAATTGTATTTCAATAAAACTATTTTTAAAAAAAATAAAAATAAAAAATAAAAAAACAAAAACAAAAACAAAAGTAAGAGAAATGTTTAGTATAACTTTCTGTATTTCATGGATATATATATAGTCTGTATTTGCAAATTTGGAGAAAAACTATGTTCCCTGCTGTAATGAAACTCCTAAACAGTTAAAAAAAAAAAAAAAAAAAAGAGAGAGAGAAGAAGTTCTAAACATAGGTTCGTAGATTTTTAACTGCAATTAATTTTATTTCTAAAAGAAAAATAAAAATGGTCTGCATACGTAACTTATTTCATATCAGCCATAATGAAAAGCTGCTTCATGAACTTTTTAAATGTATGGTACAAAACATCTGTTGTACTTTTGGCTATTGGATGGAGGGAAATATTTTTCTAGCTCCTTGGTTATTTTTTCATCAATGAAAAGGTACTTAAGTATATTAATACATACACATATATAATCACTAATTTTTCAACCTAGAACCATAACATACGGCTTGGGAGGCGCGGTTTAACTATAAATTGGAGGCGCAAATTAACTATAAATTGAGCAAAGAGGTAAAAAAAGATGCCATTACTAATGAATTCTAAAAAATACAGAACATTGAAAGAACTGTAGCTATATTACTTGAAAATTCATACTGAAAGTAAAGCAAATTACTCACAAGTGTAAGTTCTAGTGCAGTGATTCTCAACCTTTCTAATGCCGCGACCCTTTAATATAGTTCCTCATGTTGTGGTGACCCCCAACCATAAAATTATTTTCGTTGCTTCTTCATAACTGTAATTTTGCTAATTAATGAATTGTAATGAAAATATCTGTGTTTTCCGATGGTCTTAGACTCTACAGCAGCAGTTCTCAACCTGGGTGTGGGTCGCGACCCACAGGTTGAGAACTGCTAGCAGGGTCACCTCTCGAGCCGCAGTTTGCAAACCACTGGCTTAGTGGATAGAGCACTGGCTTTCGAACTAAAAGGTCCCAGGTTTGATTCCAGCCAAGGGCATATGCCTGATTGCAGGTTCAATTCCCAGTAGAGGGCATGGAGGAGGCAGTCGATCAATGATTCTCCCTCAACACAGATGTTTCTATCTCTCCCTCTCTGAAATCAATAAAAAAATATTTAGAGAAAAGAATTCCCAAAATGTTATCTCCACCCCAGACAAAACTCATCTCTATCCCCATTTAGAATTATCACAGGTATCTTAAGATGAGCACATTCAAAAAACAAAGCATTTAAGATGTTCCTCCACTCCCAAATCACCATCTTTGTAAATGTCAAAATCATCCAGAAAGCCAGAAACCTGATTTCCCCCCTTTTTCTTCACGTTACACATCTAATCCATCAGTTAAATCCCACAAAATTTCCTGTAAAACATATTCTAAATTTGTCCATTTCTCTCCACATCCTTTTACAACCCTAATCTAAGCCAACTTCAAACCCTGTTTGAACTACTGAAATAGCCGCTGAGACATCCACTTAGAGAAGTCTCCAGCACTACTGTTGAGCAGGGTCTCTCTCCAGGGAGGAGAGAGTCAGGTCAGTCTGGCAGAGTGTCAGAGAGCATAAACAAGGTAAAGGGAACAGCTGTGCAGGGGGAATGCCTCAGTAATGGCAACTGATACATACAAGGGAAATGACTAAATAAATAAACAAGCATATGAGGATAATAGGAGTGGCCCAGGCGGGGTAGCTCTGCTGGATAGAGCACCAAGCCGATACACCAAGGTTTTGAGTTT